CGATGCCGCTGCTCCTCTCTGTAGCGCGCCTCCACAGTCTCCTCCCAAGGACAGCGATCCATTCCGGCCTGAATCTCTTCCCAAGTCCAGGATCCCTTCCCGTCCAGGATCTCCTCCCAAGTCCAGGCTGTCTGTTCCTGGACACGCTGCTTGGTCCTTTTTTGGTGGGATCTTCTGTCACGCACGTTGACTGATGACTCGTGGAACCAAGGCGCAGCGTGATAAGCGTACATCTTTATTGATACACAACACACGAACAAAACAACAAAACGAAACGATACGTGAAGTCCTGAGGTTACACACACCAAACCTTTACGGATCAAGATCCCACAAACTAACTGGTGCCAACAGGCTGCCTAAGTATGATCCCCAATCAGAGACAACGAGCTACAGCTGCCTCTGATTGGGAACCACCCTGGCCAACATAGATCTAAACGATCTAGAACAAAAAACATAGAAAACTAAACATAGAAAAATCCACACCCTGGCTCAACATTTAAGAGTCCCCAGAGCCAGGGCGTGACATCCTCTTTCCATTGATCATCCTTGAAATGTTTCTACAACTTGATTGGAGTCCACCTGTGGTACATTCAATTGATTTGACATGATTTGGAAAGGTACACATCTGTCTATGTAAGGTCCCACAGCTGACAGTGCATGTCAGAGCAAAAACCAAGCCATGAGGTCGAAGGAATTGTCCGTAGAGGATTATGTCGAGGCACAGATCTGGGGAAGGGTACCAAAACATTTCTGCAGCATTGAAGGTACCCAAGAACACAGTGGCCTGCATCATTCTTAAATGGAAGAAGTTTGGAACCACCAAGACTCTTCCTAGAGCAGTCCGCCCGGACAAACAGAGCAATCAGGGGAGAAGGGCCTTGGTCAGATAGGTGACCAAGAACCTGATGGTCACTCTGACAGAGCTTCAGAGATCCTCTGTGGAGATGGGAGAACCTTCCAAAAGGACAACAATCTCTGCAGCACTCCACCAATCAGGCCTTTATGGTAGTGTGGCCAGATGGAAGCCACTCCTCAGTAAAAGGCACATGTCAGCCCGCTTGGAGTTTGCCAAAAGGCACCTAAAGGACTAAGACCATGAGAAACAAGATTCTCTGGTCTGATGAAACCAAGATGGAACTCTTTGGCCTGAATGCCATGCGTCACATCTGGAGGAAACCTCGCACCATGCTGTGGGGATGTTTTTCAGCAGCAGGGACTGGGAGACTAGTCAGGATCGAGGGAAAGATGAACAGAGCAAAGTACAGAGAGATCCTTGATGAAAACCTGCTCCAGAGCGCTCAGGACCTCAGACTGGGGCGAAGGTTCACCTTACAACAGGACAACGACCCTAAGCACACAGCCAAGACAACACAGGAGTGGCTTCGGGACAAGTCTCTGAATGACCTTGAGTGGCCCAGCCAGAGCCCGGACTTGAACCCGATCTAACATCTCTTGAGAGACCTGAAAATAGCTGTGCAGCGACGCTCCCCATCCAACCTGACAGAGCTTGAGAGGATCTGCAGACAATAATGGGAGAAACTCCCCAAATACAGGTGTGCCAAGCTTCATACCCAAGAAAGCTCAAGGCTGTAATCGTTTTTTTATTTTATACATTTTCTAAAATTTCAACAACAAAAAAAGTTTTTGCTTTGTCATTATGCGGTATTGTGTGTAGATTGATGAGGATTTTTCTTTATTTTTTAATCCATTTTAGAATAAGGGTGTAACTTAACAAAATGTGGAAAAATTCAAGGGGTCTGAATACTTTCCGAATGCACTGTATGACAGTAAATGTAAATCCTTAATTGTCTTGTGATACAAAATAGATGTAAATGGTAAACACGTTCCCATCCACAGTTTCTATGCGAGTAAAGGCTGGTGCAGAGGCCCAGGCAAACAAAGAACCTGGAGAGGCAGTGGGCCTTCACGAAGGGCAGACATGGTGACAAAGAACCTATTGAGAATGAAGACCAACGTGATGGCAATCTGGAAAAGGTCTGAGATAAGCAGGTTGATCAGGTAGATGGGACCAGACTGAACAGAGCATAACTTGCCAGGCAAACGTCAGGAAGTCCTATGAAGAATATGACTTAGTCCTCCACGATACCTATCATGTGTGTGTAGTAGGATCCAGACCACATGGAAAGGCACTGGTGTTGTTAATGGCAGCCATCTGATCACCGTTGAGTAGAATATGCCTTGAGCTTAGTCGCGAAGTGGTAGGCCACACAAGCTCACAGAATGGGACCACTGAGTGCTGAAGCACGTAGCATGTAAAAATCGTCTGTCCTCGGTTGGAACACTCACTACCGAGTTCCAAACTGCCTCTGGAAGCAATGTCAGCACAAGAGCTTAATGAAATGGGTTTCCATGGCCAAACAGCCTCACACAAGCCTAAGATCACCATTCGCAATGCCAAGTGTCGGCTGGAGTGGTGTAAAGCTTACCGCCATTGGACTCTGGAGCAGTGGAAACGTGTTCTCTGGAGTGATGAATCACGCTTCACCATCTGGCAGTCCGATGGACTAATCTGGATTTGGCGGATGCCAGGAGAACGCTACCTGCCCGAATGCATAGTGCCAACTGTAAAGTTTGGTGGAGGAGGAATAATGGTCTGGGGCTGTTTTTCATGGTTTGAGCTAGGCCCCTTAGCTCCAGTGAAGGGAAATCTTAACGCTACAGCATACAATTACATTCTAGACTATTCTGTGCTTCCAACTTTGTGGCAACAGTTTGGGGAAGGCCCTTTCCTGTTTCAGCATGACAATGCCCCCGTGCACAAAGCGAGGTCCATACAGAAATGGTTTGTCGAGATCGGTGTGGAAGAACTTGACTGGCCTGCACAGAGCCCTGACCTCAACCCCATCGAACACCTTTGGGATAAATTGGAACGCCGACTGCGAGCCAGGCCTAATCACCCAACATCAGTGCCCGACCTCACTAATGCTCTTGTGGCTGAATGGAAGCAAGTCCCCGCAGCAAATGTTCCAACATCTAGTGAAAAGCCTTCCCAGAAGAGTGGAGGCTGATATAGCAGCAAAGGGGGGACCAACTCCATATTACTGCCCATGATTTTGGAATGAGATGTTCGACGAGCAGGTGTCCACTTGCTTTTGGTCACGTAGTGCATGTCATGGGGGCTAACATCACTCTGTCTGCTGCACTTCCTTCCTATTCATCTCTCTCAGCCTATCAGGTTAGATTAATTGTTTCATATTCAATTTGTGTGTACTGTAAAACATTGACACCAATTCATTCTGGTCAGCCTAACAAAATGATAACGTGTATAATGATGCCATAAAGCAGGTGCCATAAAACAGATGATGAGCATATGGAAATGCATAAACAAACAAAGCCTATATAATGACCAAATACTCATCCCTACTGTTAAATATCTCACACCATGGCCACAAGGCACATCTCAAAGCTGAATGGTGCAGGGAGTCTCAGGCTGTAGTTGTAAAGTGCCACAAATGTGGTGACTTAGGGCAGCCGTCTCTCTCTCTCTCTCTCTCTCTCTCTCTCTCTCTCTCTCTCTCTCTCTCTCTCTCTCTCTCTCTCTGGGTCCATCTCAACAGGCTAAAGTGTTTTTCAGCTCTCATCCGAAAACCCAAGATAGGTAAGCAATATCGTGGTTGCCTACTGGAGAGTTGCTTACACTCCTACACTTCCTTCATAGCAGTGCAGATTAAGGAAAGGAGATGAGGAGAGGAAGCCTCCTCAGAGTCTTGAAATGCACCCTCGCTCTCTGTAGGTCACATGACTATGTGCTATCCGAGGTCAGTCCCTCTGTTTAAAGCAGACATTTTTATGGGATTAGCCGGTTTCTACACACACTAACAGCACTACAACCAACGATGGCCACACTCTGACAGACCTGGGACACAAACAGGTAAGGGGAATCTATACTTTATTGTGGACCTTTGAACAATCTGAAAAAAGACACAAGAAAGACGTATCAGAATGTGTATAGGACAGTTGTAAACAAGATAGGAAGAGCACATGAGACAGGCAGGTGGGCAGGGAGGATGATGTTTTGATCCCTCCATAGCAACAGGCTGTAGGCACAAGGTGCAGGTCAAGCAGTGTAACAACTCCTCCATAGCACGAGAATAAACTCAGTGATGCGGGTTATACCAGTTAACTAGAGAAGAAGTAGTCATGTCTGACACTTAAGACAATTGGAAGATCTTATAAACAGGCTTAATGGTTGATAAGTAGGTAGATAAATAGAGGAGTTGGAGCCGGTGAAGTGGACTGACCAAGCCCTGTTCCTAATACCTAATTCCTAGTATTCATTTTTACAAAAGTGACTTTGGCGTGAACTATGAGTAAACAGTTTTACTAACCAGTGTTGGGGAGTAGTGAACTACATGTAGTTCAACTAGTAATTTAACTACATTTTGCAGTAGCTTGGTGGTAGTTTAACTAAATTCAAATGTAGGGAGTGTTTGCGGTAGTGGTGTAGCTAACTACTGGAAGTATGGAACACTATGTTGTCAAAAATAAAATAAATGATGGTGAAACTAGGCAATAATTACACATTGTGTTAAAATATGACCCCAAAGTAATCTGTTCTTGCAATTTGTCGTCTACGACATTTCAGATTTTTAACGAAGTAGTTTGGATGTAGTGAACTACTTTTTCAAAGTTAACTTTAGTTAAGTAAAGTATATTTTTTTATAAAGGGTAGCTTTAGTTTAGCTTAACTTCTTCCAGTGTGAAGTAATTGGTTGCTTGGTAAACTATATTTTCAGAGTAGCTTCCCCAACACTGTCACTAACTCAGTGACCACTGTACTGTAAACCTGACCCCAGGACTCACAGCTTATAGCGATCATGAAGTGGCTTGAAAATAAGACGTTGGCCATTAAGACTGGGAATTAAGATGATTTCAACTGCTCAATATTTTGACAACTTGACAATGATTTTGACATTATTTATATATTTTTGTGTGCAAAGGTGCCTTTTCCCATTTTGTGTTCCCTGGTGACAAATTAGATTTGCCATGGCGTCCCTGGAGGAGGACTTGACCTGTTCGTTGTGCCGCGATGTCTTCAGCCAGGCCCAGCCCCTGCTGTGTGGCCACAGCTTCTGCCCGGCCTGCGTGCGGGACGCCTGGGGGCACGGAGAGGCTGGGGTCAGGGGTCGCTTCACCTGTGCACAGTGCCAGGAGGAACAAGGGGTGGTGGCGTGTGACTGCTGCCCACCTGTGGGGGACGAGGACCAGGCGGAGACCACCGTGGCAGTGAAGACCTGCCTGCGCTGTGAGGTGTCTCTGTGTGCAGAGCACCTGCAGCCCCACCTGGAGCGGCCCGCCTTCAAGACACACCTGCTGGTGGAACCCCTGGGAGATCTGTCTCACCGCAGGTGTCCCGCCCACAAGGAGATGTTCCTCTACTACTGTGCTGACGAACGGGTGTACGTGTGTTCAGAGTGCCTATTGGAAGGTGGCCATGCACAGCACCGCATTAAAGGACTTAGGATGATGGAGGATGACCTCAAGGTCAGAAAACAACCTGTAGTTCCCTACAGCTGGTGTTATAGTGTGGCTATAACAGTTCTAAATCTGTGTGTTTCCACAGGTCATCCTCAAAAGCCTTCTCCAGAAAGCAGATGAAAAGCTGAATGAAGGTGAACGGATCCTCCAAGAGCACCAGAACACTGACCTCACTATGACAGTGAGTAACCACACACACATGCTTATAGCAGTCCATCAATTTACTGGTCATGCTTATATTAGTCTATCCGAGGTTCTATTCTGCCTTAACGCTGAGTCCTGTTATGACCATAGAGTCTGTATTGATGGTTGTTGTCCCCCTGCAGGACTTGTCTGTGGCAGATGACTCCCAGGTGGAACGTATGGGTATAGACCTGCGGCTGTAGGTGGAGAGGCTAGTGCTGGCCCTGAGGGAGAGCACCTGGAGGGAGAGGCAGAAGGCCATGGAGCGCCTGCAGAACGACTGCAGCAGGGTGAGGGAGGACCTGAGTCAGACCCAGGATATCCACCACTACCTGGGATCCTTGCTGGAGGAGACAGACCCCTTCCTGCTCATCTGGGTGAGATGTTTATTATTAACCCTTTTACCAGATACCAAGATGACTAGAGAGCGGAGAGGGTTTGAAGGAGCCAATTGGAATCTGGGGATGATTTGGATACCATGGTAGGAAGAGCAGACAGGTTGGATATTCCGCCAGGGTAGTGGAGTTAACACCCTACTTTTGGGACAAGTGCCATGGGGTCATTAGTGACCACGCAAGAGTTAGGACCTCAGTTTTGCAATAAAGCAATACATAACCAACTTCACAGTAACCATTTCAGGCAGTTAATCTCTGTGCGTTAGACACAACCTTTGAGTATCCTCAAACAAACCAAATTGATCAAAGCCATCCTCTCAAATCATTGGATGGCATAGGTCACTATTCTGGTAATTCTGAATCTGAACATTCACTTCTGTACTGTAATGCAATGTTTTAACCACCTATTTATTTACAAGACAGCATATGTTGTACACTGCATAACAGAGGATTTCAACTAATCTGTTTACCTCCCTGTCCATCTGGGGGTAATTCACAGTGCCATTCATGCAGGATTTGTACTATGGCATTAAAGGCTTTGTGCTTTTATTGATTAGCCGTCAATGAATGTCTCTTTTCTTGAGATAGTACATTTGATTAACTTTATTAACAGTTTTGTGTTATTGTCTTATAACCGTGAATGACAGTGAATTCCACATTTTGTTACATTACAGCCTTATTCTAAAATGGATTAAATAGTTGTTTCCCCTCATCAATTTACACACAATACCCCATAATGACAAAGCAAAAACAGGTTTTTAGAATTGTTTGCAAATGTATAAAAAAAAAAAAAACTGAAATATGACATTTACATAAGTATTCAGACTGTTTCCTCAGTACTTTGTTGAAGCACCTCAGGCTCTGTCAGGTTGGATGGGGAGTGTCGCTGCACAGATATTTTCAGGTCTCTCCAGAGATGTTCGATCGGGTTCAAGTCCGAGCTCTGGCTGGCCCACTCAAGGACATTCAGAGACTTGTCCCGAAGCCACTCCTGTGTTGTCTTGGCTGTGTGCTTATGGTCGTTGTCCTGTTGGAAGGTGAATCTTCACCCCGGTCTGAGGTCCTGAGCGCTCTGGAGCAGGTTACCATCAAGGATCTCTCTGTACTTTGCTCCGTTCATCTTTCCCTCGATCCTGACTAGTCTCCCAGTCCCTGCCGCTGAAAAACATCCCCACAGCATGATGCTGACACCACCATGCTTCACCATAGAGATTGTGTCAGGTTTCCTCCAGACGTGACGAGTTCAATCTTGGTTTCATCAGACCAGAGTATCTTGTTTCTCATGTTCTGAGAGTCCTTTAGGTGCCTTTTGACAAATTCCAAGCGGGCTGTCATGTGCCTTTTACTGAGGAGTGGCTTCCGTCTGGCCACTCTACCATAAAGGCCTGATTGGTGGTGTGCTGCAGAGATGGTTGTCCTTTTGGAAGGTTCTCCCATATCCAGAGAGGATCTCTGGAGCTCTGTCAGAGTGACCATCGGGTTCTTGGTCACCTCCCTGACCAAGGCCCTTCTCCCCCGATTGCTCAGTTTGGCCATGTGACCAGCTCTAGGAAGAGTCTTGGTGGTTCCAAACTTCTTCCATTTAAGAATTATGGAGGCCACTGTGTTCTTGAGGACCTTCAATGCTGCTGAATTTTTTTGGTACCCTTCCCCAGATCTGTGCCTCGACACAATCCTGTCTCGGAGCTCTACGGACAATTCCTTCGACCTCATGGCTTGGTTTTTGCTCTGACATGCACTGTCAACTGTGGGACTTTATATAGACAAGTGTGTGTCTTTCCAAATCATGTCCAATCAATTGAATTTACCACAGGTGGACTCCAATTAAGTTGTACCTGGGCTCAATTTCTAGTCTCATAGCAAACGGTCTGAGTACTTATGTAAATAAGGTATTTTTGTTTTTTATTTTTTATAAATTGGCAAAAAATTCTAACAACCTGTTTTTGCTTTGTCATTATGTGGTATTGTGTGTAGATTGATGAGAAAAATATATATTTGATCAATTTTAGAATAAGGCTGTAATGTAACAAAATGTGGAAAATGTCAAGGGGTCTGAATACTTTCCGAAATGCACTGTATAAGTATTATCACAGTCTTATAACAGTCCTTGGCTTCTTTTCATTGTTCTGTCCACAGGCATTTCAATCTGATGACTCAAGGTAAATAAGAAATAGGTATTCATTAGTATGATATTGTGTGTGTCTGTTTGTGTGAGTGTGTGTGTGTGTGTGTGTGTGTGTGTGTGTGTGTGTGTGTGTGTGTGTGCGCGCGCGCACTTGTGTATGTGCGTATGTTTGAGTATAATATGATTTGTGTCTAACCTGCAACCTGCTCTGTAACAGGCTGCTTGCGGACGTGAACTGCCCCCTGTTCACCCCTGACCCTCTCAGCCTGGACAGGAAGTACATTGTGGAGGACATTGAGAGCAAGCACAGACAGTTCGTCACCGAGACGCTGCACTGTCTCACCAAACTCAAGAGAGAGCTCTGTGAGTGCACAGGCTGAACCTTCAACCCTTATATCTGAGATGCAATGAATTCAGGTTTATTCATTCATATTTACTTTCTCTCTGTGCGTCATGTCTCAGTCTGTGCTTTCTATGTCTCTTTCTCATTTTCCATAGTGACAAGTCCGTTGACTCTGGACACTAACTCTGCCCATCCTCTCCTGAGCATTTCTGATGGCCTGCGGTCAGCCATGCGGGTCAAACACCGCCTTCCATGTGCCACTCACCCTGACCGCTTCGATCACTGGGCTCAAGTCCTGACCGTCCAGACATTCTCCTCAGGAACCCATTACTGGGAGCTGGAGGCAGAGGGCTTCTGGGACATTGCGGTGTCCTACCGGAGCATCGGGCGGAAGGGGAAGGTGGGCAATGCCTTTGGAAATAACAAGGTACATTATTATCACTGTTCTTCTACATGTAGTCTTTAATAATAGTAAGAACTGTGGTAATAAGACTAACATGACATGTTAGTTGTCATCTCTGTAAACTGATAGGTCTGGAAGCTGATCATTAGCTAGGTTTCCATCCAATTGGCGACAGATTTCCATGCAAATATAAAAAAATATGCATAAAGAAAATATGCACATTTTCCCACCAGTCAAATCAGTGCGTGATGATGTAGTGCACAACATTTTTTACTTTTTCGCTTAAGGTTTCATGTACAGAATAAAACTCTAAAGTCCATCGCACTTGTCACAAAAACTGTTGCTTTAAATAGCAAATGTGCCTACTCTGGCAAATGTGCCTACTCTGGCAAACGCCATGCTCTATCAACTGAGCTACATCCCTGCCGGCCATTCCCTCCCCTACCCTGGACGACGCTGGGCCAATTGTGCGCCGCCCATGAGTCTCCCGGTCGCGGCCGGCTGCGACAGAGCCTGGATTCGAACCAGGATCTCTAGTGGCACAGTTAGCACTGCGATGCAGTGCCTTAGACCACTGCGCCACTCAAACCCGGACGATGCTGGGCCAATTGTGCGCCGTGATATGAGACTCCCAATCACAGCCGGATTGTAATATAGCCTGGAATCGAACCAGGGTCTGTAGTGAGATGCACGCCTTAGACCGCTGCGCCACTCAGGAGTTTTTTCCTGAAACACCGTCAGATAGAATTCATAGCAAGCAGTGCACTGGGTTAGTCAGATTTGATGAAATATAACAGAACAGATGACCTGGAATGACATTCACTCTCACGGGATGGGTTGCCAAAAATAACAAACTGAAAGCCACACCCCCCAATAACTTACAAAGAATGACTGCATTGAGGCATATGTCACTGTGCTTCTATGGCTATATGCACCATGCCATTGCTTATTCCATTTGTTCATTTAGCAAACAAGACAGCTCATCATCCAGTGCCTTCATCACAGTCATCATACCTATATTTTAGCTTTAATTAGCTTTAAAAATGCTAACTTTTCTCTCAGCCTCATGGCAAAATGTGTAGAATAGCATGAGATTAGCTATAAAACGGCAACATTTTCTCCTTGCCCCATGGCAAAGAAATGCACCCACATTTCTGCAGGCCCACCCACCAACGAAGTTCTGGCTGCGCCACTGCTTTAGTCGCATAAAAACTGTGGATAGAAACGTGGTTAATTACTTTAATTGGTCTCTTTGAATGTAACTTTTATCACGAGAAAAAATGTGTGATAAAAAATGTAATGGTTGGTTTTCTATATTGACTGCTAGATGATGGATGATGTTTTGACTTGCAGATGTCTTGGAGCTTGACACAGCAGCATGACAGAAAGCTGGCTGCCTGGCACAACTGCAGGAAGACACGCATCTCCAGCCGAATGTCGGGCAACCGTGTTGGCGTGGCCTTGGACTATGGTGCAGGCACCATCACCTTCTCCGAGGTGGGGCCATCCAACACCCTGACCCACCTGCACAACTTCACCACCTCCTTCAGCCAGCCCGTGTGCCTGGGCTTTGGCCTCTACAAAGCTGAGCTTCAGAGCAGAATCTTCATAGTGACGGTGTGAGAGATCATCAGGGACCAGATAATTAGAATGGGGTGGGAGCTCAAGGATGGAGACTTTGTGGGAGGTTTCCTTCTGGAACATCTCCCAGGACCTCATGAGGGATTGGACTATGAACAGTAGAGCTTGTGTGAGCATGGCGAATGGTAAGACTACATTCTTACAGAGTTCAGGACTCGAAGTACTATGAACTATGACTTTGAATCAGTAAGGAATGGATGTGTATGTCCTACTTTTGTCACAGTTTTTGGGCACCCAAGCAACTTGGACCCAAGCAACTTGGACCCAAGGGAGAGCTTTTTAAAATCAAATACAACCAAACTACAGGACAATATTCTAAAAGAGTTAGAAAATTAAACATTCAGTGGATAGTTCTAGATTCTTATGATGTAACATAGCCATGGGGTCCCATTCCCTTTTCTGAGTTTGTATAGACTATTTTGTATGCATATCATAATCAACATGGGTTCTATGGGGCACTCATGTACCAAGCTAAATACCCCAAATAATGTTGAGAAAAAAGAGATGGAAGGTGTGTGGACTGAACCATATTGTAGTATAGATGACAAAATCATCAGGCATTAGAATCTTTCACAAAAGTGAAATTATGTAGGCCATTATATTGAAAGGGATTCACTTGAAGATGCTCAAGGTAGATTCATAGGCTATAAATCAATGTCAAAGATCGTTTCAGACTGAACAATGTCACAAAATGACCAAAATGACCTCACAAAATGACATCTCAGATGCAATACTTTCCCTGCCACTTTTCATTGTTAGAGAGACAATTAGTAGGTGGGTAAGTGACAGAGAATTAGAGAGAGAGAGAGAGAGAGAGAGAGAGAGAGAGAGAGAGAGAGAGAGAGAGAGAGAGAGAGAGAGAGAGAGAGAGAGAGAGATTATAACGCAGTGGGTCCTCTGGCATGGCCATTTAGATACCTGTTTCAAAGGGAGGTCTCTGTGGTACTGTAGAATGTGAAAGAACAGAGAAGAGGTTATGAGGAATTTGTGACTATCACTCCATCTCCAAGGAACAACAATTTACTTCACTGATATGAAAAATAAGGAGGACACCTTTCAAACTGAAACAGGTGATACTCTCAACTATTTCTCTATGAACTTCAAGCTAGACTCCAGGATTGCATGACAAGTCCTGCAATTTGCTTGTGTTAACATCTTGGATTGTTCAGGAAAACTGTTAATCTTCTGACTGTTTATTGAATATTGGGGACCAACTCTCTAAAACAAACCATGTCAGGTTGGTGTGAGAGAGTGCGTCAATGTGTGTTTGAAGAAAGAGTGTGTGGTGGTTTTATAAGGTTGTTTATAACAGCGTTAATCACTAAATGTCATAGAGAGTGTGATCATCAGAGATGTGTCAGAGTGTCTTTTTGCACTTGAATTGACGACATGTAGAGATTATTTTAGAAGGAAAGAGAAAATCACATTATGAAGAGAGGGTACAGTCTAAAATGTTGTTCTGTCTATAATATCAATAGAGGATGAAGTGCTTTCTTCTCTGTGTTATATACAGTAACCATTTATGTAGTTGTGAAAAGATAAACACCTAAGGAATTTGTAAGAAAATACAAGAGGATGATGGAGAAACTAAGTGCGAACATGGTGGGTGTGAGGAAGGGGGGGGGGGGCATATTGTGGAACGTCAGGAGGTACAGAGCGCGTGTGAAAGACAGATGGTCTCTCAGTGGAGTTGTTCCCCCACTCCCTCTTTCTTTCTCACTCCCTCCTGGATTCTACATCCTCCCCTGACACTGGTCCAGAACGTTACCTCATTCCCTCTTCCTCCCGCTAACAATATCCTCATCTTCATAATCCTCTTCATCAGCTTCTATGGTAGCCGAGATTCCTCACAAGTACTCTACCTTTCTTCATCCCTCCCTCCCTCCCTTCCTCTCTTTCTCCTTCCCTCTCTCAGGCCCTGTATGATGATGCAGTAGATTGGAACACACTCAAACGTCTATTTGTCCATGCTATCCTGCCCTACTGCCACTGTTGCAAACCAGCACAGAATCACAGGAGAGACATCCATGGGAACAGAGTGAGGGAGAGAGGGAAGGACAGACAGATAGTGTTGGGGGAGATAGGGGGAGCGACTGTATGTTCTGACTTTGTCTCCTTCTGCTGAACACGGATAACTCCAAACGCTCCTGGTTGTCAGTCTGTGAGTCCTACCTGTTGACATGCCTCTATATTTATTACTGGGAGACTTCCTACATAGCATCTACACTAGGAGGTGGGATAGGAGACTGCTGTCATAGAACAGGGTGGTGGACCAAGTTCAACCAATTGAGGACCCGAATGATCCTGCTGAATATCAGTTACAACATCAATTGTGAGACATTTAGGACCTGAGTGAGCAGAGAGAATATCTAGCTTTTTAAAAGTCTGACACCTATTTTTCCTGGGCATGTTTATCTATGTCTGTAATCTTTCAAAGTGACTCTCCTCCATACTAGAATGAATAACAGATATACGATCAAAACAAAGCCACTTAAAAGCATGTATCCCAGGGTGGTTTGTCCATCCACTTTAGAGCCCATAGTGTTGCTGGGGCTGCTGCTCCTATGGGGGCCTCTAAGGGCCCAGGCCCAGAATGACACAGAGCCTATCGTCTTGGAAGGGAAGTGTTTGGTGATCTGTGACTCCACTCCCAACTCTGAGCCAGCGGGAAATGCCCTGGGCATGTCAGTACGCTCAGGCACTGGCCGGGTGGCCTTCTCTGCCACCCGCCAGACCAACCACGAGCCCACAGACATGAGCAACCGTACCATGATCATCTATTTCGACCAGGTGAGCAAATGCAAAGAAACGTTGACCATATAAAGTAGTACATCAACAGGTGAAGTTGACCAATGTTTTCTGATTAATTAATTATCTTTGATTGATGGTTGATTGATTTCTCTTTGACTGATTTGTTTATCTTTGATTGATCATTGATGAATGATTTCTATACATCACTCCCTATCTCTCTTATCCTCCTGTGTTCATTCTCTCACTTTCTCTTCATACCGCAGATCCTGGTGAATGTGGGCAATCACTTTGACCAGGAGAGCAGTGTCTTCCTAGCCCCCAGGAGGGGAGTCTACAGCTTCAACTTCCATGTAGTGAAGGCCTACAATAGACAAACTATCCAGGTGAGAGAGACATACTGTAAATGCCGTAAACATAGAGCATATAGCATAGCATCCATGCATGTCCCACACATGGTTAGTTGTTTGACATTGAGACAAACCCTGTGGTTGTTTCCAGGTTAGTCTGATGTTGAATGGGTGGCCAACGATCTCAGCCTTCGCTGGGGACATGGATGTGACGCGGGAGGCAGCCACCAACGCAGGCCTAGTGATCATGGAGAGGGGAGACAAGGCCTACCTCAAACTAGAGAGGGGAAACCTGATGGGTGGCTGGAAGTATTCCACCTTCTCCGGCTTCTTGGTTTTCCCCCTATAGGGAGACAGTCTGCAGGAGGGAGAGAGGAGGACAGAGGGAAAAACGGAGAGAAAGAGGAATGGGGAGGGAAAAGGGTGAGACTGAAAAATATATATAATTTAATGTCTGAGAGAGACAATAAAAGATGAGGGGTGGAGGAGAAACACAAAGACAGAATTTGCATGGTAGATATGTGAATTGTCTCATGTGTCCAGTTTGTGTGTAAATTGTCCTTTAGGGTGGAGGATCGAGATACTATTTTTGTTCAGACACCAGAGTTGATGCGCACTATGGCACAAAAATAGAAATATGCAATCAATTTGTAGTATCTTTTTCATTTTCACTTTTAAACATAAATCCTGTAGCCCCTTAAAATATGGCAAGACCTGAATACAACATTTCATTAACTTTTGAATCTCTGGCATTTTTGCCTGCCATTCTGGCTAGCCCCCCTGGCTTACTGCTTTGTTTAACCTGTTTGTCCTGTGACTAATTATATTCCCTATTTACCAGTATGTATTCTGCAGTGTGCACACCTCTTAGGAAGATATATATAAACAGGTCATATTAAAATGAATATATACATTAGCCTTTTGTCTCTTTTTGGTGAGTATTTGTTAAGTCTATAGTGGTACAATGTGAATCAGATTTGTTTTTTCATTGTTGGTAGTTTGCATATTTTGACAATTACATTAGGCTACAAGGTATCAATATTCACTCTTTTACTCCTGCTTTTCTTTGAACCAGTATCATGACAACTGTTGTAAATATAGCTCTCACCACCAGAGTTGGCATGGTGGCAGGGCATTGGCAAGGGGGGAGAGCATAAGCATAGTGAATAACGGACACTCCTCATAGGGCTACCAGTCGCGCACAAACAGATGGAGGCTTTGGAGAGCACACGAGCACGTCTTCGCCGGACTCCTGTGGCTCAAGTGTGGTGTGGTGTCACAACTAGTCAGTCACGCTTCCTTAATTCATGATAGACAGTAAGACACGGAGTTAGAAAAGATAGAGTGTGCGCTTTTAAAAAAAAGACTGATTAGCGTGCATATAAAGTGAACTGGGTGGGACTGACCTTTTTCAAGACAATGAGGAAAAGTCTTGCTATGTAGGCCTATCACCTCCTCTATAGGTAGCAACCATTTGCATTACATTTTGTGCTCTGCCACTCCCGACTATACCAGGCGGTATCAGAGGAAGGCCCTAAAAATTGTTAAAGACTCCAACCAACGAAGTCATAGACGGTTCTCTCTACTACCGCACGGTAAGTGATACCGGAGCACCAAGTCCGGGATCAAAAGGCTTCTTAACAGCTTCTGCCCCCAAGCCATAAGACTGCTGAACAGTTTATTTTGCATTGACCCCCTTATTTTATTTTTGCACTGACTCGATGTACACTTACTGGACTCTAACCACACACACTCACACATACTACACTGACACTCCAAACACACAGACGGACACACATGCATATTGACAACACACACAGTGCATTTGGAACCAAAACTTCTTCCATTTAAGAATGATTGAGGCCACTGTGTTCTTAGAGACCTTCAATTCTGCAGAAAATGTTTGGTACCGTTCCCCAGATCTGTGCCTCGACACAATCCTGTCTCGGAGCTCTACAGACAATTCCTTTGACCTCATGGCTTGGTTTTTGCTCTAACATGCGCTGTCAACTGTGGGACCTTATATAGACAGGTGTGTTCCTTTCCAAATCATGTCCAATCAATTGAATTTACCACAGGTGGACTCCAATCAAGTTGTAGAAACATGTCAAGGATAATCAATGGAAACAGGATGCACCTGAGCTCAATTTCGAGTCTCATAGCAAAGGGTCTGAATACTTAATAAATAAGGTATTTTTCATTTTTAATACATTTGCAAAAATGTCTAAAAACCTGTTTTTGCTTTGTTATTATGGGGTATTGTGTGTAGATTGATGAGGATTTGTATTTATTTAATGCATTTTAGAATAAGGCTGTAACATAACAAAATGTGGAAAAAGGGAAGTGGTCTGAATACATTCCTTCACACTCTTCACATATTTTACTGTTTTTCTATTAGTTGATTTAGTACAATTTTTCATACTTACATTTTTTAAAACTCAGTTGTTGGTTAAGGGCTCATAAATAAGCATTTACTTGGTTAGAAAGCAACCAATTGTAGTAACGCATTACAAGTAATCCAGATTAGGTCGTTACGTAATCAGACCATCGCAGTGCGCTTTGTCTGGGGTGTATTCATTACGTCTTGCAACGGAAACCGTTTACCGTTTAAAAGAACCAAACAGCGGCAAACGGAACGAAACGGGAGGGACCTACCTGAATTTCTCCAATAGAAAGTCTCGTTTTCGTTAAAAAACGTTTTCAGTTTGGAGTTAACGGTTTCTGTTGCAACAGACGAAACGTTTTGCAACCGAATCGGCGTAATGACTACACCCCTGTTTAAACGCTTGCAGTCTCGCACTAAATACGACACATTGTACGGATAATTTCTTTAAAATGGATGCCGGTGCTCTTGCCACATCTTTCCATGTCTGGCAATATAGACATCATTTCATTTTCAAGGAGTTAAGAGACAAAAATATGACCGTTGAGTGTGTTCTATGCAAACCCAAAATCCGCATGCTGTCTACCTCCAAGAACTCGACATCAAATCTGAAGAAACATTTAGAGGTGAGTTGAATGTTTTCAATGAACATGTTATATGGGGGGTTAAAAATGCAGGTCGTTTGTAAAACATGTGGCCAAAGCCCGTACCAACTTTATAAACCACCTTTGGCCTAACTACTAACGTTCTTTCACAATAAAATAATGACGGCTTTACTGTGTTTTGATTGGGTGGCGGTACATCTCATCGAGTGTAGACTGACATTTCATTGGCGTCGCCATATTCTTTTCCCCCTCATGCAATCACACAAGATTAGGGCTATCTGTGATCCTTGGGACGTCCCTACCCTAATCTAACCTAACCATAAACCTTACCCTAACCATTTTACAGTTCAACGGCAATGGAGTAGGGACGTCCCAAGGATTCAGTATAGCATGGACCAATCAGGCAAAAAAAAGTCACTTGGAAATGGAATTCTAACATTTAATATAAATTACATTCAAACATTGCAATGCATCATCATTTTCACCTACTCGAAAACTGCAACAACAAAAACACAAAACACCAACAGAAATACATTTTGGGGAGGGGGGTGCAGTGTCTCAATACAGAGGCATGTATTCATCACGCCAATTATGTTGCAAAATTGGGAGGGACCTACCTGAATTTGTCCAATAGAAACTCAAGTTCCGTTTTGCAACTGTTTGGTGAAATGATTACACCCCTGTATTATGTGACTAGAAAAATGTGAAAGTAAAGGGATCAACCAAGTTTTACCTGGCCTGTTGTTTCCTATTAGTAAAGATGAAGGGGATGGAGACGAGGCGGAGGAAGCAACGTATTGAGATGCACCCTTATTGAAATGTATATCATGGACATATGGGGTACTACTACTGGTGGTCAGTGTAACTGCCCTCTCAGCCTTGTAGTTTTTTGAATGGGCTTCAAGCGCAAACAAATTACGAAAATGTTCTTCATAAAAATAATTGCCATAAATTCATCCACAAACACAAATATATCTTAAATGGGCAATCTGCAGTTGCCACATCCATTTTTGGATTTTTAAATGAATGATATGTACCCATTTTATTCTTGAAGAATATAACTTGTAAATACCTCATGAGTTTAGTTCAACTGTTGTACCCCATCAGAACCCAAAATATAAGCTTGTTTTATTCCAATGTTTGTAATAAAAGTAAATGTAAACTAACACTATATAGCCTCAAAACATGGTTAAAACTACAATTGATGGTCAGTCCTTGCATCCATAGCTCTGTCTATGAATTTGAGAGTGGTTACATTTCTCCAGCCCTGTCTCTCAGCTTTTTACCGAAACAGGGGCGGGGACTTCACTTTGTTATAGTTTCAACTGCTGATTGCCGCTTTAAATTTGATTATATAATCTTGAAGCACATTCAAAAGATTATGGGACAGTATCTGGCTCTGCTACATATGGCAATAAATAGGTTGGGTAAATGCTTTGGGGATTTACCTGTCTGTTAAAAATACAACAGGGATGTTCTGATATACTGTATATGAAGGTGTATTAATACATTTTCTTTTTGATTGTATTTCAGAGAAAGCATGCAACCATGTATCTGAAGTCCCCTAAAGGTGAGATGGATGGACCCAATGGATCAACCACAGAGTCTCCTAAGGAGCCACGCTACAAGAAATCCAAGCTGGAAAACCTTGTCCATCAAATGACGTCACAGCCAAAAGTGAACACCTTGGTCTTCAACTTCATGGTGGAAAATGTCCAGTCGCTCTCTGTCTTGGAGCAGCCTGCTTTCAGGAAGCTGATTGAGGGCTTAAGTGGAGGGAAGATGTCCATGACCCGAAATACTTTTATCAATAGAATTATGATGGCATACTCCAAAATGAAGGAGGAACTAAAGGAAAAGCTGGACAGGGTACAATCTGTGTGCACTACAGCTGATATCTGGTCAGCTCACAACAGAAGCTACATTGGGATGACCTGTCATTGGATTGAGAAGAATGAGCTAGAGAGGAAGTCTGCTGCGCTTGCCTGTGCCAGAATACGGGGCGCGCACACATTTGATACAATTGCAGCCAAGATACACGAGATTCATTTGGCCTACAATATTGAAAACAAACTTCAGGCTACAGTCACTGATAATGGCAGCAACTTCGTCAAAGTCTTCAAAGAGTTTTCGAAGGGGGACAATGAAAACTATGAAGATGACATTGTTGAATTTCAGGACGTGGGCACCATACTTGACGGAGCAGATGAGGCCATGCACCTCTTTCTGCTGCCGCACCAGAGATGTGCATCGCACGCATTGAATCTGATTGCCTCCCACGATCTAGCACAAGTTCTATCACAGGGAGAAACTGGCCAAGTGTACTGCAGCGCAATGGCCAAGTGTTTTGCCATATGGAACAGCGTCCACCAATCCCCATTGGCTATAGCAGCAGTGGAGGACATAGAGAAAATGAAATTGACTGCTCCTTGTGTGAGTCGCTGGAATTCTGAATACTGTGCAGTGGAAAAGATGGTCTCTCTCCCTGAAACAAAACTAATGGATGTTTGTGACAGCCTGGGGGTCCCGAGACTGCTATCTTACGAGATAGCATTTTTAAAAGAATACATAAATGTCTTCAAGCCACTTGCTTTTGCACTGGAACTCTTCCAAGGAGAGCAAAAATGTTTTCTTGGACTGGTCATACCTACGGTACTCACATTGAAGAAAAAGCTATGTGAGAAGAAAACTCTTGCACTCTATCTCTTCGACGTCATCAACCCTGTTCTAGAAGCAATAGATTCCCGTTTCAAACAGCTCTTTGCCAGTCTGGATGCAAAAATGGCGACAGCAACTACTCCACAATTTCGTTTGTGGTGGCTACCAGAAGCTGAGAGAGAAGACATGCATTTGATGCTGGTGGCTGAGGCAACCCGATTGGAGCCGACTGATGGTGAGCCAATCGGCAGCGACAACGTGCAGTCAGAAGACGAATTCTTTAGTTTCGGACCTGGGACTGGCAATAGTGACACAGAAGAGGAAGTCCGGAGGTACCTCGAGGGAACCAGCAAAAATCTCAGCTGCCTGAAATACTTCCAGAGAGTGAGGAAGCTGTTCCTCAAATTCAACGCCATCCTACCCTCAAGTGCTCCTGTGGAGCGGCTCTTCAGTCATAACGGGAACATTCTCACCCCTAAAAGGAATGGTCTGACTGATGATCAGTTTGAGCAAGTTCTCCTTTTGCGTTACAACAGCAAAATATGCACTCTGGACAAAATATTCCCTGAGTAAAAATAGAAAGGGAATTTTTTCACAGATCATGTATCAGGCAAAGGAGGCTGGTAGGAGGAGCTATAGGAGGACAGGCTCATTGTAATGGCTTGAATGGATTTAATGGAACTGTATAAAACACATCAAACATATGTAAACCACACGTTTGACTCCGTTCCATTAATTTCATTCCAGCCATTACAATGAACCTGTCCTCCTATAGCTCCTCCCACCAGCCTCCACTGGTATCAGGGGTGTATTCTTTGTTGTGTTTGTTAAGCTCACATTGAACATGTTGTTTAAAAGTCATCAACGGCTGTGTGTACAGAGGTTAAAACAGGGATATATGTTTTAGTCGGTGTGACTTGCAGTATATTTAAGCAATAAGGCATATGGCCAATATACCACGGCTAAGGGCTGTTCTTATGGACGATGCAACACAGAGTGCCTGGATACAACCCTTAGCCGTGGAATATTGTCCGTACACCACAAACCCTCGAGGTGCCTTATTGCTTGGAACAGCCTGCACATATACCACAGCTTTCAGCATTCAGGGCTCGAATCACCCAGTTTATAATTAATTTATAAACTGGGTGGTTCGAGCCCTAAATGCTGAAAGCCGTGGTATATCAGACCGTATACCACGGGTATGACAAAACATTACTTTTTACTCTTCTAATTACATTGGTAATCAGTATTCAGAATATTGAGGTAATGCAAACTTCTACTTTTCTTTACTACTTTACCTACTTCTTTTTTTTACACTAGGCTACTAGCCTACTTTTTACACATGATTATATTGAAAATGAGTCTAACATAAATAAAATGGAACAGGTTAAAATTATTCTAAATATGTTTCTTTGTGCTTTTATTAAACATGTTCAAGTTTTATTTTAAAAGATGTCATGTAATTTGTATCCAGTAATGGATTTTCTGTGTTCCTACTGTACAGTACATTACATTGGAGACCTCCAAAACAGAGGAACAGGTTCACACTCACAGTTCACCCACACGATCACCTCTAGGCGGCAATGTTGAGTTGTTAAATCTAGTATGTGTGTGTGTCTGTGTGTGTGATTATATTTACTATGTTGTCCACCTATCTTTAAAGTAGGAGGCCTCTGTTAGTAGGTAGTGTGCCAGTTCCGTTTGTGTGTACCCAAAAAAGAAACACACAAGACAATACCCAGTGGAAAGTTAAAAAGTGAGCCACCGTACACAAAATCATCTAGAAGGCCTGCCAGTCTTTCTGGTATGGACATCATCTCCTCAGGAGGCAGTTACTGGACAACTTGGCATTTTAAAGGTAATTGTGAAGTGTCATTTACTCCTATGCTGCCAGTGATTTTTGTGTGTGAATCCAGTGCTAATCAAAGATATGATATGATGGAGGCACCTTATAGAGATGAAGAGGATACAATGTTATTAAAACACACTGTATCCATGATAAACATAAGCCTCGATTATGGTGCATTTCAGTTTTGATTTAGCCTGTAGAAATCCATATGAAAATAAATAAAAATTTAACGTATTTTAAAATAAGTATAGCATCTCTGGTCTGGGTATAGCTACAATTTTAAAGCAGGGTTAAACTATGTGTGTGTGAGAGAAAACATGTTCTCCTTTTTGTAGCGTGTGTAAGACTGAGGTCACATTGTTAGATGGTTTGCAAAAACAATCGCCAGAGACATTTTGTATGGAATATACGACATATCTTCAAATCGTATTGAAGTTTAACATGCGGTAAACTCAGCTGGTGCTTATGTTTGACAGCTAAATCCAACGTGTAGGACCTCTGAGCCAAATTGTCCCAACAAGGCCGCATTTATTGTTTTCTCAACCTAACTATGTCCATTATTTGGATGATGGACAATCCCTTTTAGCCAATGGCGTGTACGAATGCTGCCGGCTAGTGTACATTCAGACCAATGATAGTCAAGCGGATGGTATTGAGGGGTACACTTTCAACGTTTTCTCTGGCAAGAACGTTAGTTCCTGCTCTTTCCTGGCCGTTTCCTGTAATCGTACAGTGTTGTGAGACGGAGAAAGCCATGTGTGTCGATGCAAAGGTAAATTTAGCACCCCGAAATTAAAACTGAGAGAGTCGAGGCAGTGGATGGTTATTTGGCGGTATTTTTTGATGAATAACAGACGTAGTCCAACCCAAATGCCATTGCGGCCTTACCGGTGTCTGATCGTAGAGAGGCTAGTATGGTTATTGTGGCACGTTGCTTTGGTTTGGTCCGGTTTGTTGATGAGATTGAAAGAGTGGATGGTATGCAGTAAATTATGAAGATGTTAGCTATTGATTTATGTATATTGCAGTAGTTATTTATATACCTTTTGAAATAGATTTTAATCCCGAAACAGCCTTATGTGGGATATGCAATGGCAATAGCCATTCAATGCTAACGTTATCTCGGTAGCGGGTTTGCCGAGAACAACACAGTCAGAAAGAAACGTCTGACTATGTGTAGACAGATGGTTTTCTCCCACTTGCCATTTAAACTATTAATTTCCATACAAATACTGCTTGTAAAATAATATATGATCATAATAAAGGCATGTTTGATTCAAGAAAAAATTGAAACCACTAGTGTTTGTTGTTATAGGTAGCTAGATGGCTAACTAGTTCACCAACTAGCTAGCTAACGTTACTAGCTAGTTACCTCATGACAAATCAGACCATTTCACCCCACCAAGAGAGCAGTGTCATGGCACACTTTGTGTGATAGTTTCAGGAAGTCTATTGGAATAGTGCTTTTTCCTGGTTAAGCTAAACCCTTATCTTCTACTTTTCTGCTTTAGGAAAGAGACATCAGCGAATGATCTCACAGATGGGCATCCATCCCATCATTACGCACAGAGCAGAGGAGAGAAATAAGCACTGAAAACAAGGAAGAGGAAAGGGGTGAGGAAGAAGTGGAGAAACAGGGGGACTCTCTTCTTCCCTGAGCCTCTTTCTCTGGTATCTAGCTCATTTTCCCCACCACCTACACCACCACTCCAATATTTGTCATTGGAGGATACACAGACGAAGGCCAAGTCAATTCTCTGCACTGGACTAAAACCGCAGAATTAGTCAATTTTAGTAAGTGAATTATGTTGATTGATATGTGTTCATGGAATAATATTTATGATCTTTGATTAATTAAAAATAATGTTGTTTTTCCAATCGTTTTTTAAAAGTGCACAACCTGGGCAGATTTACGGATTCCCTGTCTTTCTGACTGAGAGCAAAGCTGTTTTGTTCTCTATAACTTCTGTGGACTGGGCAACATGGCAGACCCCATCATGGACCTCTTTGATGACACACCGCTGTTCAACCTGGATGCCCTGCCAGGCGATGCCTTCACCCAGGGCTCCTCAGACCCTGTGGAGGAGGCTCTGAAGCTGGCTCTGGGGCAGGTTGAACCCCTCCCCGAACCCACCCCAGCTCTCAGCATACCAGTGGCAGCTCCAACCATCCCAGACCCAGTCCCTGTGCAGCAGCAGGTCCCAGTCCCGGTCGCCCTCCCTCAGACTGTTTCAATAGCTTCAACAGTACCTCAGACAACACTCTCTGTAGCCAGTAACACTAGTCGGGCTGCCACAATCCTGCTGGGCTCACCTCTGACTGTCAATAGCTCTGCTGGCACCACACAACAGATCACCACGCAACAATTCACCACACAGCAGCTCGCACAGATCGCCCAGCAGCTTACTCCTCAGCAGCTAGCTGCCATCACCCAGCAGGCCGGAGGGCAGGGAGGCTCCAAGATCGTCATCCTGAAAGGACCTGGGGGGCATGCACAGGTGCTGCAGACTGTTGCTGGGACAGGATCCCAAGGGGGAAAGGTCACCTTTGCCAGGGTACTGTCTGGAACCCAACTTAGGCCTGGCATGCAGATACTGTCTGGAGGAACGGTCCTGAACCAAGCATCTCCTGGGCAGGGACAGGTGAAGGTGGGGACCGGGATACAGAGGCTAGTTCAGTCGCCCAACGGACCCCTAAAGCAGGTGCAGCTGATCTCCATGCCCCAGGGCCAGTCCCAGGGCCAGACGCAGACTGTCCAGATGCAAATACCGCAGGCCCAGCTTGCCCAAGCGCAGGCTCAAGTGCAGCTCCAAACCCAAGGACAGGCGATGCAGATGAAGCAAATCCAGCTACAGCCCCAGACACAGGTGCAGCTGCAGTCTGCCATGCAAACACAGGTTACCGCCACTGCTACAGGCACCACTTCAGTCCGACCACAAGGGGTCACCCTCACTACAGTACCACAGCAGGTATGACTGACCTCTGAACTCAGTTTGACCTTACCATCAGAATTGTCATGCTATGTTTTGAGTAGTCAGGAATACAATGACCTGGTCTCTTCACCTCAGGTCTCAAGATTGTACATTTGTAATTTAATCAACATCTTCTCATTTCTAACTGATAATTGCTCTTTCTCCTCTCAGGGTGAAGCTAAGAGGATCACCCTGGTGCTGCAGCAGCCCCATGGTGGCACGGCCCAGGGGGGTACTGTGACAGTGGGTGGGTCGGGTCAACTGCAGCAGGGCCAGCAGCAGAGGCTGGTGTTGGGTAACCTCCCAGGGAAGCTGGTCCTCCAGGGGGGTCAGCTGGCTGCGCTCACCCAGGCCAGGGCAGGGCAGACGGGGGCTCAGCCTAAAGTGCTTACCATCCAGCTGCAGGTGCAGCAGCAACCCAACCAACAGGGGGGACCCAAGGTAAGGAGGAGTGGCCTGAATTAGTAATTACAAATTATCCCCTCTCATTTAACTAATCAGAAATACTGACCTGTTCTATGAAGACTTTGATCTGTAACTTGAACTGTCTCTGTCCTGCAGTTTCAGCTGGTGTCTGGAGGGCAAGGTAGCAGCCCACAGGTGGTTCAGATCTCCCAGGGGCAAGGTGGACAGAGACTGGCCATGCCCCTCAAACTGCTGCTGCAACCACAGGTATACACACACACATGCCTCATTTCTCAATATATGAACTGCACATCTCACTAATCAGTGTTTTTTTTTTTTCCTTACTCTGAACTCTTCCATCTCTTTCCCCAGATGAGCTCCACCTCCACAGCAGGTGGTGGCGTCTCCATAGTGAAGGTCATCAACACTTCAGCTGCCGGCTCTGCCCCTTCCACCACCACCACTATGGCATCGACAGGGATACGGCTGGCCAAGGCCCAGGAGCCTGTACGGCGCGTGGAGATCCTTGGCAAGCAGGAGAAGGCCAACCGCATCGTGGCCGAGGCCATCGCCAGAGCAAAGGCCAGAGGAGAGAGGAACATTCCACGAGTCCTCAACCAGGATGAACTGCCTGCTGGACAGAAGGCCGCTGACCAAGGGGCCGCTGCAACGACCACTGGCACACCTGGAGCCAAGAAGAAGGGGGGAGGAGGTGGGAGTAAGAAGAAAAGCCCACCAGGGGGGAAGGGCATGGCTTGTGCTGAGAAGAAAGGCAAGGCCAAGGCAGCAGGTGGAGCTGCTGTAGGGACACCTGTAGGGGTGTCTGGAACCAGCGGCAGCAAAAGCAAGGCAAAGATCAAGTAAGTTTGTGTGTGTTAGGAGCAGTTATGTAATTTAAAAATGCAATGTGTTCTCATTCTGTTTTTTTTGGGGGTGTTAAATCTATTTTTCTAAACTAATTATCTTTCTCATCCTCCTCCTCTCTCTCGCCCCAGTACGATCACTCTAGTGGGGGGTAAGAAGAGGAAGAGGAATGCCTCCTCAGACCACTCTGATGGGGAGTTGAGCCCTGCCTCTCCGTCTAAGGCCCTGGAGGAGGACATGCTAGCAGTGAGATCCCTCCTACTGACACACCTACACACAACACAACCACTTTTTCCTCCACACACATGCATGACACTACACTAAACTACAGTTAAGTGATAATGCCCGAGAAGCTGGTGTTTGTTGGATATATTGGCACAGGTGTTGTTAGGCCCCAGACGAAGTCAAGTGCCGACAAACTGTGCCAATATATCCAACAAACACCGGCTTTGAGGGCATTCTCCCTTTTATACAACGGGTTACCAACATATTCAAATAATGATTGACATATTTTCATTAAAAACGTTATTATGATTAATTTATTCGTACTACTTCATCCTTCCACAATATATAGTCCTGACACAAATCTAGGTTTGCTGGAGACGCAACCCAGTTGTTCATTCTTTTTGTTCTGTATCTATGGACGCGACCCAGTCGTTCGTTCTAAATGTTCCATTGCCATACTGGCTGGCAACGTTCTGATCCCTTGCTCGCTAGCTAGGCAACTACGGCTAATTTACAGTTACGTCAAAAAGTTCAGCCAGAATAACAGCAAAGTAGCTGCATTTGCATTTATTTAAGCTGTTTTCTAGTGACTTTTATTTGGATACATCATAACAATGAGCTAATGAGGCGCGATTTCACCTGGCATAGAGAATGTGCTCTCTCGTCAGGACACTTGTTCCGAGGAGCTAGTCAACAACACAGCTACAGTAACACAATCACTTCAAACTGAAGCTGGAAAGACTGCACATTAGCTGTGTTTTGTTTTACCTTTTTTCAATGGACTTTTTGTTGTTATATACATCCATAAAAATGATGCCAGCTGATTCATGATTTCGACTGGCTGAGAAACGCTGCCTGCCTTTCTGTCTCTTCCCGACACGTTCAATAATACACACATCCCTGATTAGACATTTATGAACATAATACGTCCAGTATTGTACTGGCTGTTTGTCTTAGACTTCCTGACTGATGTCTGACTTGTTTGCATGTCATCTCCCGCCACCAGAAGAGGCGCTCTAACCGCCAGGTGAAGAGGAAGAAGTACACAGAGGATCTGGACATCAAAATCACTGACGACGAGGATGAGCCAGAGGAGGACGTGGACGTAACCACGACGGCAGCGGTGCCGTCTATTACCGGAGGAGCAGCAGGGCAGCTGATGGGGGAGCAGCTCAAACAGGAGCTGCAGTTGGACGGGGACAGCCTTTCCAGCATGCAGTTCTTTGTGGTGAGTGGGAGATCTAATCAAGTTGGGTCTGTTCTGTTCAGTGAGTTTTGTTTATCACATGCACATGACAGCTGTATAACGTATATCATTTCCTGTATCACAGGAAAACCCCAATGAGGAAGATGCAGCAATTGTAGACAAAGTTTTGTCCATGAGGTTAACTAAAAAAGAGGTGAGTGTGCTTACTGTGCTATTTATTTATTCTGTTGATTTTAAGAAGTTGCAAATCATTATGTATCATGTTTGTTCCTCTCTTCATATTTTAAAGGTGTCTCCAGGACAGTATATAAATGCTGAGGAATTCTTTGTCAAATATAAGAACTAGTAAGTCTCACTGTCTTTCCTTGTGTTCATTAGACTTTGGTTTGCTAATCCCTGATGACGGTCTATTGACTGAAGTACTGGTGTGAGATCCATGAAATTGTTTGTGGAGTATCCATAGCTAACCCCTAACCCTCCTGTTCCCCCTCTCAGCTCCTACATGCACTGTGAGTGGGCCACTCTGCAGCAGCTGGAGAGAGACAAGAGGATCCATCAGAAGCTGAAGAGATTCAAGATCAAACATGCACAAATGAGACTCCTCTTACAGGAGGTAAGGGAATGATATGGCCTCTTTCACAGAAAAGTGGTAGCCCTCCGATTGACAAGTAGATGGGAATGTGTATAGAGATGTAACTACAGGGATCATAGTCGTTGTGTCATTTGTGTCTTCTCCTTTCTGTGCCCCTGTCCCCAGGAGGAGGAGCCCTTCAACCCAGACTATGTGGAGGTGGACCGGATCCTGGACGAGTCCAACAGTGTGGACAAGGACAATGGAGAGGTAAGAGAAGTCAATAACATAGGAGCCCTGTGAGGGTACAGCACTCATGCCTGACTAAAGGACAAATCTTGAAATCTGTTCTTGTAAACCATGAATTGATCTCATTGTGAAAATTCAGAGTTAGGATTATTTGTCTCTAATAGTGTATTGTATCTCCTCAGCCAGTGGTGTATTACTTGGTGAAGTGGTGCTCTCTGCCCTATGAAGACGCCACCTGGGAGCTGAGGGAGGATGTGGATGCGGACAAGGTGGAGGAGTTTAGGAAGATCCAGGACCGCCAACCTCAGCTCAAGAGAACGGTGAGTGTCAGATGCTGTGTGTGGGTATTCACTGGCTGTGTGTGGGTATTCACTGGTCGTGTGTGGGTATTCACTGGTCGTGTGTGGGTATTCACTGGTCGTGTGTGGGTATTCACTGGTCGTGTGTGGGTATTCACTGGTCGTGTGTGGGTATTCACTGGTCGTGTGTGGGTATTCACTGGTCGTGTGTGGGTATTCACTGGTCGTGTGTGGGTATTCACTGGTTGTGTGTGTTCACCACGTTCCATGTGAGTGCCACTGCTCTAGTCTCCTATGTCATCATTCCTCAGTCTAAACCATTAACTCCTCTCATTAGCCCCGACCCCAAGCGGCTGCATGGAAGAAGCTGGAGGAATTCCGAGAGTACAAGAGTGGGAACGTACTCCGAGAATACCAGCTAGAAGGAGTCAACTGGCTGCTCTTCAACTGGTACAACAGGTACTGACATTTTCTTTACGTGCTTTTGAATGCATTTCATACATATACACACGCGCACACACACACTACCGTTCAAAAGTTTGGGGTCACTTAGAAATGTCCTTGTTTTCGAAAGAAAAGCAATTGTTTTGTCCATTAAAATAACATCAAATTGATCAGAAATACAGTGTAGACACTGTTAATGTTGTAAATGGCTATTGTAGCTGGAAACGGCTGATTTTGAATGGAATATCTACATAGGCGTAGAGGCGCATTATCAGCAACCATCAGTCCTGTGTTCCAATGGCACGTTGTGTTTGCTAATCCAAGTTTATCATTTTAAAAGGCTAATTGATCATTAGAAAACCCTTTTGCAATTATGTTAGCACAGCTGAAAACTGTTGTGCTGATTTAAAGAAGCAATATAACTGGCCTTCTTGAGATTAGTTGAGTATCTGGAGCATCAGCAATTGTGGGTTCGATTACATGCTCAAAATGGCCAGAAACAAATAATTTTCTTCTGAAACTCGTCAGTCTATTCTTGTTCTGAGAAATGAAGGCTATTCCATGCGGGAAATTGCCAAGAAACTGAAGATCTCGTGCAACGCTGTGTACTACTCCCTTCACAGAACAGCGCAAACTGGTTCTAACCAGAATAGAAAGAGGAGTGGGAGGCCCCGGTGAACAACTGAGCAAGAGGACAAATACATTAGTGTCTAGTTTGAGAAACGGATGCCTCACAGGTCCTCAACTGGCAGCTTCATTAAATAGTACTCGCAAAACACCAGTCTCAACGTCAACAGTGAAGAGGCGACTCCGGGATGCTGACCTTCTAGACAGAGTTGCAAAGAAAAAGCCATATCTCAGACTTCCAATAAAAAGAAAAGATTAAGATGGGTAAAAGAACACCGACACTGGAAAGAGGAAGATTGGGAAAAAGTGTTATGGACAGATGAATCGAAGTTTGAGGTGTTCGGATCACAAAGAATAACATTTGTGAGACGCAGACCAAATGAAAAGATGCTGGAGGAGTGCTTGATGCCATCTGTCAAGCATGGTGGAGGCAATGTGATGGTCTGGGGGTGCTTTGGTGGTGGTCAATTGGAGGTGTACCTGTGGATGTATTTCAAGGCCTACCTTCAAACTCAGTGCCTCTTTGCTTGACATCATGAGAAAATCAAAATAAATCAGCCAAGACCTCAGAAAAAAATGTGTAGACCTCCACAAGTCTGGTTCATCCTTGGGAGCAATTTATAAACACCTGAAGGTACCACGTTCATCTGTACAAACAATAGTACGCAAGTATAAACACCATGGGACCACGCAGCCGTCATACCGCTAACGAAGGAGACGCGTTCTGTCTCCTAGAGATGAACGTACTTTGGTGCGAAAAGTGCAAATCAATCCCAGAACCACAGCAAAGGACCTTGTGAAGATGCTGAAGGAAACAGGTACAAAAGTATCTACATCCACAGTAAAACGAGTCTAATATTGACATAACCTGAAAGGCCGCTCAGCAAGGAAGAATACACTGCTCCAAAACCGCCATAAAAAGCACTGCACATGGGGACAAAGATCATACTTTTTGTTTGGAGGAAAAAGGGTGGCATTGCAAGCTGAAGAACACCATCCCAACCGTGAAGCACGGGGGTGGCAGCATCATGCTGTGGGGGTGCTTTGCTGCAGGAGGGACTGGTGCACTTCACAAAATAGATGGCATCATGAGGAAGGAAAATTATGTGGATATATTGAAGCAACATCTCAAGACATCAGTCATGAAGTTAAAGCTTGGTCACAAATGGGTCTTCCAAATGGACAATGACCCCAAGCATACTTCCAAAGTTGTGGCAAAATGGCTTAAGGACAACAAAGTCAAGGTATTGGAGTGGCCATCACAAAGCCCTGACCTCAATTATATAGAACATTTGTGGGCAGAACTGAAAAAGTGTGTGCGAGCAAGGAGGCCTACAAACCTGACTCAGTTACACCAGCTCTGTCAGTAGGAATAGGCCAAAATTCACCCAACTTATAGTGGGAAGCTTGTGGAAGGCTACCCGACACGTTTGACCCAAGTTTAAAGGCAATGCTTCCAAATACTAATTGAGCGTATGTAAACTTCTGACCCACTGGGAATGTGATGAAAGAAATAAAGCTGAAATAAATCATTCTCTCTACTATTATTATGACATTTCACGTTCTTAAAATAAAGTGGTGATCCTAACTGACCTAAGACAGGGAATTTGTACTAGGATTTAATGTCAGGAATTGTGTGAAACTGAGTTTAAATGTACAGTGGGGGAAAAAAGTATTTAGTCAGCCACCAATTGTGCAAGTTCTCCCACTTAAAAAGATGAGAGAGGCCTGTAATTTTCATCATAGGTACACGTCAACTATGACAGACAAAATGAGGGGGGGAAAAATCAAGAAAATCACACTGTAGGATTTTTAATGAATCTATTTGCAAATTATGGTGGAAAATAAGTATTTGGTCAATAACAAAAGTTTCTCAATACTTTGTTATGTACCCTTTGTTGGCAATGACACAGGTCAAACGTTTTCTGTAAGTCTTCACAAGGTTTTCACACACTGTTGCTGGTATTTTGGCCCATTCCTCCATGCAGATCTCCTCTAGAGCAGTGATGTTTTGGGGCTGTCGCTGGGCAACACAGACTTTCAACTCCCTCCAAAGATTTTCTATGGGGTTGAGATCTGGAGACTGGCTAGCCACTCCAGGACCTTGAATGCTTCTTACGAAACCACTCCTTCGTTGCCCGGGCGGTGTGTTTGGGATCATTGTCATGCTGAAAGACCCAGCCACGTTTCATCTTCAATGCCCTTGCTGATGGAGGAGTTTTCACTCAAAATCTCACGATACATGGCCCCATTCATTCTTTCCTTTACACGGACCAGTCGTCCTGGTCCCTTTGCAGAAAAACAGCCCCAAAGCATGATGTTTCCACCCCCATGCTTCACAGTAGGTATGGGTGTTCTTTGGATGCAACTCAGCATTCTTTGTCCTCCAAACACGACGAGTTGAGTTTTTACCAAAAAGTTTATATTTTGGTTTCATCTGACCATATTACATTCTCCCAATCCTCTTCGGGATCATCCAAATGCTCTCTAGCAAACTTCAGACGGGCCTGGACATGTACTGGCTTAAGCAGGGGGACACATCTTGCACTGCAGGATTTGAGTCCCTGGCGGCGTAGTGTGTTACTGATGGTAGGCTTTGTTACTTTGGTCCCAGCTCTCTGCAGGTCATTCACTAGGTCCCGCCGTGTGGTTCTGGGATTTTTGCTCACCGTTCTTGTGATCATTTTGACCCCACGGGGTGAGATCTTGCGTGGAGCCCCAGATCGAGGGAGATTATCAGTGGTCTTGTATGTCTTCCATTTCCTAATAATTGCTCCCACAGTTGATTTCTTCAAACCAAGCTGCTTACCTATTGCAGATTCAGTCTTCCCAGCCTGGTGCAGGTCTACAATTTTGTTTCTGGTGTCCTTTGACAGCTCTTTGGTCTTGGCCATAGTGGAGTTTGGAGTGTGACTGTTCGAGGTTGTGGACAGGTGTCTTTTATACTGATAACAAGTTCAAACAGGTGCCATTAATACAGGTAAGGAGTGGAGGACAGAGGAGCCTCTTAAAGAAGAAGTTACAGGTCTGTGAGAGCCAGAAATCTTGCTTGTTTGTAGGTGACCAAATACTTATTTTCCACCATAATTTGCAAATAAATTCATTAAAAATCCTACAATGTGATTTTCTGGATTTTTTTTCTCAATTTGTCTGTCATAGTTGACGTGTACCTATGATGAAAATTACAGGCCTCTCATCTTTTTAAGTGGGAGAACTTGCGCAATTGGTGGCTGACTAAATACTTTTTTCCCCCACTGTAGTTGGCTAAGGTGTATGTAAACTTCCGACTTCCACTAATATATACAGTGGTGTGAAAGTGTTTGCCCCCTTTCTGATTTGTTATTTGTTTGCATGTTTGTCACACTTAAATGTTTCAGATCATCAAACAAATGTAAATATTAGTCAAAGATAACAAGTAAACACAAAATGCAGTTTTAAAATGAAGGTTGTTATTATTAAGGGAAAACAAAATCCAAACCTACATGGCCCCGTGTGAAAAAGGGTCCTCTGTAGCTCAATTGGTAGAGCATGGCGCTTGTAACGCCAGGGTAGCGGGTTCGATCCCCGGGACCACTCATACGTAAAAATGTATGCACACATGACTGTAAGTCGCTTTGGATTAAAAGCGTCTGCTAAATGGCTTATTATTATAATATATATATATATCACACACACACACACACACACAACACACACACACGTGTGTGTATACAGTGGGGAGAACAAGTATTTGATACACTGCCGATTTTGCAGGTTTTCCTACTTAAAAAGCATGTAGAGGTCTGTAATTTTTTCATAGGTACACTTCAACTGTGAGAGACGGCATCTAAAAAATCCAGAAAATCACATTGTATGATTTTTAAGTAATTAATTTGCATTTTATTGCATGACATAAGTATTTGATACATCAGAAAAGCAGAACTTAATATTTGGTACAGAAACCTTTGTTTGCAATTACAGAGATCATACGTTTCCTGTAGTTCTTGACCACACACTGCAGCAGGGATTTTTGGCCCACTCCTCCATACAGACCTTCTCCAGATCATCCAGGTTTCGGGGCTGTCGCTGGGCAAAACTGATTTTCAGCTCCTTCCAAAGATTTTCTATTGGGTTCAGGTCTGGAGACTGGCTAGGCCACTCCAGAACCTTGAGATGCTTCTTACGGAGCCACTCCTTAGTTGCCCTGGCTGTGTTTTGGGTCGTTGTCATGCTGGAAGACCCAGCCACGACCCATCTTCAATGCTCTTACTGAGGGAAGGAGGGTTGTTGGCCAAGATCTCGCGATACATGGCCCCATCCATCCTCCCCTCAATACGGTGCAGTCGTCCTGTCCCCTTTGCAGAAAAGCATCCCCAAAGAATGATGTTTCCACCTCCATGCTTCACGGTTGGGATGGTGTTCTTGGGGTTGTACTCATCCATCTTCTTCCTCCAAACACGGCGAGTGGAGTTTAGACCAAAAAGTTATATTTTTGTCTCATCAGACCACATTACCTTCTCCCATTCCTCCTCTGGATCATCCAGATGGTCATTGGCAAACTTCAGACGGGCCTGGACATGCGCTGGCTTGAGCAGGGGGACCTTGCGTGCGCTGCAGGATTTTAATCCATGACGGCGTAGTGTGTTACTAATGGTTTTCTTTGAGACTGTGGTCCCAGCTCTCTTCAGGTCATTGACCAGGTCCTGCCGTGTAGTTCTGGGCTGATCCCTCACCTTCCTCATGATCATTGATGCCCCACGAGGTGAGATCTTGCATGGAGCCCCAGACCGAGGGTGATTGACTGTCATCTTGAACTTCTTCCATTTTCTAATCATTGTGCCAACAGTTGTTGCCTTCTCACCAAGCTGCTTGCCTATTGTCCTGTAGCCTATCCCAGCCTTGTGCAGGTCTACAATTTTATCCCTGATGTCCTTACACAGCTCTCTGGTCTTGGCCATTGTGGAGAGGTTGGAGTCTGTTTGATTGAGTGTGTGGACAGGTGTCTTTTATACAGGTAACGAGTTCAAACAGGTGCAGTTCATACAGGTAATGAGTGGAGAACAGGAGGGCTTCTTAAAGAAAAACTAACAGGTCTGTGAGAGACGGAATTCTTACTGGTTGGTAGGTGATCAAATACTTATGTCATGCAATAAAATGCCAATTGAAGTGTACCTATGATAAAAAATTACAGACCTCTACATGCTTTGTAAGTAGGAAAACCTGCAAAATCGGCAGTGTATCAAATACTTGTTCTCCCCACTGTATATACAAAAGTATGTGGATTCCATACTGCCTCTGGAAGCAACATCAGCAAAATAATCTGGGTTTGGCAGATACCAGGAGAATGCTACCTGCCCGAATGCATAGTGCCAACTGTAAAATTTGGTGGAGGAGGAATAATGGTCTGGGTCAGGGAAATCTTAACGCTACAGCATACAATGACGCTTCCAACTTTGTGGCAACAGTTTGGGGAAGGCCGTTTCCTGTTTCAGCATGGCAATGCCCCCGTGCACAAAGTGAGGTCCATACAGAAATGGTTTGTCGAGATCAGTGTGGAAGAACTTGACTGGCTTGCACACAGCCCTGACCTCAACCCCATCGAACACCTTTGGGATTAATTGGAATGCCAACTGCGAGCCAGGCCTAATCGCCCAACATCAGTGCCTGACCTCACTAATGCTCTTGTGGCTGAATGGAAGCAAGTCCCTGCCGCAATGTTCCAGCATCTAGTTGAATGTCTTCCCAGAAGAGTGGAGGCTGTTATAGCAGTAAAGGGGGGTACCAACTCCATATTAATGCCCATGATTCTGGAATGAGATGTTCAACGAGCAGGTGTCCACATACATTTTGGTCATGTAGTGTATAATTTTTCCCATGATTCTTCTAATGTACTGTAAGAACAATAAATTATCTTTATGAGGTCAACCAACCACTTTTTATCTCAATTCAAAAATAGTCAACTGCATGGCAAAACAAAGCTCTGGTTTTCACTCAATATAACAAAGTAGGCATTAATAATCATCCAGTCATTAACCAAATATGTTAATATCATTATATTCTAAAATAAAGTGAGGTTAATTTAAGATAAAATTCTTCAAAATTGTCCTCAAATAAGATAAATAGCCAATCACCACCACCTGGTTTATAGTGTGAACCCTGTATACTCATCCGTCTGCCATTGTGTAACCACTTGATGCCTTGTTCATCACAGAAAGAGTCACATAAAAAGACTGGTACATTAAATAAATACAATTAGCATATGCAAATATGGAGCAACAAAACATAATTGCATGTTGTTGATATAGTTTCAGGATGTGTAACTATCTTTATGTTGATGTCAATAGGCAGGGAAGGTTTCTTTGAAAATACAGTACATTTTCCATGGAGATCATTATCTTCCCTGCATGTCACTACATCGCAGTTAAAGAAACGATCAGTACTACCTGACAGTACCCTTGGGGAGAACTAGTGTATAACTGTGGGCGACCTTACACTATATTTTAAACACATACTCCCAATGCTTAATCGAAGCCTCGTTATATCATGTTGAAGTTACTGCAGTACTGCAAAAGCTACATAATTTCATAAGTCTTTCTTTTAAGTTGGTGTACCAGGGCCTACAGAAGCTCTGTAACAAAGGCTATGGGCTAACTGACACTAAAATGGACCGATTCGTTATCAGAGTATGATAGTGAGAGTTAGAGTCTCAACCTCATGGTTTTGATATTGAGACCACTAAGGACCACATTGGTCTGGGTGTCCGTGCCCAAAATGTCTGGATCTGTGACTCAGAACCCAATGTTCTGGTCTGGGTCTGGACTAATGGCTTTGGACAAGATGGTTTTAGTACTATCTAAACTCATGGTTAAGATATATCGCCCAAAACCTCCTCTTGCCAGTGTTATGTGGCCAAGAAGGAATGATTAAACACACAAGTGCCAGGGCGCCTTGCTTCCCTAATGTGTGAGCTTGTTGGGCATGAATGGCTAATGTTTAGGAATAAGATGCCTTTTTTTGCAGACTTTTTACATTGGTCTTGGTCTGGATCTCATTTAAACATTTTAACTGGTCTTGAGCTTGCCACAGTTTCGAAACACATGGTCTTGTTCTGGGTCTGAGTATCAAGAGGTTGGGTCTTGGTCTGAGTCTCAAGGGGTCTTCAACAAATCTTAGCTCCATCTCTGATAAGCATACAAACAGACCCACCTACAAAGGCCAGGGGAGCAGTGGTTCCCCTGGGATGGCCAGGCAAAAGGATGACCACAAACAATGGCAACAGGTGTGTCTAGTGGCTTCTGTAATGATGATGCTGATGAGTGATGGATTGTCTTGATATGAGTAATAATAAGTAACATTTGGCAATGCATAGCTCACAAATTTGTCTCCATTTTATAACCTACGATCTTTAGCAGAATCTCTGCTGACAGAGTTGGATTGCTTGTACTTGTGCTCGAAGGTCAGTATAATCAATGCCAAAATCATGTCTTAATTCATTAAACACAAGAGTCTGGCACAATGTTTCACCTTGATAATTGTTGTTGACAAATCAACACAGACCCTTATTAGTAGTGCAGTGGTCCGTGTTAAAAACAGCCATTTACACCAGTTTGTAAGACAGCCACAGTTTTTTCATGATGACTATGCAGAGAGAGATACACTTGAAAATACAAAAATACTCACATTAATGTCGTTTACAATGTTTTGATTGCGCCCGATAAAGGAAGCTTGCTGACGTGAATAAGAATGCAAATTGAAATTGATTATCAAGTAAGTTTCTTCAGCATAAGTAGCTTGCTTTGAGTGATTAATGGGCTCGGCCATTGATTTCCTTTTGTTTAGATCTTTGTTAACTTTCTAGAGGCACAATTATATTTTGTTTCCAACAATAAACCCAATCTAGCTGGAGCAAATGAAATCTTCCAACAGGCTCTTCACAGTTATTTTACATATTTTCAACTGGATAGTTATTATCACAAGGCACTTGCAAAAAAATTGTTTTCAGTTTTTATTAATTAAATTCTTGATTAAATGTTGTTTTCTACAGAATATTAGGTGTGAGATTGGGAAGGGTTGTTGTTTATAGAATTATAGAAGACTTGACATGTAAGGGTCACCCATTGTGCCAATGGTTAAATCTTGATACGGTAAGTACAAAAAGCTGTATATCACATGGTAGGACATTTCTGATGAGTTATCTACCTAGCACATATTTCAGATTGCTGTGAATGAGAGAGAGAGAGATTTCTGTATATTTGTTCAAGGAACAGCCAGTCTTGCTTTTTTGAATAACATCACAAAAGGTATTTGATACATTCTGAGTTGTCTCAATACAATGTACTATCGATATTTGCAAGTCAAATGCTACTATTCAGATTACTTCATCAAAGGGCTTTCGCCTTATTCTTTCAGATTTAGCACTTTGAAAACTTCCACAGATCCAGACATTTATACTTCCTGATTTCTTGCATCATCTCTCCAAGATAGTGATAATACGATTTCTGTGTTTTTTGCTGTTGAGAAACAAACTGGATTATGAACAGATCACTACATAAACAGCTTTCTAAAAGGAGGCAGCTATTTTAAAAGAGGCTGAAGAAATGCAAAGAGGGATTTGAATTTATTCCAGCAAGTGAAAGGTTCTTTTGAGAGGGGATTTCAGCAAAGATGATGGTATTTAAAAGTGATAAACACGCATCTAAACCTCCAGTGAAAAACAGTCATTCTGACACCTTTTCTCGCCCTACAGGCAGAACTGTATCCTGGCCGATGAGATGGGTCTAGGGAAGACCATCCAGTCCATCTCTCTGCTGTCCGAGGTGTTTGGTGCCGGGGTCCAGGGCCCCTTCCTGGTCATTGCCCCCCTCTCCACCATCACCAACTGGGAGAGGGAGTTCGCCACCTGGACCGACATGAATGCCATCGTCTACCACGGCAGCCTGGCCAGCAGGCAGATGATCCAGCAGTACGAGATGTACTGCAAGGATGACAAGGTGTGTGTCTGTCTTGCATTTTGTTTGTGGAACCTCAGAACAGAAGAATGGATTACAGTGGTTGAGTACTAGTATAATGCAGTAGGACCGGTCGGAAGACATTGATTCTCTCATGTTTAGATTCTTGGTACATCGACAGCTAGCTCCTCTAACTAGTGTTGTATTACATTTTCTCTGTAGGACCATCTGATCCCAGGGGCATATAAATTTGATGCCCTGATCACAACGTTTGAAATGATTCTTTCCGACTGCCCTGAGCTGAGGGAGATCTCCTGGCGCTGTGTGATCATTGACGAAGCTCACCGCCTCAAGAACCGCAACTGCAAGCTGCTGGACAGCCTCAAGATGCTGGACCTGGTGAGTCATCGGGATAGAATCTAGCCCTTAGTCTATCAGACCCACGCTAGCCGACATCCGCATAGCGGTTGTTTTGGCATGTCGGAGGTGGAACTGCATTAGATCTGTCAAATCCACAAGCAGCTCCTTGTGTTACCTTATCGCGGACACTGCCATTGGATGCAACCAAACCACTCCCGACTTAATATCCGACAAATCCCATGCAGAAGTTAATGCAGCCGCGTAACAAGTTCAAACACTCAAATGCATGACGTTCTATTGCCTACTACACCTTGATTAGACTGATAGGCTTTAAATCCCCCCCCATCCAAATTAACATAACATGCATTATTTCCATCATCGATAGTCGACACTTTCTGTCGCCATTTATAAACTTCTAATGCAGTAGGGAAAATAAGGAAGGGAGTGGTTGGTGACACACGAGCAGCCGCTTTCTGATTTGTCAGCTCATACCGCAGTTACACCTCCAACACCACCAAAACATCCACTATGCAGATGTCAGCCAATGCAGGGTGACAAATGTATTACTTGTGATCTGACAACATTGGTCTTTTGTATCAAGAAAGAGACCGATTTAACTCCCTTTCCTGTATTGCCCATCTTTCTCTCTCCTCCTCCACACTGTGTTCCTGTCCTCCCTGGTTCTCAGGAGCATAAGGTGCTTCTGACAGGTACTCCCCTCCAGAACACAGTGGAGGAGCTCTTCAGTCTGCTGCATTTCCTTGAGCCAGCTCAGTTCTCCTCAGAGTCAGAGTTCCTACGTGACTTTGGAGACCTCAAAACAGAGGAGCAGGTCCAGAAGCTCCAAGCTATTCTGAAGCCTATGATGCTGCGCAGACTCAAAGAGGATGTGGAGAAGAACTTGGCGCCAAAACAAGAGACCATCATTGAGGTAAGACTTTATGGATAATATTGCACCATGGAACCAAGGCGACCTTGTATATGAGCATAATATTATTTTTGGTAATGGACCATAACCATCGAGCTCAATACAACAGGTGGAGCTGACAGATGTGCAGAAGAAATACTACCGGGCCATCCTAGAGAGGAACTTTAGTTTCCTCAGCATGGGAGCCACCAGCAACAGTAACGTCCCCAATCTGCTCAACACCATGATGGAGCTACGCAAGTGCTGCAACCACCCCTACCTCATCACAGGTACCTCACCTCACACCAACACTACACTACATGTCAATACCCTTCCTCCTCTAAAAACACAACCCCAATAGCATCTTAATGCTGCTATCACTTGACCACAGGTTCTGTTGAACTAACATCAGTCCAACACATCATCTATATACTTCTGTCTTCATACCTTTCCCAGGATGTTATGGTATACCATGTTATAATAACCCCTGTTCTCTGTTCTGTCCAGGGGCGGAGGAGTCTATTGTGGCTGAGTTGAGGGAGGTGTACGACCCCATGGTCCCAGACTTCCACCTGCAGGCCCTGGTGAGATCTGCAGGCAAGCTGGTCTTGCTGGACAAACTGCTGCCTCGCCTGAAGGCCGGGGGACACAAGGTGCTCATCTTCTCCCAGATGGTGCGCTGCCTGGATATCCTGGAGGACTACCTCATCAACAAGAGGTATGAAGGTCTAGATAGACTACCTCATCAACAAGAGGTATAGACGGGTTAGCTGACAACGTCAAGAAAACGATGCCCGCGATTCAATGGGGCAGATATCCTTGGTTTGTGATTCTGGATAGCCAGATAGCTAGCAACAATGACAAGAAGCTGCCATGTTGTGGCTCGTTTCAACTAGTTTTCGGTTGTTCTTGATACCATGTCTTGTTTTTTGAGGTGTTATGACTGATGTCATGTTTATGCTAATATGGCTCAAATTCACTAGCTAGCTAACCAACTGTAATGATGTGTTTGAGACAACAAATGTGAAATGTATTTCATATCAAATTGTATTTATCACATGCACCGAATGCAACAGGTGTAGACCTTTACATTTACATTTGAGTAATTTAGCAGACGCGCTTATCCAGAGCGACTTAGTTAGTGCATTCATCGTAAGATAGCTAGGTGGGACAACTGTGAAATGCTTACTTACGAGCCCTTAACCAACAATGCAGTTTTTTAAAAAGTAAGTAAGAAAAATTTGCTAAACTAAAGGAAAAATAGTAACATAATAAATAACAATAACGAGGATATATACAAAGGGGTACTGGTACCAAGTCAATATGCAGGGGTACAGGTTTTACGAGGTAATATATACATGTAGGTAGGGGTAAAGTGACTATGCATAGGTAATAAACAGAGAGTAGCAGCAGCGTGTGTGTGGCGTCAATATTCGTGTGTGTGTGTTGGAGTGTCAGTGTGTGTGGTTAGTCTAGTGAGTGTACATCGAGCCGGTGCAAGAGTCAGTTAAAACAATTATAATAAATAATAATAAAAGAAGGGGGTCAATGCAAATAGTCTGGGTAGCCATTTGATTAACAGTTCAGCAGTCTTATGGCTTGGGGGTATAAGCTGTTAAGGAGCCTTTTGGTCCAATACTTGGCGCTCCGGTACCGTGTGGTAGCAGAGAGAACAGTGTGACTTCGGTGGCTGGATTCTTTGACCATTTTTAGGACCTTCCTCTGACACTGCCTGGTATAGAGGTCCTGGATGGAAGGAAGCTCGGCCCCAGTGATATACTGGGCCGTACGCACTACCCTCTGTGGCGCCTTGGGGTCAGATGCCGAGCAGTTGCCATACCAATCGGTTATGCAAGCAGTCAGGATGCTCTCGATTGTGTGGCTGTAGAACATTTTGAGGATCTGAGGTCCCATGCCAAATATTTTCAGCCTCCTGAGGGGGAAGAGGCGTTGTCATGCCCTCTTCACGACTGTGTTGGTGTGTTTGGACCATGAAAGGTTCTTAGTGATGTGGACACCAAGGAACATGAAGCGCTCGACCCGCTCCACTACAGCCCCGTTGATGTGAATGGGGGCGTGCTCTGCCCTCATCTTCCTGTAGTCCACGATCCGCTCCTTTGTCTTGCTCACGTTGAGGGAGAGGTTGTTGTCCTGGCACCACACTGGAGGTCTCTGACCTCCTCCCTACGGGGCGGTAGTAATTTAGCCAGGTTACCTTGGCGTTCATGGGCACAGGGACTATGGTGGTCTGTAGGGTTGGGTAATGTCTGGAATGACACATCGTCCCATCGACCTGTCCAAACATCGTTGATATACTATTGTATCGTCTCTTTAAAAAAAAAAAAAATGTATTTATTTATTTATTTATCCGTGGGGGGGTACGTCGTTCCATTGCCTAGCAATGCATTAAACGAGCTGTAATGCAGCCTGTCATGCACAAACCACCCATTTTAAAGTCTAATCATTAGACTACAATGTGGAAATCATCTTACCAATAGTGTATTTTCTTGTGTGCAAATAAATAAATATACTGAACAAAAATATAAATTCAACATGTAAAGTGTTGGTCCCATGTTTCATGAGCTGAAATTAAAGATCTCAAAAATGTTCCATTCGCACACAAAAATTATTTCAGCTTTGCCAAGATAATCCATCCACCTGCCAGGTGTGGCATATCAAGAATCTGATTAAACAGCATGACCATTACACAGGTGCACCTTGTGCTGGGTACAATAAAAGGCCACTCTTGTGCAGTTTTGTCACACAACACAATGCCACAGATGTCTCAAGTTTTGAGGGAGCGTGCAATTGGCCTGCTGACTGCAGGAATGTCCACCAGAGCTGTTGCCAGATAATTGAATGTTCATTTCTCTACCATACGCCGCCTCTGTTGTTTTAGAGAATTTGGCAGCACTTGGCAGCACGTCCAACCGGCCTCACAACCGCAGACCACATGTAACCACGCCAGTCCAGGACCTCCACATCCAGCTTCTAAACCTGCGGGATCTTCTTAGACCAGCCTCCCAGACAGCTGGTGAAACTGAGGACTATTTCTGTCTGTAATAAAGCCCTTTTGTGGGGAAAAACGTATTCTGATTGGCTGGGCCTTACTCCCCAGTGGGTGGGACTGGCTCCCAAGTGGGTGGGCTTATGGCCTCCCAGGCCCACCCATGGCTGTGCCCCTGCCCAGTAATGTGAAATTCATAGATTAGGGCCTAATGAATTTGTTTCAATTGACAGATGTTCCTTATATGAACTGTAACTCAGCAAAATCGTTGAAATTGTTGCGTTTTATATTTTTGTTCAGTATAAATAAATGTAAACTAATCTCATGGTGATATGTGGTACCGATAACTAACTTTGAATGGTGATTTGGAACAAACATTGTAGGCCTAGAATGTGTTACGAGACCCTTTCAATGGTGATTTCGGACTATTTCAACTGAGATCGAGTGCAGATGTTCACCATAGAAGACTTCACTGGGCAGTCTTCTTGGGAGAGCAAAGCAAACACTCCCACTCAATTACGCAAGAGCAGGCCAGCGCAGAGCTCACATTCTACCTACTTTAAGATGTAATCAGAGGAGATGATGACCCACTGGCATGGTGGAGAGGGAATGAGGGTCGCTTTCAGCTCTTGGCCAATGTTGCCCTCATACCTCTGCATCTGTGCAAAAAGCATTCCGTCTGAACGTGTTTTCAGTAGGCATACAGCAGGCAATATTGTTACCTTAGGTAGGTTCATATATAATGACAAATAAAAATGTTTTTTATCACACTTTTTAATTTTATTTATTCACATATGCGTCTTATTCAAAATAAATGTAGCCTAGGCTGGAATATTCTGTTGTGTGCCTTTAAACTTATTTGCACTAATTTGTTTGGTTAATTTGATGCTTATTTTGTTTACTTTATTTATTTTGTAATTTGTAGCCTAAATGTGGATAATTTTTTTGTAGGCAACATTTATTTTTTGTTCCTGCTTATGTAATAACCGTTGCGCAATTCAAGGATATGAATAAACACTTCCACAATAATATAAATGTCTCTTTAGAAGTTAAACTTGTACAAGTAACGTTTATTGACAGTAGCCTAGTGTAGGCCTATATTATTGGCTGTTTGGTTTACAAGGATGTTCTGGCAGTACACAATTTGTTTTTCCTAAAGCTTTGGTCAGGTGGAGGCCAGAAAATTAAGGTTTGTTTAAACTTCCCATTCAAATATTCTATCTTGCAATTGTTGGTTCTCTCTCATTATTACCGTATCATGTTTTTATTAAGGCTATTCACAAACTGCTTTCTCAGATAGAACTCTGTTACTGGCCTCCTAGATTCATTTGAAAGTTGATCATGAAAGATCTGCATTTGGCGTGTCACCCGGCTGTGAGCTGCACTGTTGTGCACTGCCCGACTCCGGCGGTGCCAGTCATGTTCAAATAGGTTAACCTATCTATATAAAAAAATATACAAACTATTGTCTGTCACATCACGATATTGTTGCCATCAGCGATGTCTGTCAAACATCGTTGATTTCCAATTATATCGTAATATCGTCCAACCCTAGTGGTCTGCTTGAAACATGTAGGTATTACAGACTGGGTCAGGGAGAGGTTGGAAATGTCAGTGAAGACACTTGCCAGATGGTCAGCGCATGCTTTGAGTACGCATCCTGGTAATCCCTTTGGTCCTGCAGACTTGTGAATGTTAACCTGTTTTAAAGGTCTTACTCACATCAGCTACGGAGAGCGTGATCACAGTCGTCCGCAACAGCTGGTGCTCTCATGCATGGTTCAGTGTTGCTTGCCTTGAAGCGAGCATAGAAGGCATTTGGCTCGTCTGGTAGGCTCACGTCACTGGGCAGCTCACGGCTGGGCTTCCCTTTGTAATCCGTGATCGTTTGCAAGCCCTGGCACATCCGACGAGCCTCAGCTGGTGTAGTAGGATTCAATCTTAGTCCTGTATTTATGCTTTCAATAAACATTGGAGACGAAAAATTGTTGCCATGTTGTCAACAATCGAAGCCAACACTGTCTGTTTTGTCCCATAGTTGTGCATGTCGGTTTTGTTGCTAAACAACCAACCCGTCTATGGAGCTGTAGATAGACTACCTCATCAACAAATGAGATGGGCATGTTGATGAGAACTAGATTTTGTTGTGAAGAGTAATCTAAATGAGTAAGAAGTTGTCTTTATCATTGTTCTGCCCAGATACCTGTACGAGCGTATTGATGGCAGAGTGAGAGGGAACCTGCGTCAGGCAGCCATTGATCGCTTCAGCAAACCAGACTCGGACCGTTTCGTCTTCCTGCTGTGTACCCGGGCTGGAGGCCTGGGCATCAACCTGACTGCTGCTGACACCTGCGTCATCTTTGACTCCGACTGGAACCCTCAGAATGATCTGCAGGTAATGTCTGATCTCTGACCTTTGAACCCAGGCTCTCTCTTTTGTGTATGGGTCCTTCCAATGTTTCATCCTAATTCCCTTACCACTCTGTACAAATAGCATCTGATTGATGTACTAACCCTGCCTTCTCTCAACAGGCTCAGGCGCGGTGTCACCGTATCGGCCAGTCCAAGGCGGTGAAGGTGTACCGTCTGATCACCAGGAACTCCTATGAGAGGGAGATGTTGGACAAGGCTAGCCTCAAACTGGGTCTGGACCGGGCTGTACTGCAGAGCATGAGCAGCAACAAGGAGAGCAATGTCAACGGAGTAAGGAGGACCGAAATATTGTTCGTTTTTTAAGCCTGCGGTTTGTTTGCATGCCAACTGGTTAATAGCTGTCTTGTTCTACCCGTTTCGCAGCAAATCCAACAGTTCTCCAAGAAGGAGATCGAGGACCTCCTGAGGAAGGGGGCGTACGCTGCCATCATGGACGAGGAGGACGAGGGCTCCAAGTTCTGCGAGGAGGACATTGACCAGATCCTCCAAAGGAGAGCCACCACCATCACCATTGAAAGCGAGGGCAAGGGCTCCACCTTCTCCAAGGCCAGCTTCGTGGCCACCGAGAACAGGACCGACATCGCCCTGGATGACCCCGAGTTCTGGCAGAAGTGGGCCAAGAGGGCAGACATAGACTTTGATTCCATGAATAGGAAGGTAATGCGAACGTCTCAGGCACGTCTCCATTCTGTGTGTGTGTGCGCTACCTTTCTCAATGTGTTTTGTGAGAAGCAAATTTTTCTCCCACCCTCCCTGTAGAACACTCTCGTGATTGACACACCCAGGGTGAGGAAGCAGACCCGTCAGTTCGCTACCCTGAGGGGCGAGGGCGGGGAGATCTCTGACCCCGACAGCGACGACGAGTATCCGCCCGCCAATTCCCGGCAGTCCCGGTCCTCAAGGCGATCCGAGCGCCACACTGGAAATGGCTACGGCCGCACCGACTGCTTCCGTGTGGAGAAACACCTGCTTGTTTACGGGTAGGTGGACCTGACTAGGGCCTTGTTTAGTTTTTTCTGGACATGTGTAGTTATAATACATATGTGATAGTAAAGTTATGACAGGATTTTCTACCAAAGCAAGCTCCACGCTATTGTGCTGACCCCTCCTTTCTCACTGCCACCTCCTTCTTGTCCAGGTGGGGGCGCTGGAGGGACATCCTGTCTCATGCACGCTGTAAGCGGCGCCTCGGGGAGCATGACGTGGAGACCATCTGCAGGGTCATTCTGGTCTTCTGCCTGCTGCATTACCGTGGCGACGAGAACATCAAGAGCTTCATCTGGGAGCTCATTACCCCCCCAGAGAACGGCCGGGAACCACACACACTCCTCAACCACTCTGGTATGTACAGTTGAAGTCGGAAGTTTACATACACCTTAGCCAAATACGTTTAAACTCAGTTTTTCACAATTCCTGACATTTAATCCTAGTAAAAATTCCCTGTCTTAGGTCAGTTAGGATCACCACTTTATTTTAAGAATGTGAAATGTCAGAATAATAGTAGAGAGAATGATTTATTTTCAGCTTTTATGTCTTTCATCACATTCCCAGTGGGTCAGAAGTTTACATACACTCAATTAGTATTTGGTAGCATTGCCTTTAAATTGTTTAACTTGGTCAAACGTTTCGGGTAGCCTTCCACAAGCTTCCCACAATAAGTTGGGTGAATTTGGGCCCATTCCTCCTGACAGAGCTGGTGTTACTGAGTCATGTTTGTAGGCCTCTGTGCTCGCACACGCTTTTTCAGTTCTGCCCACAGGTTTTCTATAGGATTTGAGGTCAGGGCTTTCTGATGGCCACTCCAATACCTTGACTTTGTTGTCCTTAAGACATTTTGGCACAACTTTGGAAGTATGCTTGGGGTCATTGTCCATTTGGAAGACCCATTTGCGACCAAGCTTTAACTTCCTGACTGATGTCTTGAGATGTTGCTTCAATATATCCACATAATTTTCCTTCCTCATGATGCCATCTATTTTGTGAAGTGCACCAGTCACTCCTGCAGCAAAGCACCCCCACAGCATGATGCTGCCACCCCTGTGCTTCACTGTTGGGATGGTGTTCTTCAGCTTGCAAAGACCCCCTTTTTGCTCCAAACATAACAATGGTCATTATGGCCAAACAGTTCTATTTTTGTTTCATCAGACCAGAGGACATTTCTCCAAAAAGTACGATCTTTGTCCCCATGTGCAGTTGTAAACCGTAGTCTGGCTTTTTTTATGGCGGTTTTGGAGCAGTGGCTTCTTCCTTGCTGAGCGGCCTTTCAGGTAATGTTGATATGGGACTCGTTTTACTGTGGATATAGATACTTTTGTACCTTCCTCCAGCATCTTCACAAGGTCCTTTGCTTTTGTTCTGGGATTGATTTGCACTTTTCGCACCAAAGTACGTTCATCTCTAGGAGACAGAACACGTCTCCTTCCTGAGCGGTATGACGTCTGTGTGGTCCCATGGTGTTTATACTTGCGTACTATTGTTTGTACAGATGAACGTGGTACCTTCAGGCGTTTTTGGAAATTGCTCCCAAGGATGAACCAGACTTGTGGAGGTCTACAATTATTTTTTCTGAGGTTTTGGCTGATTTCTTTTGATTTTCCCATGATGTCAAGCAAAGAGGCACTGAGTTTGAAGGTAGGCCTTGAAATACATCCACAGGTACACCTCCAATTTACTCAAATGATGTCAGAAGCTTCTAAAGCCATGACATCATTTTCTGGAATTTTCCAAGCTGTTTAAAGGCACAGTCAACTTAGTGTATGTAAACTTCTGACCCACTGGAATTGTGATACAGTGAATTTATATGTGAAATAATCTGTCTGTAAACAATTGTTGGAAAAATTACTTGTGTCATGCACAAAGTAGATATCCTAACCGACTTGCCAACACTATAGTTTAACAAGAAATGTGTGGAGTGGTTGAAAAACAAGTTTTAATGACTCCAACCTAAGTGTATGTAAACTTCCGACTTCAACTGTATGACCATTATAGAACCACACACTCCTCAACCATTCTGTGAATGTGTCTTACAACCTCCATCACCCATTGTCTAAATGTTTATTGCTCTGTTCTGGAAAACTGTCTATATGTTTGTGTTAATGTATTTTCTCTCCCTTTAACGTTGCCTTCCAGGATTGTGAGTAAATGTGTCAATGTGTTTCTCTGTCTAGGTCTCTCCATCCCTGTTCCTCGGGGCAGGAAGGGGAAGAGGGTGAAGGCCCAGAGCTCCTTTGACGTTCAGAAGGTGGAGTGGATCCACAAGTACAACCCTGACTCCCTGCTTCTGGACGACAGCTACCGCAAACATCTCAAGCACCAGTGCAACAAGTCCGTGTGTTTTCACCCTCGACCTCTAGAGAGTACTGAAGTGTTTGTGCACAGTATCAGAGCATTAACCCTTTTCTTGTCTTCAGGGTGTTGCTGAGAGTGCGTATGCTGTACTACCTGAGACAGGAGGTCATTGGAGAACATGCCGATTCTGTGCTGAGAGGAGCCGATGCCAGGTATTACTTTCTACACACATACTATACATACATATCTACACACACACATATACTGATTCTGTCTGTCCTCGTAGGGATATTGACATCTGGATGCCTGAGATGGAGCAACAGGAGGTGCCATCAGGCTGGTGGGATACAGAGGCAGACCGCTCCCTCCTCGTCGGTGTCTTCAAACACGGTCTGTGTTTGAATGTCAAAGTCTTTAGAAGTTTGTTTACTTGTCAAGAGTACCTTGTATTTATCAGTAGGATAGTGGTGCTAGGTGTTTAGTGAGTGTGTTTGTAGTAACTCCAGTCTGTGTTGCTCCAGGGTATGAGATGTACACCACCATGCGTGCTGACGCATGTCTGTGTTTCCTGGAGCGAGCTGGTCGCCCTGACGATCAGGCCATTGATGCGGAGCAGCACTCTGCAGACGCAGAGCTGGGAGATGGGTGAGCTACACTGGCTAACCTTATTAGCACCTCACCAAACAACCCGCTAACTTGAGATCACTGAACTCTTTAGAGCTGGCCTCACCACCATTAACTTGAACTTGGTGGCTGAGACTTTGTTTTTGCCCCCCAGAGGAGACGATGACAAGTATTCTGAAGACCCAGAGTTCAAGCCTGCGTCAAGGCACACCAAAGATCTATACGAGGAGGTGTGAATCAGTACTTATTATTCTCACTGATTGATTTTGGTTACAGAATATTGTTATTATATTAATGAAAATCCCTCTTCCCCCAGGCTGACTCCATGAACATGGGTGATGATATCTGTGTCGAGGACAAGGCAGGGCCTGTTAAAACCAAGGGGCCGCCTCCTGGCCAGTCAGGAGCCTGTGAGTGGCCGACCAGCTCGTCACTTACCGCGCGGCTCCGGCGTCTGATCACTGCATACCAGCGCAGCTACAAGAGAGAGCAGCTGAAGGTGGAGGCAGCAGAGAAGGGGGACCGCAAGCGCAGGAGGTGTGAACAGGCCAGTAAGCTGAAGGAGATTGCACGCCAGGAACGCCAACAGAGGTACCAACTACTACCCTCAACTATTAACTCTGCAAGCATATGTGTCCTGAATCTGAGGTACAGTTGTTGGTGTAGGTTTGTTTAATGTATCTGTGTGGTGTAACCTTACACAATTATCTGGTATAAGACTCGGTGAGTTTTGAGTGTTACACAACTTTAACCATCTGTCTTGTGTGCCTTTTCTCTGCCAGGTGGACCCGTAGAGAGGAGTGTGATTTCTACCGTGTGGTGTCCACGTTCGGTGTGGAGCGGATAAAGAAAGAGGTTAACGCTCAAGAGGGGGAGGAGGCTGAACTGGACTGGGCCCGCTTCCGGACCTTCGCCCGTCTGGACAAGAAGACGGACGAGAGTCTGAGCCGCTACTTCCGCTGCTTCATGGCCATGTGCAGGAGGGTGTGCAACCTGCGCCCCACCCGCGGAGAAGGTCAGAACTGCATCGAACAGTATTATTAAACACAGGATATTGATAAGTGTAATCCCCTTAAAGCGGTCAAATATATAATAGAGCATGGTGTTGGATATGTGGGTAGATCTGGAGAGACGCAGATCCCTAACCCCTCTCTCCCTCCCCAGACCCGTCAGAGCTGGGGCAGTCTATGGCCCCCATCACCGAGGAGCGGGCCTCTCGCACCCTGTACCGCATCAGCCTGCTGCGCCGTCTTCGTGAGCGTGTCCTGCCCCACCCCTCCATGGAGGAGCGCCTGCTGCTGGCCCCACTAAGCTCCGAGCTTCCCGCCTGGTGGAGCACTCCAGCCCACGACCGGGAACTCATGCTGGGCGCCGCCTTCCACGGCGTCAGCCGCACCGAGCTCTCAGTCTTCTCCGACCCACAGTTCTCCTTCAGCCAGGCCCGCCACGACTACCTCGAGATCCAGCCCGCCCCTGCCACTCCCCTCCGCCAACCACAGGCAGAGGAGGGCTCCGCCGTCGAGGAGGAGGGGCTGAACAGGGAGTCCGGCCTCCTTGGAGCCTCTGAGGCTCTCGGTCACTCAGATACTCAGACCACACCCCTCTCTCGCCCTGATGGGAAGGGCCGAGCCCGGACCGGCTTGGGCTGGAAGAAGAGCAGGGGGAGGGGCCCGAGAAGCAGAGGAAGGAAAGGCGGAAGAAGTGGAGGAGAAGGAGGGATGTCTGATTCGGATTCAGACTCTGATTCAGGCTCGTCTACCTCCTCCCAGCGATCAGGCAGCTCTGACGACAGTGGGGACAGTGATGCAGAAAGGGAGAGAGGTGAGTAATGGCTGAGAGGGACTGAGCTAGAAGAGTGTGAGGATTGAATTAAGACGACACAGGTTGAACAAACGTATGGTTTTTATTTTGTTCGGTTTTCAGCTGCTCTGAAGATGGAGGAAGACGGAGAGAACAGCTTGCTCTCAATGACTCCATCTCAAGATGGTGCGCCACCGGAGTCCCTCACTGACCCCTTCAGGGTTGACTGGCCCAAGGTATGTGGGGGACGTACTGTCTGTAATTATAGAGCGGTGGTTCCCAACCAGGGGTACTAGGTACCCCTGGGAATACTTGGCTTTTCAACAGGGGGTACGTGAGAAGACTCATGAGACCATAGGCTTACTGGTAAAATGCACATGTGGGGGTACTTCAGGGGTACTCCGGGCAGAGCAGAATTCAGTTGGTGGTGTACAGTAACCGAAAAAGGTTGGAAAGCACTGCTATAGGGTATGGATGGGTCCAGATTCAGTATGTGGATGATGTTCTGGTTCAACAAACAGTATTGTGTTTGTGTAAAAGCTTGTACATTAGTACTTAAAATACAGTATTAACGGGAAGTTTAATATAAACTGTACAGTAAAAGGTTTTGGTTTGTTGTGTTGATTGACTGGTTGCTCCCTCAGGACCGTGTGTTGATAAACCGGCTGGAAAGCCTCTGTACGCTGGTGCTGTCTGGGCAGTGGCCAACAGGGCGGCGCTACGCCTCCGACGCCCAGCTAAACCCAGGCTCTGACGACCTAGAGACAGGGGATGAGCTCAGCTTTGCACGGCTCATGCGGAAAGGCAACAGCACACCCGGTGGAGAAGGAGCAGACGGAGGGGAATCTGAGTTCACTGTCAAACTCCTGAAGGTGAGATGAGAGGAACACACAAAAGAGGGGTTGAATCAATTCTGGTCCTGGGCTTTTGTTCTAACCCAGTAATAACAGCCGATTCAGCTTTTTAAACCATTGAAGTAAATTGGGATAAAGCATGGGTGACTGAGGTACAGATGGGATGACTCAATTGTCTGTCCTCTTTCTCCATCCTACTTTCTTTTACTGTCCAACTCTCTTAGGAGGAGGGGCTGAAGCTGACCTTCTCTAAGCATGCCTTGATGTCCAACGGGTCAGGGGGAGAGGGGAGCGGACGCAGGAAGCGTAGGGACCAAGAAGTACGCATATACAGAGTATACCAAACATTAGGAACACCTTCCTAATATTGAGTTGCTCCCCCCCTTTTGTCCTCAGAACAGCCTCAATTTGTCGGGGAAGGACTCTACAAGGTGTCAAGTGTTCCACAGGGATGCTGGCCAATGTTGACTAGAATGCCTCCCACAGTTGTGTCAAGTTGGCTGGATGTCCTTTGGGTGGTGGACCATTCTTGATACATGGGAAACTGTTGGCGTGAAAAACCCAGCAGCGTTGCAGTTCTTGACAAAAACTGGTGCGCCTGGCACCTACTACCATACCCTGTTCAAAGGCACTTAAATATTTTGTCTTACTCATTCACCCTCTGAATGGCACACATACACAATCCATGTCTCAAGGCTTAAAAATCCTTCTTTAACCTGTCTCCTCCCCTTCATCTACACTGATTTGAAGTGGATTTAACAAGTGACATCAGTAAGGGATCATAGCTTTCACCTGGATTCACCTGGTCAGTCTGTCATCGAAAGAGCAGGTGTTCCTAATGTGTTGTATACTCGATGTATACAATACTAGTCCACATTCTCATACAGTCAGAGGTTAAGACTGCTCATAATACACAGATACTTGTCTGAGAACAGTAGACAATAAGTATACAGATATGCAGACAAAGAAACAAACTGACTAAACAAACGACATACTCAAATGTTCATTCAATGTCTGCATTTATCATACCTCACTCACTCTCTTCCCCCTAGTTGTCAGATCCAGACGGAGCAGTCCCGGTGGTTGATGCCATGACAGGCACAGTGCTGAGTGGGGAGCGGGCCCCTCGACGCAGGGACTTGCCCAACTGGCTGAAGGAGAACCCAGACTATGAGGTGGCGGGAGACATGCTGGAGGTATACTTATCTAGAAGACTATGGCTGTCTCTCAAACGAGGCTCTGGACAAAAGTAGTGCACCATGTGAGAAATGCAGTATCATTTGAGATTTCCACTGTGGCTGTAGTGACTCTGTCTCCTGCATCCCCCTAGCTCCTTGGGAACAGAAGCAAGAGGAAAAGGAAGAGGACGGAGAAGGCAGTAGCACTGTCGGGCAGTGAGAAGATTAAGATCATTGATATGAGGACAGGAAAGAAGGTGAGAAATGGCAAAGGATCAGTGCATGGGGTTCCTCTCAAATAAACATTAATTTGTGGATGCTGATTGCCTGAGGGTTGATTTTTATTTATTTGTTCTTGCTCAGGTTGGGGCTGCGCATGGACCTATGCTGCAGGATTTGAGGGAGTTTCTGGAGGAGAATGCTGACTGTGCAGTTGCACCAGAATGGGCTGAGACTGTCCGGAGCTCTGTGAGTACCCTTTATTAACTTATTTACAACTCACTTCTTGAAAGGCAGGGGATAGATTATATTTCAGATAGTAAAATATTTGTCTATCTTCTTCTTCCAGGGCTTTCTGCCAGACAGCCTCTTCCACCGGCTACTCTCAGCACACTCTGTCATCCCCAAGAGAGACCGTCACCGCCACCACCACACTCCCCAGCCTGCCCCGCAGGAGGACCCACTCCTGGGCGAAGGTGAAGAAGAGACCCTGGTCTCAGATGGGGCCTATATGATGGAGGACGAAGATTTGGAGGATTCTTCTTTCCTGACTCAAGCCTTTGATGTTAAGATGGAAGGTGGCGACAGCTTGTCACAAGGCGGATATGAGAGTTCTGACAGGGAGGCCCTTTTGGACGACGTCATTATGGCACAGAAGGACTCGGACTCTTCCTCCAGCTCAGAGGATTGACCAAGCCCGTCTTGTCTGATATAGACCCAGAAAAATCATGTTATTTTTCCTTTCATGTTATTCCTCATTGTTTATTTTTATCATGATCTATATTGAATTATGGATTATTTTTACTCATTTGTTTTATGTAGATTTTTGGAAGGGGGCAGGTTTGCACCCAACTCTTTCCATTCATGATATTCCCCCTCCCTCCATCACCATCCTCTTGGAAGCCTGAACCCCAACAAAGTGACTCCATGCCCAACACTGTGTTTCCCAACCCACTGCTCTCCTTCTCCCTCAACCACCCCTCAAACCCATCCCATTCCCAGCCTCAGCTTTAAGGGGAGCCCTGCTGTATTAGGAGCCCTTTTATCCAAGAACCTCCAAGCTGGTCCTCCAGTATAACTGGACGAGAGGACACACATGTACTGAGCAGACCAGAACTTCGCTCCCATGATGCCTGAGTCTGATGTCATAGGACCTTTCTGTGTCCTGTTGAGTCAGTGAACTAGAAGGGGTCCAATGTGTGGATGTAAATTTTTCTGAAAGGATGGGGTAACTGTGGGTGGGGGGATACCGGTATATTAGTTACTGATCCAGTGCTAGGAAGATGGGTGTATTGTACAATGTAGAGCTGGTCAGTTGTGTGCTATGGTGCAAGGATGACCACAATGATTTATTATTATTGTTTTATGACCTGACTATCTGTGATATGAATTACAGCAATCTACAGTGAAAGCAGCTGAGTCCTCTGGTCCTTGTGTATTTTATTGACAGCATGTGTTAGTTTTTTTTTCTGCCGTTTTCCCCGTAAACACCATTATGACGGCGGAACCCATTGCCCCAGATCACGGTTGTTCAGGGGACACGAACAGTGCAACCGGATGTCCGTCACACGTGGAAATTTGCTCATTGCATAAATAAGCGATTTGCTCGTAACTATCAATTTGAATGTAGTCACTGGAAACCAGTCTAAAGGGAAGGATATTATCTGGTGCCGTCACTTGAGTGTTTTATTCTGGCCTTGGAAGCGCCCATCAAACTTGTAGAGATCTTTAGCGTGAGCTCGCTACCATGTTCCTTCAGTTCTACCTTAACGAAAATGGAGAGAGGGTGTACACGCTGATGGTAAGCATTGCCTGCGTATCTGCTTTATTTTTGTCGTAATATTTCTATCACTGGATGTGAACTATTTAATTACACTCGAATGCCATTAATTGCATAATACTGTACGCTTTTCATTCCATATGGCTGTTAACAAACCCATTCTGTCAATCTCAGAAGGTGGACCTTATGGGCCAGCCCACCAGCTCGGCCCATCCGGCCCGGTTTTCCCCCGACGACAAGTTCTCTCGGCACCGAGTGACACTGAAGAAACGCTTCGGGCTCCTTCTCACTCAGCAACCAAGACCTGTACTCTAGTAGTCTAGTAAATACAGTACTGTTCTATGTATTAGCACACTGTGCACACATCCATTTCTTTGAGTTATATTGAATTATGTGATCAAACATAATCTGATCTGACATCACTTTGTATTACTTTGAATTGCACTGTTTAGGCAACTCGTTTTCTTTAAGATGACAATGAGTGAGTGAATAAACAAATGTTTTTGTTAAACAACCGTTCACTGTTCTGTTTGACTCATTTGATTAAGTATGCGAAAACTGTTGTAAATACCATTCTTATGGCATGATTTGTCATACTTGTTTTACGTTTATCATCAGTACCAAAAAGTCACATCTCTACAGAAGTGACGTCATTTCCCCGAATCAAACCAAGGAAACCCGGAAGCCAAGTATCGAGAAGAGGAAAAAATAGAATTAGGAAAGCAGCGGACCGATGTAGTGAGGATGGAGGTAAGATATAGAATACGAATATTTCATTATTGAAGATGGAGTAGGATTGTTATCTAAATCTACTGAACGCCTTCATATTTTGTACCATCTTGCCACTTTAACTAGCTTTCTGACTATCATAAAAATTAGCCACGCTAGCTAGCAAGTGTTGTCAACAAAACTTCCAACAGTCATTCTTGACACGACAATCACTGGCTGTCATTTGTTAAGCTGATAAACAACTACCCTAGCTATCATCACACCACATTTTTACTATGACAATATTTAGCTAACTTGTAGAAGTAGCTAGTTTTATCCTCAATGCAAACAAGAGGTTCACTCACTGGAATCAACTCCTTTCTTTGCTTTGTCATGTAACTCCGACCGGAGTTGATCAGACACACACACTTAGCTAGCTATACGTCCTCTTCGCTGTATTTTCATGGACAACGTTACAAGTTAGGATCATCAGATAGGGTTGAAACATATTTAGTATCTTACGTCCATCACAATAATAAGCGTTGGATTGGCATGGGAGTTTCCTCCATTCTCACACCAATCCATTCCTTAACATTCCACGAGGGGGAGTGTACACTTCGAGAGGTAGGGGGGACATAATTCAAAATTGACCTATATCCCAGCTTCCTATACATTTTCTATAGATCTGAGCAGTTGTATTTCTATGTTGTCCAGTAAGGTGAAATAAATTGAGAGATTCTAGAGATATTTTCATCAAACTCTTAATTGAGAGAATCATGTCTGTTATTTAGTCCTGAGTACGCTCTACAACATTCGGAGAGTACGACCCTGCCTTACACAGGAAGCGGCACAGGTCCTAATCCAGGCACTTGTCATCTCCCGTCTGGATTACTGCAACTCGCTGTTGGCTGGGCTCCCTGCCTGTGCCATTAAACCCCTACAACTCATCCAGAATGCCGCAGCCCGTCCGGTGTTCAACCTTCCCAAGTTCTCTCACGTCACCCCGCTCCTCCGCACACTACACTGGCTTCCAGTTGAAGCTCGCATCTGCTACAAGACCATGGTGCTTGCCTACGGAGCTGTGAGGGGAACGGCACCTCCGTACCTTCAGGCTCTGATCAGTCCCTACACCCAAACGAGGGCATTGCGTTCATCCACCTCTGGCGTGCTGGCTCCCCTACCTCTGCTGAAGCACAGTTCCCGCTCAGCCCAGTCAAAACTGTTCGCTGCTCTGGCACCCCAATGGTGGAACAAGCTCCCTCATGACGCCAGGACAGCGGAGTCACTCACCCCCTTCCGGAGACATTTGAAACCCCACCTCTTTAAAGAACACCTGGGATAGGATAAAGTAATCCTTCTACCCCCCCCATTTTTCTTTTCTTTTCAATAAATAGTAATAATTGTAAAGTGGTTAAAGGTGAATGCACCAATTTGTAAGTCGCTCTGGATAAGAGCGTCTGCTAAATGACGTAAATGTAAATACGCGATCGATTGTGTTTACTCGATTAGACAGACTTGTTCGACTACTAGATTAATTGACTAGATCACAGCGTCGAGCTAGCTGAATAGGGACTTGAATTAGCCCGAGCAACGTTATTTTGACACATTGCCTGCTAGCTAAATATCTTACGGGATCATTTCGGTTCTTATGGGGAACAAAGATCGTTTCTATAATTTGTCACCAAAAAAAGCAAACGTGAGCTAAACCCGAATGCTTCATTGGAAGCAAGCGTTAGCATTGTTGGCTTGCCTGCTAGCTAGCTAACGTTAGCGAATGGAGTTTTGTTTGATGAGCTACATGTAAAGTACCTATCTGAGAATGCTGAACAAATCAGTTACTTGCTATTTAATTTTGTAAATTGAAGTTACCTAGCTAACAGTTGGTTTAGCTACATATATTTGTTAGCACACCAGTTGAAAAAGTGTGTCAATTGATTCGTCTCGTCTGGCATGATGGTGATCTCTAGCTAGCTACGTTAGCTACACAGAGCTCGCCACTCTCGGTTGATTCGTTGTTAAATCGCACAATTTTGATTGGTCTGTCACTATGGATCTTCATTTTTACTCTGAACTCTCCGATGGCATTGATCAGATTGTCGACCCGGAGTTCTTGGAACCACAGGCTTATAATGGATACGACCAAGTTAACAAGGTATGGGGCCTATTTCTAAAGAGGATGTTATTATGTCGTTTGAATACTATGTGTGTGCGTCCGCAGGCGAGTCTAGTGACTGTCCCAATTGAGCCTGATATGTTTCGACTGAAAGGAGCTGTGATCCACTGATCTGAGCAAACACAAGTACTAAATCCCATGTCTGTTTTGCAGTTTCCAGGGGGCAGTGATAATTACCTGACCATATCTGGGGCAGGTCATCCTTTTCTCTCCTCTGAGGTGGGTGTCATGATCCTAGAAGCCTGCACACTTTCCATACTACATATTATTCATATTGTGCAGTGTATTCACACTTAACATGTTCATGTAATCTATCTGTTCCATTAACAGTTGTCCTTCTCCTTCTCTCTGTTTAGCAGACATTCCATACCCCCAGTCTTGGTGATGAGGTGTTTGAGATCCCTCCCATCTCCCTGGACCCGGACACGGCCCTCAGTGTGGGGGACGTGGTGTCCCATTTTGGGGAACTGTCAGGTGGAGCAGGGGGTCTCTCGGGGGCTGGAAGCCTGGCGAGGAATGCTGTGGTGGGGGGCAATGACCCCTCCTTTGCCTCCACCTACGTGAACACAACCTCTCAGGGCCTGGAGCACCTGAGCTTGGGGGTGATGAGCCAGCCTGGAGGGGGGGCCCTACTCAGCTCAACACTGGGGGTGGTAAGTACTGTACTTATGAATAGCTTGTGCATCAAGAATGTGTTTTTCTCAAATGCTAATGCTTGGTTAAGATGCTTTTGTCAAATGGTAATGCTTTTTGTTAAGCACTAATACTAAGGATAAACTCCTGGCCTTGTCACTCTAGGAACTTGGCCACTCCATTGGCTCCCATTTCAGCAGCTCCTCTCCAATGACCATCGATGTCCCACTTGGTGACATGAATCATGGCCTATTGGGACACAATCAGCTAACCACTATTGACCAATCGGAGCTGAGCGCCCAGCTCGGGCTTGGCCTTCATGGTGGGAACATTCTGTCTCGTTCCAAATCACCTGACCAGCTGTCTGCCACACCCTCTCCAGCGGGCTCCCTCCAGGATGATGACATGGATGACTTCAGGGTGAGTGTCTATTTGTATGTTTGTTTATACAGTGCCTTGCAAGAGTATTCAGACCCCTTGGATTTCTTCACATTTTATTGTGTTACAAAGTGGCATTAAAATGGATTTAATTGTCATTTTTTGTCAACAATCTACACTAAAGACTCTGTCGAAGTGGAACAAAAATTCTAACATTTTAAAAAGACGAATACAAATAAAATATAGTTGTTGCATAAGTATTCAGCTCCCTGAGTCCAAACATGTTAGAAACACTGTTGTCAGCCATTACAGCTGTGAGTCTTCTTGGGTAAGTCTGTAAGAGCTTTGCACACCTGGATTGTGCAATATTTGCCTATTATTCTTTTCAAAATTCTTCAAGCTCTGTCAAGATGTTGGGGAACATGGCTAGACAGCAATTTTCAAGTCTTGCCATAGTATTTCAAGCAGATTTAAGTCATAATTGTAACTTGGCCACTTAGGAACATTCACTGTCTTCTTGGTAAGCAACTCCAGTGTAGCCTTGTGTTGTAGGTTATTGTCCTGCTGAAAGGTTAATTCCTCTCCCAGTGTCGGGTGTAAAGCAGACTGAAGCAGGTTTTGCTCTAGGACTTTGCCTATGCATAGCCCTATCCTGTTTCTTTTATCCAGTTACTAAGTGTTGTGTTGGATTTTCCCCAACATAGGGCTTTGCATTTAGGCCAAAAAGTGTATTCCTTTGCCATGTTCTTTTGCAGTATTACTTTAGTGCCTTGTTGCATACAAGATGCATGTTTTGGAATATTTTGTATATTTGTGTTCTTCTTTTCACTGTCATTTAGGTCATTATTGTGGAGTAACTACAATGTTGTTGATCCATCCTCAGTTCTCTCCCATCACAGCCATTGAACTCTGTAGCTGTTTTGAAATAACCAATGGCCTCATGGTAACACCCCTGAGCGGTTTCATTCCTGTCCTGCAGCTCAGTTCAGAAGGACGACTATCTTTGAGGTGTCTGGGTGGTTTAATACATAATGCACAGCATAATTATTAACTAGACCATGTCTACCAATTATTGCCTTTTTTTATGAGGCTTTCGAAAAGCTCCCTGGTATTTGTAGTTGAATCTGTGCTTGAGGGACCTTGCAGATGTTGTATGTATGGGGGACAGAGGGAAAAATCATATCAACCCCTATTTACTTCACACAATCATCTTTGACTCCTGAACTAATTTAGGCTTGCCTAAACAAAGGGGCTGAATACTTATGCAATGGCTACATTTGAGTTGTACATTTTTGGTCATTTTTGACATTGTCACTACTTAACACTGTCAAAAGTCATAATTATATCTAAGCCCTGCTCATTTCCACAATTGATCTTCTTAAAATTGTATTTAAACCTAACCCTAACTAATGAAGGTCATGTTTGATGAGTTGGTCCACCAGACCTTCCACGCATTTGGGCGGAAGTGTCTGGGAACGAGATTAGATGTAATGTGACTAACATGACATCACTTTAGAGCTTATGCCATCTTTCAGCACAACATGTCACCCTGTATGAAGCACATGTTTATATCATATTCGACATAGTGGGTTATGTCCCATTTTACATTGGTGATTATGTCACACAGTTATGCTACATTTATGAACCCTTTATAAAGCATGACATACAGTTATAGATGCTTTGTAACACTTATGTAGCACTTATGAAGGCTTTATAAGCTGAATGTCATTTAATGCGGGACTTAATTGGGTAATTCATATTTTTTTTAAATGAATTTTTCTTCCACTTTGCCATTTGAGTATTTTGTGTAGAAAAAAATTACAATGAAATCCATTTTAATCCCACTTTGTAACACAATACAATTTGAAGAAATCCAAAGGGTCTGAATACTTTTGCAAGGCACTGTATGTCTCTTGCTAAGTCAACTGATCTAAGATCGTTGTATCTTTCCCCGTCTCTCTCTGTCCACTGGTCCCACTGTCACCCCGAAGAGTGTGCTGGTCGACTCTCCGATGTCCCTGTCTGTCTCCCCTGCGGTACTCTCCCACATCTCCACCATGCCGGGCTCTTCCGCCATGCTCTCCTCCTCAGTCTCCCCTGCCTTGGTGAGGCGTGGCGGGGGCAAGCCGGCCACTATGGCAGGGCCTGGAGGAGGGAAGAAGGGGAAGAAGAAGAAGGATCCCAACGAGCCCCAGAAACCCGTCTCTGCCTACGCCCTGTTCTTCAGGGACACTCAGGCTGCCATCAAGGGCCAGAACCCCAACGCCACATTTGGAGAGGTGTCCACGATAGTAGCCTCCATGTGGGACAGTCTTGGGGAAGAGCAGAAACAGGTACACAGGACATACACTTTGACTAATACACATATAGGTAACTGCCCAAAAAAGGAAACATTTGAGTAAATGAGATTCCTGAGTTAATGATGATTTTATTTTGGCTACCATGGCTAGAAGAAGAGATCTGTGACTTTGAAAGAGGGTTCTCAAAGGAGCATAGGGGGTTAAAGGGGGTGTGTCAGTCAGCAGATCTCAACCCAACTGGACCTTTTATAGGAGATTCTGGAGCGGTGCCTGACACAGTGTTTTCCACCAGCATCAACAAAACACCAAATTATGGCATTTCTCGTGGAAGAATGGTGTCGCATCCCTCCAATAGAGTTCCAGACAATTGTAGAATCTATGCCAAGGTGCATTGGAGCTGTTTTGGTGGCCCTGACACCCTATTAAGATAGGGTACTTTTATGTAGGTGTTTCCTTTGTTTTGTCAGTTACCTGTACTTTTAGAAAATTTCAAGGACATTTGTGGTAAAAATAAAAAAGAGCCTTTACTCGTGTCTTTACTTATGTAATTATACCCTCTGTCACTATTAGGTGTATAAGAGAAAGACGGAAGCAGCGAAAAAGGAATACCTGAAGGCACTAGCAGCTTACAGAGCCAATCAGCTCTCACAGGTAAGAAACTCTTGGCCTGTCTTTGCTTGGAAATCGTGTGACTGTAGCTATGACAATGTTTTACTGTAAATGTCTAGAAGATATTGTTATCTCTACAAAACATTTGCTAATTTCCCCAGCCCTCCATTGAAGTGATGGACACAGCTTCTTCACCATCACCTCCTCCAATACCTGAGCCAGTGCCTGTGGCCCCCCTGGCTCCCGCCCGCCCCTCCCGTCTTCCCCAGCACAACGCAGACCAGAATACCATCACCAACATCTGCGCCTCCAACATCATTCTGGACGTCCCCCAGGTCACCACGCGCTCCCGCACAGGAGCTTACAAGCCCCCTACCCTGGGCACCACAGCCACCCCGACCCCGACCCTGACCCCCACCATCACCAAGATCATCATCTCCAAACAGATGCTCCAGGCCGGGGCTAAGCTCCACCAGATACCCACCTCCATGGTGACGGTGCTCCCAAGCGGCGTGCGCACCCTGCTGCCCTCAGCCCCACGCCAGCCCCCTCCTTTGCAGCAGATGCAGAACGCCCCTCCTCCCCCGCGGCTCCAGCAGATGGTACACTCCCCAGCCCCACCTCCCCTACAGGCCAAGCCCCGAGGAGGAAGTGCTGGGCCGGGGCTTCCTGTGTCCATCCCCGCCACACCTCCCCCTCCACTACAGATCAAGATTGTCCCGGCCTCTTTGCAGGCAGACGCATCCTTGCCCATTATTGTTACGACAACCGCAACCGCCCACTCAATTGGTGTCACCACTTCTGCTGTGCCTACATCAGCATACTCCACCCCTACAGTGGCTCTGCAGTTGGCGAAGTCCACTGACCTGACGGCCAGTGCAGATGAGGATTCGGTTACGGAAGAGTTCACTTCGGGAGAGGTTGGCTGTGGTTTCTGACCAAATGTTCATGTTAAATATGCTTGGTGTTTCAATCATTCCTCTCAACTCCTTTCTCAACTTTCACCTCTTTTTCTACAGATGGAAATGGAGTTCAATGTGTCTCCAGGTGCCACGGACGCTACTTCTGGCCCCCTGACTCTGTGTGTACGCGCAGGATGCACCAACCCTGCAATAGAGAGCACGGACTGGGACAAAGAGTACTGCAGCAATGAATGTGTCGCCACTCATTGCAGGTATGTGGGTTTGGATATAAATGTATTTGTATTCCTTTCTGTGAGAAAAGTTTTCTACTCCAACATAAGTAGAAGGTATGTTGGAGTAGAAAAGGGAACATGATTGATTATGTTGATTTACTCAAACGCTTGTCTCTTTTTTCCCTTCGTCTCCTTCAGGGATATCTTCATGGCCTGGTGCTCCATCAGGAATCAGAACACCATGGTTGTCAAGTAAAGACCGGCCACACCCAGACAAGGGGAGAATTGTGATTTGTGTCTTGTTGGGTCAGGGGTGATAACAGGCCTAAGGTGGACTGAGTGGGGTGAGAGGAAGAGATGGAGTTTGGAGGAGAGGAGAGCAACTGGAGAAAAGAAGAGTGCCATGTACCACAAAGCGATCCAGTGGAAATAAATAATCAACATAAGACATGGGATTCATTTAGAGGTAAATGGACTGTGGATGAGATAGAACGTGAGAGGACAGGGAGTGAAGTATATCTTTTTTGTGTATTATATGTTTTATTGTTTGGACATGCATACCTTAAACGGGTCCATTCACACTGATCGTGTTATGAGAGGATGTATACCATATGAAGGGACCTGAAATCATAGTGGGATTCCAAAGGGTTCTATTCCAGAGGGTACATTGGAACATAGTGCCACTAGTCGTGACACGTGTTAACATAAACTACATGACCAAAGGTATGTGGACTCTCATTCCAAATTCATGGGCATTTATATGGAGTTGGTCCCCTCTTTTGCTGCTATAACAGCCTCCACTCTTATGGGTAGGATTTCCACTAGATGTTGGAACATTACTGTGGGGACTTGCTTCCTTCCATTCAGCCACAAGCGCATTAGTGAGGTTGGGCACTGATGTTGGGCGATTAGGCCTGGCTCGCAGTCGGCGTTCCAATTCATCCCAAAGGTGTTCGATGGGGTTGAGATCAGGGCTCTGTGCAGGTCAGTCAAGTTCTTCCACGCCGATCTCGACAAACCATTTCTGTATGGACCTCGCTTTGTGCACGGGGGCATTGTCATGCTGAAACAGGAAAGGGCCTTCCTCAAACTGTTATCACAAAGTTGGAAGCACAGAATTCTCTAGAATGTCATTGTATGCTGTAGAGTTAAGATTTTCCTTCACTGGAACTAAGGGATCTAGTCCGAACCATCAAAAACAGGACTGTTATTCCTCCTCCACCAAACTTTATAGTTGGCGCTATGCATTGGGGCAGGTAGCGTTCTCCTGGCATCTGCCAAACCTAGATTTGTCCGTCGGACTGCCAGATGGTGAAGCGTGATTCATCGTTCCAGAGAACGCGTTCCCACTGCTCCAGAGTCCAATGGCGGCGAGTTTTACACCATTCCAGCCGACACTTGGCTTGTGTGTGGCTGCTCGGCCATGGAAACCCATTTTATGAAGCTCCCGACGAACAGTTATTGTGCTGACGTTGCTTCCGGAGGCAGTTTGGAAATCTGTAGTGAGTGTTGCAACCAAGGACAGACGCACTTCAGCATACGGGGTCCTGTTCTGTGAGCTTGTGTGGCCTACCACTTCGCATCTGAGCCGTTGTTGCTCCTAGACGTTTCCACTTCACAATAACAGCTTGGCTGTGTGCTGGATTTTATACATGGGTCAGCAACAGGTATGGCTGAAATAGCCAAATCCACTAATTTAAAGGGGTGTCCACATACTTTTGTATATATGGTGTATGTTCTTTGAAATCAGTTTTGACAGGAGAAAGTTCGATTTTTCGTGATCCATGTCAGCCAAAAGCTTCATAAAAAGTTAGCCATCGTTATTCTTATCTATTTGGATAAATATATTTGATACCCATCTTTCTTTTGTTGGTTGCCTTTAGGTTCTCAAAAAACATTTCTCAGCGTCTCTTTTTTAAGAAACCGAGTCAGGAAATAGTGAAAATATCAGATTGAGAAAAGTGGCGTATCATGCAACACTCTTTGTTTCTTTTTACATATAGTTTAGTGGGCTGTAGAGCCAAGACACTTACTTTTCATTATTGCAAAATAAAAGTCCACTGTTTCCAGTCCGGTGTGAATAAATGACTGCAGAAATCAAGGCCAATTTGACTTTCATGTTATTCCCTTTTTTAATAAAAGAGCAATGAAGATGGAGCTCAAACTCTCTGGTGTCTCATTTACTGTGAGTAGCGGTGAATAATGTTTCAGTGCTAAAGGGGATGGCTGCGACAGACCAACAATAGGGGAGACAGCATTTCTTTAATATGAGCCTCTCACTCTGAATTTACTTAATACAGCCATTACATTAAACAAAATAAGAAATATTCTCCCCTCATACAAGTGTAATAAAGGCCTAGTTTTTATTTATTTATTGGGGTGCTACTTCCCGCGGGTATGCACACAGGAGGCGTTGATAGACATGCATACATTAGGTAACACAATCATTAAAACATTTATTTCATCAAGATGCAATAGAATCATGTCAACATTATTTGTATAAAAGAAACCTGAGAAAATTAATTTACAGTATTTGGTTCAGCAGAGACAATACCCACATAAGGCCACTACTGGGTCTCTATAATGGCTGCTCTACTGGGAGGATCTACGCGGTACAGGCCAAACCCCAGGCACAGAGGCTGACTGAGCTGAGAATTGAACTGGTGCAGCTTGGTCAGGCTGATATTCCCCTCAGAAAAGGTGATGGTTCCCTTCCCAAAGTCTACCACCACTGTCACTCTGTTGCCTTTCAAGGAATTGGCGATCTCGCTCTTCATCTTGTTGTGGTAGGCAAACAGGTTGCCCTTTTCATTGTGTGTGATGCTCCAGGATTCCTTGTTGAGGCCAAAAACTGGGTCCTCAGTCCCCTTACGCTTAATGCTCTGGTAGGACACAGCGATGTTCCAGTAGCCCTCGGCCTCCACCTCCCAGTAATGTCTCCCAGAGGAGTAGCACTGGGTGGTAAGAACCTGGGGGGCTTTGTCGAAACGGGAGGGGTGGCTGGGGAGGGACAGTTTGTTCTCCACCCTCTCCACAGACTGGAGATCCAGGGACACTTTGAGAAAAGGGCTGGCCGAGTCTACGTCCAGAGTCCGAGCACCTAAGAAAGACAAATGGACACGCAGATCAGTGACACACATACACACACAAAAACAAGCACATCAGATCAGTGATCTATGGATAGACTGACGCACACACACACACACTATAGACCTATTGTATCCCTGCTTACGTTGGGCTCCTCTGGTGTCTGCATTACTGTAGCCCTTTGGTGGATTGTCATCTATGAATTCTGTAAACAAATACATCACATCTCTTATTACCACACAGCAATAGAGATGTAATGGCATACTTATTTCTATAGTACAGGAATCTTAAAGCTTGATCATCCACAAAGAACAAACGTTATGTATTACTTCTCACCTGCCACTGAGGAGTAGACATTATGCAAGAGAGTCTCCTGTTTCTTCAGTGTATCTGTGAGGTTTTTATTTTCCACAGAGGAACTATATGCTGTGATGGAGACAAAATATTAATCAGACAGACACACACCTGCGTAAATACCTGTGCACCCACCCACTCAGGCATCCATGCACACACCGACACACCTACACCTTGCTGATGTCCAAGTGTATGCATGATTGACAATGTTATTTGGGGCAACTAAGAGAGCAATGACTCATTGAATACTATATAAAAAATCCAAGACGTGACTGACTGCGTCATTATCAGATCTACTCACCATAATAGAGGGCAATGAACCAGAGGCACAGTAAAACCACAGTTACACTGTTAATGCTGGAGTCTTTGGAATTAGACTTCTGCCTCTGTGCACAGAGAAATAAAACAATGAATCTCAAAACAATCAAAGCGTTACAGTAGAGTATATACAAACATAGAACTAACTTCGTTTTTGAAGTCTTCTTTCAACTTGCTGACAGAGTCCTTGCATTCCTGTACCTTTCCCTCTAGCAACTGGAAATGCTGCTCCATAAATGCCTGAAACCCATTTACACACATACTCACAGATGTACACTGAGTATACAAAACATTAAGAACACCTGCTCTTTCCATGACATAGACTGACCAGGTGAATTCAGGTGAAAGCTATGATCCCTTATTGATGTCACTTGTTAAATCCACTTCAATCAGTGTAGATGAAGGGGAGGAGACAGGTTAAAGGATTTTTAAGCCTTGGGACAATTGAGACATGGATTGTGTATGTGGGCCATTTAGAGGGTGAATGGGCAAGACAAAATATTTACAGTGGGGGAAAAAAGTATTTAGTCAGCCACCAATTGTGCAAGTTCTCCCACTTAAAAAGATGAGAGAGGCCTGTAATTTTCATCAGAGGTACACGTCAACTATGACAGACAAATTGAGGAAAAAAAATCTAGAAAATCACATTGTAGGATTTTTAATGAATTTATTTGCAAATTATGGTGGAAAATAAGTATTTGGTCAATAACAAAAGTTTCTAAATACTTTGTTATATACCTTTTGTTGGCAATGACACAGGTCAAACGTTTTCTGTAAGTCTTCACAAGGTTTTCACACACTGTTGCTGTTATTTTGGCCCATTCCTCCATGCAGATCTCCTCTAGAGCAGTGATGTTTTGGGGCTGTCGCTGGGCAACACGGACTTTCAACTCCCTCCAAAGATTTTCTATGGGTTTGAGATCTGGAGACTGGCTAGGCCACTCCAGGACCTTGAAATGCTTCTTACGAAGCCACTCCTTCGTTGCCCGGGCGGTGTGTTTGGGATCATTGTCATGCTGAAAGACCCAGCCACGTTTCATCTTCAATGCCCTTGCTGATGGAAGGAGGTTTTCACTCAAAATCTCACCATACATGGCCCCATTCATTCTTTCCTTTACACGGATCAGTCGTCCTGGTCCCTTTGCAGAAAAACAGCCCCAAAGCACTGCTTCACAGTAGGTATGGTGTTCTTTGGATGCAACTCACCATTCTTTGTCCTCCAAACACGACGAGTTGAGTTTTTACCACAAAGTTATATTTGGGTTTCATCTGATCATATGACATTCTCCCAATCCTCTTCTGGATCATCCAAATGCACTCTAGCAAACTTCAGACGGGCCTGGACATGTACTGGCTTAAGCAGGGGGACACGTCTGGCACTGCAGGATTTGAGTCCCTGGCGGCGTAGTGTGTTACTGATGGTAGGCTTTGTTACTTTGGTCCCAGCTCTCTGCAGGTCATTCACTAGGTTCTGGGATTTTTGCTCACCGTTCTTGTGATCATTTTGACCCCACGGGGTGAGATCTTGCGTGGAGCCCCAGATCGAGGGAGATTATCAGTGGTCTTGTATGTCTTCCATTTCCTAATAACTGCTCCCACAGTTGATTTCTTCAAACCAAGCTGCTTACCTATTGCAGATTCAGTCTTCCCAGCCTGGTGCAGGTCTACAATTTTGTTTCTGGTGTCCTTTGGTCTTGGCCATAGTGGAGTTTGGAGTGTGACTGTTTGAGGTTGTGGACAGGTGTCTTTTATACTGATAACAAGTTCAAACAGGTGTCATTAATACAGGTAACGAGTGGAGGACAGAGGAGCCTCTTAAAGAAGAAGTTACAGGTCTGTGAGAGCCAGAAATCTTGCTTGTTTGTAGGTGACCAAATACTTATTTTCCACCATAATTTGCAAATAAATTCATTAAAAATCCTACAATGTGATTTTCTAGATTTTTTTTCCTCAATTTGTCTGTCATAGTTGACGTGTACCTCTGATGAAAATTACAGGCCTCTCTCATCTTTTTAAGTGGGAGAACTTGCACAATTGGTGGCTGACTAAATACTTTTTTTCCCCACTGTATGTATTTGTGTTTGTTTGTCTACGATATTATACATTACAATATTGTGCCAATCATTCTGCATGGGCAGAGTGTCTGTGTGTATCATTCTGTGTTTTTATGTTTTATTTATTTTTGTCTTTTAAGCACATGAACAAACAAATTTCCCCCTGGTGGGATAATAAAGTCGATCTAATCTGTGTGTGTGAGACACAAACATTTTTGGATTAAGACTGGAAGAACCTGTTTGTGTTTGCTCACTTCATTCCACAGTGCATACCTGCCTGGAAGTGTACTATGTTTATGAGAAAGTCTCTGCCCCTTACCCCTACCACACCCCATTTACTCTGGTTGAAGTAGGGTAACAGAAAATAAATCAAATATGTAAAACTAGGATTGTACATGTTTCCTTAATATATCCTTAATAAGAGAGGTGAAAAACTCACAGTCAGTTTTCTCCCCAGAACGTTGGTGGTGTCGACGGTGAGGTTCATCTGCTTCTTGTCAAAGGCACAGATATTACAGATGTAGGTTTTCGGACATGGAGCAGTAGTACCTCAGCACCTCATCCTCATGCTCAGGGCACCTCCTCCTGCTCAGGTCCCCCAGGGGTTTGACCAGAGGGTGTCCAATGTAGGCAGGGAGTTGCAGGTGATGCTGGACATGCTCCTGACACAGTGACACCTCACACTTCAGACACGTCTTCACTGCCAGGCTCTGTTTCTCTGGACAGCAGTCACAATATGCAATCTCTGTCTTCTTAGCCTTCAATGAAATCAGAAATCCATCAGTTAATCAATGGCATGGTTAATTTATAAGTCAACCAAACCAATCTAGTGACAGATAGCAGGGACAGAGTTATGGGTGGGACATAGAGGGCCTGGCCCGCCCTACCGTACCTCCTTTCCCACCCAAATAAAATATTGAAATATTTATCATTTATTTGACCGAGACGCGCGCCGACAGAAAGACGCATCAATCTCAGTTTAAGCATCCGAGAGAGCGAAACAGCTCCCCGCTGTCTCAGTATGTGTAGATCATGTATTTGATGCTGTCTGGACCAAAAGAGTATGGCATATCATACTATTTCTGGCAAGACAGCATCAGATACTATACATGGGCTACATATAGTGGGGCGCTGTTTCGCTCGCTCGGATGCTTTCTCCGGTGATATAGTTTCAGCAGAGAGGAAGAGGCGAAGCGAGAGGGCTCACTCTCGCCAAAATCTGTCCAGTATAAGCCTAATGTGTTTCTAAGGGAATAATATGCAAACCTAAGCTTGTCGCATGTCTTCCAGCCTTTGGGACAAAGACTCCCATTGTTACGGCGGAGACATGAGCATCTCGTCATTCAGTGGCAACCCATCATTCAAGGCAGGTGGGGCAGAGCCCTGTTTAGCAAAAAAAGCCCTGTTTAGCAAAAAAATATACACTGCTCAAAAAAATTAAGGGAACACTTTAACAACACAATGTAACTCCAAGTCAATCACACTTCTGTGAAATCAAACTGTCCACTTAGGAAGCAACACTGATTGAAAATACATTTCACATGCTGTTGTGCAAATGGAATAGACAACAGGTGGAAATTATAGGCAATTAGCAAGACACCCCCAATAAAGAAGTGGTTCTGCAGGTGGTGACCACAGACCACTTCTCAGTTCCTATGCTTCCTGGCTGATGTTTTGGTCACTTTTGAATGCTGGCGGTGTTTTCACTCTAGTGGTAGCATGAGACGGAGTCTACAACCCACACAAGTGGCTCAGGTAGTGCAGCTCATCCAGGATGGCACATCAATGCGAGCTGTGGCAAGAAGGTTTGCTGTGTCTGTCAGCGTAGTGTCCAGAGCATGGAGGCGCTACCAGGAGACAGGCCAGTACATTAGGAGACGTGGAGGAGGCCATAGGAGGGCAACAACCCAGCAGCAGGACCGCTACCTCCGCCTTTGTGCAAGGAGGAGCAGGAGGAGCACTGCCAGAGCCCTGCAAAATGACCTCCAGCAGGCCACAAATGTGCATGTGTCTGCTCAAACGGTCAGAAACAGACTCCATGAGGGTGGTATGAGGGCCCGACGTCCACAGGTGGGGGTTGTGCTTACAGCCCAACACCATGCAGGACGTTTGGCATTTGCCAGAGAACACCAAGATTGGCAAATTCGCCACTGGCGCTGTGTGCTCTTCACAGATGAAAGCAGGTTCACACTGAGCACATGTGACAGACATGACAGAGTCTGGAGACGCCGTGGAGAACGTTCTGCTGCCTGCAACATCCTCCAGCATGACCGGTTTGGCGGTGGGTCAGTCATGGTGTGGGGTGGCATTTCTTTGGGGGGCCGCACAGCCCTCCATGTGCTCGCCAGAGGTAGCCTGACTGCCATTAGGTACCGAGATGAGATCCTCAGACCCCTTGTGAGACCATATGCTGGTGCGGTTGGCCCTGGGTTCCTCCTAATGCAAGACAATGCTAGACCTCATGTGGCTGGAGTGTGTCAGCAGTTCCTGCAAGAGGAAGGCATTGATGCTATGGACTGGCCCGCCCGTTCCCCAGACCTGAATCCAATTGAGCACATCTGGGACATCATGTCTCGCTCCATCCACCAACGCCACGTTGCACCACAGACTGTCCAGGAGTTGCTTTAGTCCAGGTCTGGGAGGAGATCCCTCAGGAGACCATCCGCCACCTTATCAGGAGCATGCCCAGGCGTTGTAGGGAGGTCATACAGGCACGTGGAGGCCACACACACTACTGAGCCTCATTTTGACTTGTTTTAAGGACATTACATCAAAGTTGGATCAGCCTGTAGTGTGGTTTTCCACTTTAATTTTGAGGGTGACTCCAAATCCAGACCTCCATGGGTTGATAAATTTGATTTCCATTGATATTTTTTTGTGTGATTTTGTTGTCAGCACATTCAACTATGTAAAGAAAAAAGTATTTAATAAGGTTATTTCATTCATTCAGATCTAGGATGTGTTGTTTAAGTGTTCCCTTTATTTTTTTGAGCAGTGTATATACATGTATATAAAAAATATATATATATGTTATGCCTGTTTTGCATGTTATTTTGGCATTAATACGTGTCACATATCAGTTTGTAAACAATGTAAAACACATTTATTTTTTTGCCAAGAGTGTGCAAAGCTGTCATCAAGGCAAAGGGTGGCTATTTGAAGAATCTCAAATCTCAAATATATTTTGATTAGTTTAACACTTTTTTGGTTACTACATGATTCCATATGTGTTATTTCATAATTTTGATGTCTTCACTATTATTCTACAATATAGTAAAAATTAAGAAAAACCCTTGAATGAGTAGGTATGTCCAAACTTTTGACTGGTACTGTAAATATTCATAACTGGCACGCACATCGCTAGAAATGGTAGGATAAAATGTAAGCTCCCCCAAACTTGAAACTCATGAGCTGCCTATGGTCTTTACAATTACACCCATTTTTTTTTAAATGCGTGCAAGCGCGTGAACACATAAGTCCCTTGAAAAAACGGGCCCGCCTATATAAATCTAATGCCCGTCCTACTGATTCATAATGGCGCCGGGTATGACAGATAGATCAAGACACAAATTATGACAAATGGAACAGAAATCTTGGCAACAGTAATAAACGAGATCTGTGAACAAAGTCAGAGGAGCACCTTTAGGTTTTCTCTGTAGTCCTCTGCGATGTTAGCCAGGGAATAGCTCTTCTGGACCTCAACCGTGGACCCAAAGTCGGACCTGCAGTCTGGGCAGCGGAAGGGTATGTCTGAACCAAAGTCTCTCATGCCCTCCAGACACACCATACAGTAGCTGTGCCCACAGGGCAGCTGGCACGGGTCCTTAAAGATGTCATGGCACACTGGGCATGTCAGCATCACCTCCAGCTGGGTTTTGCTTGACGGAGGAATGGTACATTTTTCGTCCATCTTACTCTGTTCGTGCTGTTCAAAGAACATTGGAGTAGAAGGTTAAAAGGGAAAGGAGTAGAAGGTTAAAAGGGAAAGAAGTCTCCCCTAACTGCTGTAGGTCGTGCTCCAAATTGTCCGTTTCAAATAGTAGCCAGCTGCTTAAGTGAATGGCATGTTGACACAGTAGGCAATTAGACATGGGAAGGTCTGTGCACTGCAGCTAAATCACACAAAACAAAGGTAATAATTTACCTGTAATGTTAACTTTCAGTCCTCGCCTGTGTGTGTTTCTCTATATCCAGTTCAAAAGTGAAAGCAAAGCTCACCGTTTATACTTCCTTTGGAGGCGGGGCTAGACTCAACTGTCTGCGTAGAACGTCGGATTCTGAATCAAATGGCGGGAGAATCAATGAGAATTGGAATATTGTCCAAAAGAAAGGAAAACGGAGCAAAGTAGTGTACAGTGATGAGAATGTCACTTAGTATCTTGTAGGAGTACGGTTTGTAAATGAGGAGTAGCTGATCGAATTATCAATCTTGAGGAATCCATTTGAGATATCCAAACTGGTGGAGAGAGTTCTGGGTAGAGTGAAGGCTGTGAGGATCACGAGAGGCAGGCTGGTTTTTATTTTTTTGTGCTTCTGAGGATCAGAAGAAACGTGTGTTGCGTCCACCCGATTTGATAAGTTTGAAGTGTGGTGTGTGTCTCTTAGGAACAGGGCACCCCTCAAGGGGGTTATACCTGGAGTCTCGTGGGAAGTAGATGTTGAAGAGATGAAAAATATTCCTGGAGTGATTGATGCACGTCGGATGAATCGTGTGGTGAATGAAGAAAAAGTGAAGAGTCTATCTGTTCATTTTGTTTTTTATATGGAGTCTCTCCCTACCGAAGTGCAGTTAGGGTATATTAACTACATAGTCAGAGCATGTATCCCAAGACCAATGCAGTGTGATCATTGTAAAGCTTTTGGTCATGTTTCAAGTGTTTGCAGAAGGGAGAAGCCGAGATGTCCAAGTTGTGGAAAATATCATATTATGTATTATAAAAGTGATGAAAATGTGACATGTTGCAATTGTGGTGGGAACCATAAAGCCACGTCTTTCGAATGCCCCACAAGGGTGAAAAAGAATGAGGTGGCCAAAGTCAGGGCTATCCAGAGCATATCATATGCAGCATCTGTTAAAAGGGTTGAGGGTTTGAATGGTGCACTTGAAGAGTCCATGGTGGTGGATAGGCCTTCACTGCAGGCTGCAGGGGTTGCCTTTCACCAGCAGGATCCAGACATTTTAAAGGTTAAGACGGTGGACTTTGTGGCCTTTATAGCTATGGTGATAAATGGCACTGCCAACGTGGAGAGAAGGTCCAGGAAGATAGATATCATTGTGAATGCGGCGGAGTGGTTCCTGGGGCTGAAAGATTTCTCGGCGAAGGAGTTACATGGAATATTGTCACAAGCCGTACCATCCTCTCAGGCCCTAGAGCCTGATAAGGGAGATATGGAGAATTGAAAGTTAGAAGTGGGAGTTTTGTTTTATCAATGTACTAATTTTATTTGGGTGGATTAAGTTAGTTTCCCTATCACGTATGGATTTTCTTTTTACCTGGTTTTGGTTTGAACCCGTCCAGTTGGTGGCGGCAATACACCTTTTTGGGTTGTAGTCTGCCATAAAACCCACAGAAGAAGAAGACTCACCTGTCATTGGAGCCCCTTCACAACAGGGAAGTAGTCTGTAGTTATCTTTGTAGCTGGAATTTTTTTATATGCTATAAAATAGAACAAGCTACTGTAACATACATTAACTTTTGGAACAAAAGAGACGAGATTGACACAGAAGTGTCTGGTTGTGTGAATGTTTATAAGGCATTAGTGAAACCAATAATACAAGTGGTGTTTTTTTATTGCCAGACAAAGGGCCAACTACAGTACATAGCAAAAAACATAGACCTTTGATTAGTCTTTTCACTCAAACGCAGGGAATTACAATGCATTCCAAAAGTATTCAGACACCTTGACTTTTTTTCCACATTTTGTTATGTTACAGCCTTATTCTAAAATGGATTAAATCATTTCCCCCCTCAGATCTACACACAATACCCCATAATGACAAAGCAAAAACAGGTTTAGAAATGTTTGCTACTTTATTAAAAACAAAACGTAAATATCACATTTACATAGGTATTCAGACCCTTTACTCAGTACTTTGTTGAAGCACCTTTGGCAGCGATTCCAGCCTCGATTCTTCTTGGGTATGACGCTACAAGCTTGGCACACCAATATTTGGGGAGTTTCTCCCATTCTTCTCTGCAGATCCTCTCAAGCTCTTTTAGGTTAGATGGGGAGCATCGCTGCACAGCTATTTTTAGTTCTCTCCAGAGATGTTCGATCGGGTTCAAGTCCAGGCCCTGGCTGGGCCACTCAAGGACATTCAGAGACTTGTCCCGAAGCCACTCCTGCGTTGACTTGGCTGTGTGCTTAGGGTCGTTGTCCTGTTGGAAGGTGAAACTTCACCTGAGTGCTCTGGAGCAGGTTTTCATCAAGGATCTCTTTGTACTTTGCTCCGTTAATCTTTCCCTCAATCCTGACTAGTCTCCCAGTCCCGCCCCTGAAAAACATCCCCACAGCATGATGCTGCCACCACCATGCTTCACCGTAGGGATGGTGCCAGGTTTCCTCCAGACTTGACGTTTGGCATTCAGGCCCAAGAGTTCAATCTTGGTTTCATCATACCAGATAATCAAGTTTCTCATGGTCTGAGAGTCCTTTAGGTGCCTTTTGGCAAACTCCAAGCGGGCTGTCATGTGCCTTTTACTGAGGAGTGGCTTCCGTATGGCCACTCTACCATAAAGGCCTGATTGGTGGAGTGCTGCAGAGATGGTTGTACTTCTGGAAAGATTCTCCCATCTCCACAGAGGAACTCTGGAGATCTGTCAGAGTGACCATCGGGTTCTTGGTCACCTCCCTGTATCACTTAAACCATAAAAGATTACAGAAGCGCTGTTCCAGTAAAATGTTTGTATTTTTATTTTATTGTAACACAGATAAGTGTTGTGGGTTAAAAAAAATTTTTATAAAACATTTTTAAAAAGCCATGTAGTCATATTTTTATATCTTAAGCAAATCACAAGCCAGAGACATCAGCTTCAATCAAAAAAGTATATATATGAAACAACTTCTCTCTACAGATAGCATTCAAAGGTGTATGTGCAAAATTAAAGGCTGCATAATACTTCCCATTCTTTTCATTTTGAACTAAGTCATGTGTTTTTAGATCAACTTCCCTGATGTCTACACAGGAAAAAGTAAGGAGGGTGTTTTCCTGACAAACACAGCACTATGAATAAAGAGAATGAGAGAAAGTTGCTGCACTACTAAGGTATTTGGCATAATGGTTTAGTAAAAGAGTTCAAGATAAAAGTATAAAACAAACAACACTTTAAGCCTACCTTTACAACTACTTACAAACAAAAATACACAAAAGGAACAATCTGTTTATTTACTACAAAGTGAAGAGATGTATCATGAACATAGATTGCTGTCTGAGAAAGACCTCAAACTAATCTCAGCCCTGGCCAACGTACAACACTATGTATTCTTCAAGGAGACAACAGTTCCATGTCCCTTGTGTTTTGTCCAACGATATACAGTGTAAAGACCAAGGGCCAGTTTTCCAGACCCAGATTAAGCCTAGTCCAGCATGCTCAATAAAAATCTCCATTGAAATAAGGTTTAGGACTAGGCATAATCGGTGTCTGGAATACCGGCCCTTACTGTATTAGAACATTATGGCTATCAATAACATCAGTGTCCACTGAAGCTTTACTCAGATGATCATTCTGGACAATCCAAACCTATGCAGGATGGTTGACTGCCTCCTTTCAGATCTTTCCACTGTCCCCATCTTCCATCATAATGGTTATTTACAGTCATAGTACCTATCAAAAACGACCAATGCTGAAGGATCGGTTATAAATTAGGAATGGACATTTAGTAGTTTCAGTTAGAGATAGAACAGCTTTGTAATGCGGCTTACACAACCAGCCGATGAAGGCTGCTCAGTGCTAGTTCTCTTTGTCGGAAAGTGAGCTATTTCGCTGTCACTCCCAAGTGATCAATGCTGTGTTCCTCAAGGTTCCTGAGGATTCTGAAGCTCTTGGAGCAGAAGGAGCAGGTGAAAGGTCTCTCGCCGGTGTGAAAGCGCAGGTGAGCCTTCAGATTGTCCCTGAGCCGGAAGCTCTTCCCACACTGGGGGCAGCTGTGAGGCTTGTCCCCCGTGTGGAACCTCTCATGCCTGCGGAGGCTTTTCCGCAGGGCGAACATCTTGGAGCACTGGTAGCAGGAGTAGGGCTTCTCCCCGGTGTGGAAACGCTCATGCCTCCTCAAGATCTTCCTGCGTTTGAACCTCTTCCCGCAGATTTTGCAGCCGTAGGAGCGGCTCGCGGAGAGTACGCTTTGAAGCCGCCAGACCCCGTTCCCACACTGAGTGAAGCAGCAAAGGCGCCGGCCTGTGTGGAGGCCCTGGTGGGTCTTGAGGTCCTTGGGCATGGGGTACCTCTTGCTGTCGTGACAGTAGCTCCCATTAGCCTTCTTCTTCCCTCCAGAGTTATTTCCTCCAGGCACCAAAAGCAGGTTCACCAGCTGCACCGAGCAGGCCCTCGTCAATTTGTGCTCCAGGGAGGTCTGGTCCAGCTTGAAATCCACCTTCTTCTTCTTCTTCTTCTTCTTCTTCTTCTTCTTCTTCTTCTTCATCTGGTCTAGCTTGAAGTCCACCTTCTTTTTATTCTTCACCGCAGAGGGAAGGTCCCATGCACCCATAGATTTCAACTTTCTCTTAGCCTGTACAGGAGCCAAAGCCACATCTGAGGAGGACGGGCTGTAGGCTGTCTCCTTTGCAGTGCTGACACTGGCCTGCTGGGGCTCCACTTGGGTAGGCTTTTCTTTACATTTAGGCTGTGGTGTTGAATCCTGCTCCTCTGCCTTTGGGACCGTTTGGCAGATTACTTTAGTCACCCTTTCTGTGTTCATTCCATTCTCTGATTCTGTCTTTATGGGCTGGGGTTTCTGCTTAGTTGGGGAGCTTTGAACAGTACCAGAGAGGTGGCTTGGATACATAGGGGCTAGAGGAAAGAAAATAAATAGTTGTTAGATGGTAACCTCAACCCTTTATAACAAATATATTTCTGTGTCTATAGCTTCACCACCACCTCCTAGAATGAATGTGTTTTTTACCGGAATAGATAACTTGTTCTCCTTCTGGCTCAGTGGTTGTTGGGGATTCTGGTTCCAGACTGCTCCCATTCACCATCTCCACATCCTGACAGACGGATGACAAGCCAAAAATACAACTACTTAGGTCTTGTAATACAGGTGTCAGCAACTCAAATTAGCCTACACTACAGGTCAAAAAGGCATGAGTTATTTTAACAAACATCTTATGGTTCACAAATCACATTAACCCCAAACACTGACTCACTGACCTTGTCTTCTAGAACAGAGCACTTGAGGTCAGCATGCTGATTAGCCTCCAGCAGGGGGATATAATGTGCAGGACCCTCCTTCTCACTGCTCCCTTTCAAAGAACCACTGCCCTTTGAGAAGGAGCACTGTTTGGGGGCTAGAGGGAATTTATTTGATTTATTTCACCTTTATTTAACCAGGTAAGCCAGTTGAGAACAAGTTCTCATTTACAACTGCGACCTGGCCAAGATAAAGCAAAGCAGTGCGATAAAAACAACAACACAGAGTTACATATGGGGTAAAACAAAACATAAAGTCATAAATACAACAGAAAAAATATATATAGTGTGTGCAAATGTAGCAAGTTATGGAGGTAAGGCAATAAATAGGCCATAGTGCAAAATAATTACAATTAGTATTAACACTGGAATGATAGATGTGCAAATAGAGATACTGGGGTGCAAATGAGAAAAATAAATAACAATATGGGGATGAGGTAGTTGGGTGGGCTAATTTCAGATGGGCTATGTACAGGTGCAGTGATCGGTAAGGTGCTCTGACAACTGATGCTTAAAGTTAGTGAGGGAGATAAGAGTCTCCAGCTTCAGAGATTTTTTCAGTTTGTTCCAGTCATTGGCAGCAGAGAACTGGAAGGAATGGCGGCCAAAGGAGGTGTTGGCTTTGGGGATGACCAATGAGATATACCTGCTGGAGCGCATACTACCGGTGGGTGTTGCTATGGTGATGAATTAGCTAATATAAGGCAGTGATTTGCCTAGCAGTGATTTATAGATGGCCTGGAGCCAGTGGGTTTGGCGACGAATATGTAGTGAGGACCAGCCAACAAGAGCGTACAGGTCACTGTGGTGGGTAGTATATGGGGCTTTGGTGACAAAACAGATGGCACTGTGATAGACTACATCCAATTTGCTGAGTAGAGTGTTGGAGGCTATTTTGTAAATGACATCGCCGAAGTCAAGGATCGGTAGGATAGTCAGTTTTACGAGGGCATGTTTGGCAGCATGAGTGAAGGAGGCTTTGTTGCGAAATAGGAAGCCGATTCTAGATTTAACTTTGGATTGGAGATGCTTAATGTGAGTCTGGAAGGAGAGTTTACCTAGGTATTTGTAGTTGTCCACATACTCTAGGTCAGACCCGTCGAGAGTAGTGATTCTAGTCGGGTGGGCGGGTGCCAGCAGCGTTCGATTGAAGAGCATGCATTTAGTTTTACTTGTGTTTAAGAGCAGTTAGAGGCTACAGAAGGAGTGTTGTATGGCATTGAAGCTCGTTTGGAGGTTTGTTAACACAGTGTCCAATGAAGGGCCAGATGTATACAAAATGGTGTCGTCTGCATAGAGGTGGATCTGAGAATCACCAGCAGCAAGAGCGACATCATTGATATACACAGAGAAAAGAGTTGGCCCAAGAATTGAACCCTGTGGCACCCCCATAGAGACTGCCATAGGTCCAGACAACAGGCCCTCCGATTTGACACATTGAACTCTATCTGAGAAGTAGTTGGTGAACCAGGCGAGGCAGTCATTTGAGAAACCAAGGCTATTTAGTCTGCCAATAAGAATGCGGTGGTTGACAGAGTCGAAAGCCTTGGCCAGGTCGATGAAGACGGCTGCACAGTACTGTCTATTATCGATCGCGGTTAAAATATCGTTTAGCACCTTGAGCGTGGCTGAGGTGCACCCATGACCAGCATGGTGCAAATCAGCACTGAGATTAAATAAATCGCTAATTGTGCATAACTTTGTAATTTTTTTGCCTCAAATGTTGTTTGTTAACATTTTGTCAGTCATCTATATTTTGCAGTAGCCTAACTCCTTCCAACATTTCATTAAAAATAAACTGCATTTCCACAGTCACATTCAGAGAGCATGATAAGACTGAGTCATCATGCAGACTAAACAGTGTTTATTTATCCAAATGTTTACATATGGCTCCCCCGAGAACATGATTGTACTACTTGCTAGTTGCAATAAAGTATCCAGCAGCAAGATCATTTTGATGAGATTGTACACAATGTTTCACTGGGCTCTGCACAGCAACAACGTTACAGTGTTATGAAGTAACACTTTCATTTACCAGGTAGCTCCTCATCCACTTGAACTCCGATACTGCGAAGACATTTCTTGCCTGACTTTTTGACAAAGTCCACCGTTTGCAGGATTTCATTTTGCTCCGTCCGCCCTTCAATGAGAACGGTGGTTCCCGTAGCAAGGAAGCGACTCTCGAACAGTTTCGTTATTTCCACGACGGCCACCTTTGTAAGTGAATCCAAAACAGACGCAATCTGGTTTTGATAATTAACGTCGACGGACACAGACATGCTGACAGCTGTTAATGAGCGCACAGTTTAGAAAATGTAATAAATATTGAAGCCAAAAAGCTTGGCACGGAAGTTATCTGTGTTTATATCAACCACATGGACGGAGAAGCTGGGGGCGTGTCTCTGACATTCCATCACCTAGTACGCTCAGCGTCTCGCGCCAAATTCACTTTATTTCCGGGAAAGCGTGGTGCGTAATATGGTAATATGTCATATAAAATAAAATAATTGTAACAGTGAGACATATTGCTATGGTTTTATGGTACTGCTTTAAAGCATGACAAATAATAGAAATGACTGTTTATTCTCTCTGTCTCTCTCACACACAAGCACAATAATCCAGAACACAAGTCATTTTTAAATCTCTTTCCAAGCTGTCATTTATTTTAAGACTTTACAGTATGTTTAAGTTTTCTTGTTTAAAAAAATAGAATACTGTTGTTGTTATATTTCTTTATCAGTAGAAAACATCCATGTGATTTACAGCACTTTTCAGTGCACAAGAAGAAAAAAGCTAACCGCTCTTTTCAAGTAAAGTTACAATAATTTTAGGAAAAGCCTGCTAGCGCCCTTGGATTTGGGAGAGGGGCGAACATTTATTCCAGAGAAAATAAAACAAAAACAAAATACATTCAAACAACAAGTTTACAGATGGCCTTAGACTTAAAATGTATCAACAGAGTAACCCCTTTATTTGTTTGAAATATAAAATCAGAAGCATTAGGTGTTTTTAGGTTAAGTGCTAGTGAATATCCAATTATTCATTTGTGAAAATATTATTTTCTAAATCAATTTAGCATGTTTTCCCTTTTCATATTGGACGGATGGCAAAGTTACAGGTGTGAATAAAAAATTGACTGGGGCTCTGAGAAAGTACTGTATTTTATGAATTCAAAGCAAAGGGAGTTTAGGATAGCTTGGGAAATGGAACAATATTTTGGCAAGATGCTCTGAGCGAGGATGTTGAAAACATGAGGATGTCCATATGAGCTGACAGATTTAACCTAATGACTTATTACAACAGAGGACAAGGAAGATTTGAGGAAGGTGATGATGTTGATTGGCCAGATTATATTGGCCAGATTTATACATTGATGACATCAACGATTTACTCATCATCGTCGTCGTCATCGTCGTCGTCGTCGTCGTCGTCGTCATCATCATCATCATCATCATCATCATCGTCGTCGTCGTCATCATCATCATCGTCATCGTCGTCATCATCATCATCTTCGTCGTCATCATCATCTGGATCAATTTCATCTGACAGAACATCTTCGATCCATTCCTCAAGCTCATCTGCGCTTGGCAGGTCGTCATCATCGTCAATTTCCATCCATACACTGTCAGCCTATAGAGAGAGAAAAAGCAATTCAATGCCAAAGATAGACTATTGGATTTTTTTTTATGCTAGTGGAACCACATGGCTCCTCGTACAGAACAATTTGGATCATAACAGGAACGTTACTCACATCTTCAACATCCACAACACCAATCTGGGGAGAGCCCAGGTCAATTCCAAAGGTCTTCTCCCAGTATGGGACAAGCTAAAGAGGAAGGATAATATTCCAGGAAGAAAGCAACAGTAATCAGAATCTCATATCTTTGTCCACCATATCTAAATGGGGGAAATTGGATAGATGGATCTTATTGTATTGATAAGTGACAAGCCATGAACATGATCTTACCAGGGGGAAGTCATCTGGGTCAATCCAGACAATGCTAAGGTTGGGATTATCATTGTGCTCCTCTGCTACTTCCTTCAGGATTTCCAGGAACTCAAAACCATCTGGAAAGTCACAAGATCAAGGGTTAAATGCACATAAGCCTTATGAAACCCCTCTTGCTGAAAATGGTTCCTTCCTCCCCTACCCAGTCCTATTGACTCATTAGTTGCCCCTTTAGTTCTGTACCTGGGTCGTCCTCCTCTGCGAATGCAATGATGTGCTCGCCATCGATGTCGTCCTCCTAAGAAAAGTGAGAAAAGTGAGATGGGGAATATAGAATGCACCGAGCTGAATGCACCGAGCTGTCTGTTTAAACTACTAGCACACAGCTCGGACACCCATGCATACCCCACAAGACATGCCACCAGAGGTCTCTTCACAATCCCCATGTCCAGAACAGACAATGGGAGGCGCACAGTACTACATAGAGCCATGACTACATGGAACTCTATTCCACATCAGGTAACTGGTGCAAGCAGTAGAATTAGATTTTAAAAAACGAATACAAATATACCTTATTGAACAGTGGGGACTGTGAAGAGACACACACGAAGGTACAGACACACGCATACGCACACAAGCGCTAGCACATGCACTCTACACACACGTACATTGTAATATTGTTGTATGGTGGTATTATACTTTTGTATTGTAGATATGTAGTGGTGTAATAATGTTATATGATGTACTGTTTTATATTTTGTTTTATATGTAATGTAAGTGCCTTAATATGTTTGGACCCCAGGAAGAGTAGCTGCTGCCTTGGCAGGGATCCCTGATAAATACAAATAGACTACCCACTGGCCACAGACATTTAAACATTTAGTTTTGATTTACATTTGATTGAGTTGTAAACTAACGTGAATTAAACATAAAATCCACAAAACATTTAACCATGTCATTGGGTTAAGGGTAAAAGTAGGGTGAGATAAATTACATTTTTATGGGAATAGTTGGTATAGCTTACCCAGATCTCATACATGTTATCTGGTTCCATCTTCCTCAGGGTTGGTCTGTAAAGAAATAGGATGCAATTTATTTTTTTATTGTTCAATGAGGAAGTTTACTGGGAATATTTAAGATGAACACAATGCTTAGCATATTTTCTATGTTTTCCCTTTCTGCAATGCACATTATTTTCAGTGCTCTATTTGTGAAACTCAATTTGTGTATGGGTTGATGGTCGCTAGACTTGTTGCTGAATGTTATGGATTAATCTCATCTCGTTTCATAGTGATTGACGCAAGAGCTACTGAAGGTACAAGGACATATGACACACTGATTATTATTGAATTGATGACATTATGAACACTGTGATTCTGTAGCAGCTGGCAAAGTCACTGTCTTTTGTTTTGACTTCGTACAAACCTCTCGGGTTGACGTTTATTGAACATTTAGTACTGTTTCCAATAGGCCCGTTAGACATTTTCTCTGGAGGTGTCTCTCAGTTGCAACTGTTGATTTTGATTGATTTAATCAACGACTGCTCTCCTTTTGGTTAACCTGAAAATTCCCTTTACACCTAGTTATAGGGCCTGGAGTTTTTCCAAGTCAAATCACACAGCCAGGAAAAAATTCCTGGCTCTCCTCATCATATACTATATATACAAAAGTATGTGGACACTCCTTCAAATTAGTGGATTCGGCTATTTCGGCCACACCCGTTGCTGACAGGTGTATAAAATCAAGCATACAGCCATGCAATCTCCATAGACAAACATTGGCACTAGAATGGCCTTACTGAAGAGATCAGTGACTTTCAACGTGGCACCGTCATGGGATGCCACCTTTCCAACAAGTCAGTTCGTCAAATTTCTACCCTGCTAGAGCTGTCCCGGTCAACTGTAAGTGCTGTTATTGTGAAGTGGAAACGTCTAGGAGCAACAACGGCTCAGCCGTGAAATGGTAGGCCACACAAGCTCACAGAACGGGACTGCCGAGTGCTGAAGCACGTAGTGCGTAAAAATTGTCTGTCCTCGGTTGCAACACTCAGTTCCAAACTGCCTCTGGAAGCAACTTCAGCACAAGAACTGTTAGTCGGGAGCTTCATGAAATGGGTTTCCATGGCCGAGCAGCCGCACACAAGCCTAAGATCACCATGCGCAATACCAAGCGTCGGTTGGAGTGGTGTAAAGCTCGCCGCCATTGGACTCTGGAGCAGTGAAAACGTGTTGTCTGGAGTGATGAATCACGCTTCACCATCTGGCAGTCCAACGTACGAATCTGGGTTTGGCGGATGCCAGGAGAACACTACCTGCCTCAATGCATAGTTCCAACTGTAAAGTTTGGTGGAGGAGGAATAATGGTCTGGGGCAGTTTTTTATTGTTCGGGCTAGGCCCCTTAGTTCCAGTGAAGGGAAATCTTAACACTACAGCATACAATGACATTCTAGACGATTCTGTGCTTCCAACTTTGTGGCAACAGTTTGGGGAAGGCCCTTTCCTGTTTCAGCATGACAATGCCCCCATGCACAAAGCGAGGTCCATACAGAAATGGTTTGTCGAGATCGGTGTGGAAGAACTTGACTGGCCTGCACAGAGCCCTGACCTCAACCCCATCAAACACCTTTGGGATGAATTGGAATGCCGACTGCGAGCCAGGCCTAATCGACCAACATCAGTGCCCGACCTCACTAATTCTCTTGTGGCTGAATGGAAGCAAATCCTCGCAGTAATGTTCCAACATCTAGTGGAAAGCCTTCCCAGAAGAGTGGAGGCTGCTATAGCAGCAAAGGGGGGACCAACTCCATATGAATGCCCATGATTTTGGAATTAGATGTTCGACGATACTTTTGGTCATGTAGTGTATATTGTGCCATTCTGGCCACTGTGTTCATGAATCTCACCTGTCGTGATCCTCAATGTACGCAACAAGCTCCTCCTCTGTGTATGGTTTTCCAGGGATAACTATGGGTTCATCTATGAAGGGCTCATAGAAGTCCACTTCATTCACCTTCAGGTCCAGATCTTTGGCAACCTGGAACACAGAGGACTGGTCAGAAAGAGCAATGGGCTACAGTTTGAGGAGAGTAGAGCTCCGGTGTACTTTTTAGGATGTAGTTGTTAGTGGGTAAGGTTGTTCACCTTGGGAGTGAATGTAGCGAAGAACTTGATGTGTGGATGGAACTCCTCAGCCGCGTCCACATAGGCCAAATAATCTGAAATGTTACAGGCATCCGTTAAGACCTTATTAAATATCTAAATAATTCAGATTTTTTGTTGACAAATACACTGTAAATACATTGTTTTATCCATAAAATAGTATACACATGAGCAGACTTATACCATACAGTAAAAACATATGCGAAATTACAATGTTAAAGGAATACATGATAGATTCTTACGTTCAGACTTTTCACTCTTAAAGTAGCCCACCAGTTTGATGTCCTCCTCAATGTTGTGGAAACCTTTAACTTCCCCGTCTTTCTCAATGATCTCAACTGGGTCTTCAAGAACCTAGAACAGAGTAAAAGAGAGATGCATGGGGATGGGAAAGAGAAAGAAACAGTACAGGATATATCAGTAGTGGACAAATAGTCTGTTTCTACAAATTGAAGCCAGGTAAAAGAGGACATAACTGGGTGACATTATTCTCACGTACATCAAAGATGAACTCCACAATTGTGTCTGCAGCAAGCTCCCCATCATACTCAATGATCTCGTCCTCGGTGAAGATGTAGATGCTGTCGACCTCCTCCAGTCCTGAGGAGAAAACAGAGGTTCTACTCAGGGGTTCCATATACCCTTAAATCCACTAGAGGTCAGGCTTTCTTATGGACTGCCTTAGCACAGTGACACATTGGGTGCATCTCAATGTGGCTTAGTTTCCTTGTTTCCTTTCCTTCATCATCACTGAGATTAGATAATTAAAAAGGTGATGTCTCAGTGGGCGACAGGCGTCCGCCATGTCCACCTGATCGGTGCAAATGAAGGAGGCAAGACGAGGAGAGGAATCCACTTATGACTATTGAGATGCATCCAGTGAGACAGGTCAGGTAGTTTAGTTTATTAGGTAGTTTAGTCCACCTGGTCAGTGGTGATGCTTAGATGGATCATGTGAAAGATGGAAACATTTCGCCATAACTGACCTCAGAACTTTAAATAATCATACCAATCTTGAATAAAGGTAATAGTGTCTATTTCAGTATGTATTTACCTAGTTTCTTAGCAACAATACTGCCCTTCTTTTCATCAACAAGGCCGAATCCAATCTCCTCATCATCAATGTCGTCAAGGACCTGAGCTGCAAGCTGTGAAATAAAAGAATCTGTCATATAAACTGAATACATACAGTGGCACCCTTATGCCTGAGCAGGAATATCCTCTCTGTCATGTATGGACAACTTATAGGGACATACAGGGAGTTTGTTTTCAAGTTTATTTATCAGTGTTCTGTAAGGACATGTATATGCATTCACTTCCACACCCTCAGCTTTGTGGGTTTGCTGGAGGGATAGGTGTTATACTCAGTTTACTGTGTACACACTACAGCAAACAGAAATGTTGTTGTCTTCTCTTATTTCTTGTCTTATTTCACACACATTTCCTTCCAGTTCCACCACCATAAAAGCCTGGGACTCAGAGCGCTGTCCATGCACTTTCTAAATCTGTGTGAAACTTGACCCTTATGTCTGACAACCAGTTCAACCAATGATGTTGCCACATCTGTGGCATGCATTCAGACGGGGCTGGATAACAGTTCTGCAGACTGTGTTGGGGTAACTGGGTGTTTGGATAGCAACAGGTGCAACCCTGCTTTCACAGATCTCCTCACACTTCATAAAAGGAGGTGCAGGCACCCAAACATACACACACAGACACACAGACTGGCATAAAGGACCATTTATCAGTGCTTCTGTGCAGTTACTTTTATTGCATAGCAAGTTCCATAACCAGGCATGTTCCTGTCATGTTCCACATCATGGGCAATGATAATAGCTGGCCTGGCACTGATTGTAGGCCTATAGATCCTAGCCAGTAACCGCAGGATGCAAGCAATAGTGGCCCTTGCTTTATGTCTTTTTGTGCAGTTATTATGTTCCTGTTTGGATAATCTTTATTTGTGAATAAATATAAAACAGTGGCCCAAATATCAGAGGTGAATTATTATACAGTGTTAAAATAGTACAATAGCAGGATGTCCCAGGAAAGTTTGACTTTCAGTGTCCACACTATTTACTTGTCAGATTAATAGGTTTTACCCTGTAGACACGTCCAACTGGGCACAAACTGATTGAATCAACGTTTTTACTATGTATGAAAATGTATGCACTCACTACTGTAAATCACTCTGGATAAGAGTATAAATCAAAACTAGACATTGAACTGACATCTTTGCCCAGTGGGTTATCTGTCCATATTTGTCATGGGGAGGGGTATTCATATGAAGAGGTCCTAGGGGGGTTAGGGCCTAGATATGCCTGTTAAACAGATTGAGGGCTAAACTCAGCTAAAGGCTTTTAGCCAAACAGACTACTACAGCTATATAAGGTTGCTGTGTGGGCCCATGAGTTGACAAGAGGGCAGATTTCTTGCCTGCCTGCAAGGGGAGAGTTCGCTTTATGACAAATCAGGGACGGGATCTAAAAGAGCTGACTTGCTCTCCTCTTCTATTCCCATTGACTGACCTAGAGTACACTCTCTCTCTCAGCAATAGACCAAAACAGAGTGCACAGCAAATTAGCTTCACATAATGTCATGACACTACTACCTTTCTAATAGCCTACAACACTATTCCCCATAAAGTGGAATCAGGGCCAAGATCCCAGGCCCAGTTAACAATGTTCTATCTACCCTATACATATAGAGATACACAGCATACTAGTGATCAAATCAACAGCAATCAGAGTTGAATCTAGATGCTCCAGATTGAGTATGCACTATGTAAGAAACAACACAGCACTATACAGTGCATTAGGAAAGTATTCAGACCCGTTGACTTTTTCCACATTTTGTTACGGTACAGCCTTATTCCCCCCCTCAAATCTACACACAATACCCCATAATGACAAAGCAAAAACAAGTTTAGAAATGTTTGCAAATGTATAAAAAAAAAAAAATGGAAATATCACATTTACATAGGTATTCAGACCCTTTACTCCGTACCTTGTTGAGGCACCTTTGGCAGCCTCGAGTCTTCTTGGGTATGATGCTATAAGCTTGGCACACCTGTATTTAGGGAGTTTCTCCCATTTTTCTCTGCAGATCCTCTCAAGCTCTGTCAGGTTGGATGGGGAGTGTCGCTGCGCAGCTATTTTCAGGTCTCTCCAGAGATGTTAGATCAGGTTCAAGTCCGGGCTCTGGCTGGGCCACTGAAGGACATTCAAAGACTTGTCCTGAAGCCACTCCTGCGTTGTCTTGGCTGTGTGCTTAGTGTCGTTGTCCTGTTGGAAGGTGAACCTTCACCCCAGTCTGAGGTCCTGAGCACTCTGGAGCAGATGTTCATCAAGGATCTCTCTGTACTTTGCTCCGTTCATCTTTCCCTCGATCCTGACTAGTCTCCCAGTCCCTGCTGCTGAAAAACATCCCCACAGCATGATGCTGCCACCACCACACTTCACCGTAGGGATGGTGCCAGGTTTCCTCCAGACGTGACACTTGGCATTCAGGCCAAAGAGTTCAATCTTGGTTACATCAGACAAGATAATCTTGTTTCTCATGATCTGGGAGTCCTTTAGGTGCCTTTTGGCAAACTCTAAGCGGGCTGTCATGTGCCTTTTACTGAGGAACTCTGGAGCTCTGTCAGAGTGACCATCGGGTTCTTGGTCAACTCCCTGACCAAGGCCCTTCTCCCCCGAATGCTCCGTTTGGCCGGGTGGCCAGCTCTAGGAATAGTCTTGGTGGCTCCAAACTTCTTCCATTTAAGAATAATGGAGGCCACTGTGTTCTTGGGGACCTTCAATGCTGCAGACATTTTTTGGTACACTTCCCCAGATCTGTGCCTCGACACAATCCTGTTTCGAAGCGCTACGGACAATTCCTTCGACCGCATGGCTTGGTTTTTGCTCTGACATGCACACTCTGGGACCTTATATAGACAGGTGTGTGCCTTTCCAAATCATGTCCAATCAATTGAATTTTCCACAGATGGACTCCATTCGAGTTGTTGAAACATATCAAGGATGATCAATGAAAACAGGATGCACCTGAGCTCAATTTCAAGTCTCATAGCAAAGGGTCTGGTTTTTATAAATGTGACATTATTGGATATTGTGTGTAGATTGATGAGGAAAAACAATTATTTACTCCATTTTTGAATAAGGCTGTAACGTAAGAAAATGTGGAAAAAGGGAAGGGGTCTGAATACTTTCCGAATGCACTGTAGGACGCACAAACAGCACTGGATAAATATAGAGCCAAAGCCACAACGACCCAGGACTATTTTGGCAAGGTGCTGGTGACACTCAAGTCTCTAGGATCTGCTGACAGTTACAGTACTGCAGCCGTCAGTCAGCCAGCCCAGTGAGCCCAGTCAGCCGACACCGCAGTACTGGGGCCAAAACCTGCTGTACTGCCCCCACCCCTGGGCTAGGCCTCAATGTCTATAACATAAAGAGGAAAGGGAGGGGAACAAGAATTCTCAGATGATGATTAATATATCATTAATCAAAACACCCTGATGAGTAGACATATGTCTCACACACATTGCACCTACGTACATGCAAACACGCACGCAAACACACACATACACACACACACATGCACTCACACATGCACGTGGATGTGTTCGTTTCCTAAAATGTTTGTTTCCAACTGTGGCACCATGTCATGGCACCATTTCCAAAAGGTGTTTTTATCTCCATCAGACTTTGTTCATTATTCAACCTCCAGTTGATTAAATTAGTCCAAGGAAAACAAAACCATACAACTCCTTAAAAGGCAACAGTCCCAAAATAGCTTCTCCACCATCAGAGCTGTGTTATATTTCTCTTTAGGGAATGATGGGAGTTGTAGTCCAAAGTAGTCACGTTGTAGTCCTAGGAAGTTGGTCCAGTCCTGGCAGAGCTGGATTTGAGAGGATTAGCTCATTGGCCATCTGAAGAGCATGACAAAAGAAACTGTATGTCAGAAGTCCTTGTCAGCCCTGAGAGATCCACTTCTTTAAAAAATTTACTGATTGCTTTATAATCCACCAGTCAATCACAGCCTTTCCTTCTCAGTTTCACACCATCCAGGGGGCCTATGGGTCTCACTATTGAATGAGGTAACCTTTCATGCCTCCTGGAGATGAAGGACTGGTATCCCCGCTCAAAAGGTGAGAGAGTGCAGTGAGGGTTTAAGATTGACCATTGTAGTCCATTGGAAATGAAGGTTGACATTTGCTGTGGTGCCAAAAAATAATCAAAAAGCATCACACAATGCACACATTCTTGACATCCATATTGCTCAGATTAAGATTAAGATCACTTTATTTGTCAATTGCACACAAGGTCCAACCGAAATTTGACTTCCGCTTTTAACCCACCCCTCTGAAAGTGGACAAACCATTAGGAACACCTTCCTAATTTTGAGTTCCACCCCCTTTTGCCCTCAGAACAGCCTCAATTCATCATGGCATGAAACTGTTGAGTGTGAAAAACCCAGCAGCGTTGCAGTTCTTGACACACTCAAACCGGTGCACCTGGCACCTACTACCATACCCCGTTCAAAGGCACTTAAATATTTTGTCTTGCCCATTCACCCTCTGAATGGCACACATACAGTCCATGTCTCAATTGTCTCATGGCTTAAAAATCCTTCTTTTACCGGTCTCTTCCCCTTCAACTACACTTGATTGCTTTCACCTGGATTCACCTGGTCAGTCTATGTCATGGAAAGAGCCGGTGTTCCTAATGTTTTGTACACACAGTGTACATACATATATACATACATACATACTGTACATATACAGGTTTTGGAGAGGTGTGGGGGGGTGCCACAGGGATTCCGGGGAGCTGTTGTTGTGAGCGGTTAAGTGCCTTGCTCAAGGGCACAACAGCAGGCAATAGCATCAAGGTTTTGATACCAGCAACCCTCTGGTTGCCAGCTCACTTCGTGCGATCCCATCTGGTTTGCGCTTAGTGGGACCATCATTTGTTTTTCAACAGGACAATGACCCAACACACCTCCAGGCTGTGTAAGGGCTATTTGGCCAAGAAGGAGAGTGATGGAGTGCTGCATCAGATGATCTGGCCTCCACAATCCCCCGACCTCAACCCAATTGAGATGGTTTGGGATGAGTTGGACCGCAGAGTGAAGGAAAAGCAGCCAACAAGTGCTCAGCATGTGGGAACTCCTTCAAGATTGTTGGAAAAGCATTCCAGGTGAAGCTGGTTGAGAGAATGCCAAGAGTGTGCAAAGCTGTCATCAAGGCAAAGGGTGGCTACTTTGAAGAATCTAAAATATATTTTGATTTGTTTAACACTTTTTTGGTTACTACATGAATCCATATGTGTTATTTCATAGTTTGGTGTCTTCACTATTATTGTACAATGTAGAAAATAGTAAAACATAAAGAAAAACCCTTGAATGAGTAGGTGTGTCCAAACTTTTGACTGGTACTGAATGTAGTGAGGGGCGTACTTCAAAGAACAGGGTCACATAAAGACACACACACACACAGCAACATCAACATAGAAATATGCCCATGTACACACATCTGGATCAACTCAACATATCAATATGTACAGAATATTCAGAAATGTACATTTCTGATAGATATTAGGAAGAGGGAGGAGATTATTTTTGATGGATTGTAAATCAGATCAGCTGATGACTTGAGGTCCTGCTACTTCTGTCCATGCCATGTTTGTGACATAAACAGTTTGACCTGTTGAGATAGGCTATCTGTACTGTTGACTGTTTTCCAGGACGGGTGATGGGATCTCGTGTCCTCGCGACTCAGCACTTTGCCTCTAAAGGTTGTTGTTTTTGCATGCCATAGGCACGTGACACATTTTTGTTTTCTCAATGTCGCTGCACTAATTCCTGCCCCTCACCATTCCTCAAAGACATGCCCATCCCTGCCATCTCCCATTTCATCTAAGACCACACAACCATGAGTCAGTCTTAAAACAATACATCCCAGGGATATTTCCAGCAACCAATAGATTCCTGGATCAGCAGGTGGGTCAATATACTACCCCCTACAGTCCCCTTCAGGCAGTGGTGCTCAATTGGCAATTCATAGTATCAGCTGATTATTAATTCCTATTGCTATTAGTCCATGGGCCTGAGGGCCACATTACACAAATTTGTCCACTTTGGGGTGGAAAAGTCTAATGATGATTTTCATTAAGGTCCATGTCTGTGGGTTATATTTTGGTATGACAGCCAAGAGCGTCTGCTAAATAAATAAATAAAATAAAAAAATGTCGGAGGTAGCTAAATGTGGCTATCACTGCATTATATGTTATGACCCCTATGCGGTTAGTTGGGCCAACAGGATTGAGTGTATGAAATGTAATTTTGTATTATCAGGGAGCAATCTTCTCAATCTAAGGCAACTGACATGTTATTAACTTAATAAGGTATGAAACAATTGGAATGGTAATGACATATCTATGGGCCCACCTTGGGGGGGGGGGGTCACAGGTCATACATACAGTGGGGGAAAAAAGTATTTAGTCAGCCACCAATTGTGCAAGTTCTCCCACTTAAAAAGATGAGAGAGGCCTGTAATTTTCATCATAGGTACACGTCAACTATGACAGACAATTGAGGGAAAAAAATCCAGAAAATCACATTGTAGGATTTTTTATGAATTTATTTGCAAATTATGGTGGAAAATAAGTATTTGGTCACCTACAAACAAGCAAGATTTCTGGCTCTCACAGACCTGTAACTTCTTCTTTAAGAGGCTCCTCTGTCCTCCACTCGTTACCTGTATTAATGGCACCTGTTTGAACTTGTTATCAGTATAAAAGACACCTGTCCACAACCTCAAACAGTCACACTCCAAACTCCACTATGGCCAAGACCAAAGAGCTGTCAAAGGACACCAGAAACAAAATTGTAGACCTGCACCAGGCTGGGAAGACTGAATCTGCAATAGGTAAGCAGCTTGGTTTGAAGAAATCAACTGTGGGAGCAATTATTAGGAAATGGAAGACATACAAGACCACTGATAATCTCCCTCGATCTGGGGCTCCACGCAAGATCTCACCCCGTGGGGTCAAAATGATCACAAGAACGGTGAGCAGAAATCCCAGAACCACACGGGGGGACCTAGTGAATGACCTGCAGAGAGCTGGGACCAAAGTAACAAAGCCTACCATCAGTAACACACTACGCCGCCAGGGACTCAAATCCTGCAGTGGCAGACGTGTCCCCCTGCTTAAGCCAGTACATGTCCAGGCCCGTCTGAAGTTTGCTAGAGTGCATTTGGATGATCCAGAAGAGGATTGGGAGAATGTCATATGGTCAGATGAAACCAAAATATAACTTTTTGGTAAAAACTCAACTCGTCGTGTTTGGAGGACAAAGAATGATGAGTTGCATCCAAAGAACACCATACCTACTGTGAAGCATGGGGGTGGAAACATCATGCTTTGGGGCTGTTTTTCTGCAAAGGGACCAGGACGACTGATCCGTGTAAAGGAAAGAATGAATGGGGCCATGTATCGTGAGATTCTGAGTGAAAACCTCCTTCCATCAGCAAGGGCATTGAAGATGAAACGTGGCTGGGTCTTTCAGCATGACAATGATCCCAAACACACCGCCCGGGCAACGAAGGAGTGGCTTCGTAAGAAGCATTTCAAGGTCCTGGAGTGGCCTAGCCAGTCTCCAGATCTCAACCCCATAGAAAATCTTTGGAGGGAGTTGAAAGTCTGTGTTGCCCAGCGACAGCCCCAAAACATCACTGCTCTAGAGGAGATCTGCATGGAGGAATGGGCCAAAATACCAGCAACAGTGTGTGAAAACCTTGTGAAGACTTACAGAAAACGTTTGACCTGTGTCATTGCCAACAAAGGGTATATAACAAAGTATTGAGAAACTTTTGTTATTGACCAAATACTTATTTTCCACCATAATTTGCAAATGAATTCATTAAAAATCCTACAATGTGATTTTCTGGAATTTTTTTTCTCATTTTGTCTGTCATAGTTGATGTGTACCTATCATGAAAATGACAGGCCTCTCTCATCTTTTTAAGTGGGAGAACTTGCACAATTGGTGGCTGACTAAATACTTTTTTTCCCCACTGTATATATGCATTTTGGGGTATATCGAGCCAGAATGGACAGTATTGGGATGTGCTCTATTATCTTTTTATTTTATTTTTACATTTTAGTCATTTATCAGACGCTCTTATCCAGAGCAACTTACAGTAGTGAGTGCATACATTTTCATACTTTTTCTTTCGTACCCTAGATGATAACTACACCAAATTTCACACAGAACAAGGAGAGCCATTGGGGACGTTTTTGTTTTAGCTATATAGAGCCATCATAGATTTAGTCAATAATCAGTCCCAGGAGCCTATTTTCAAGATGGCCGCCATTCATTTCAATGGGAAGGAACTGCATTGATTCTGCATGGCCATAACTGAATAAATAATTGATGTAATAAGACCAATAATGGCTTAAAAAGTGTGTTACAATGAGGACAACCCAAAATGATGCCCCAAGTATGTCAGTTATATGTGTTTAGCAAAGTATTACCATAATAGTGGTAAAAACATGCCAACAAATCTGTCAGAATTGCTGAGTTTTGTAGCCATTTCAAATACATTAGATTAATTGGATTGGTCTGTCATTGCCACAACTCTTTCAATAATAGGTGGAATATGCCTAATGATAATTTAAAAAAATATTATAGTTATATGCAGATAACACAACCAATTTAGCCAGGTTTGCAAAACATATCATCTTTGTAAAATATTAGCAAAGGTTTTCTAAAAATTTGTCATAAACACTATTCATAAAAACGTTTTTGGTCAGTATTTGGTTCCCAAATTTTTATAGATTTTATAAAAAAATTAAAAAAAATAAGGTCTATAATATTTATAACAGAATCGTTCACTGGTTTGTAATAATTATAATGATATAATAATAATATATATTAATAATATATTAGTTAATTATAAAACTGGGTGGTTCGAGCCCTGAATGCTGATTGGCTGACAGCCGTGGTATATCAGACCATCTACCACGGGTATGACAAAACATTTATTTTTACTGCTCTAATTATGTTGGTAACCAGTTTATAATAGCAATAAGGCACCTCGGGGGTTTGTGGTATATGGCCAATATACCACTGCTAAGGGCTGTATCCAGGGACTCCACGTTGCGTCGTGCATAAGAACAGCACTTAGCCGTGTTATATTGGCCATATTTATTTATTTTATTTTATTTAACTAGGCAAGTCATATACCACACCCCCTCATGAATTATTGCTTAAATATAAAATCTGTCTTGAATACTGTCATATACAGTGCATTCCAACATAACATTCTAATAAACTGCCTGATGAGCGCATCAATTTACATAGCTGGTGAAGTATTAAAGCCTTAGGTTTACAGCCTTTATAGATGGTGTCTAGTTACACTATTTATGAAAAAATATATATTGTAGTATAGGGCCTACTGAAATATGCATTGTTGGTGGCTGCTGAGGGTTCTCGAGGGTATCAGCAATGGTCCAATTGCTAAAAGGCTGGATTTTTTCTAATAACCAATTACATGATTTCTATTAAATTTGTCAACCAGCCACTGAACTAATGGCTACAAACTGATTAGGGAACATACAGTGAGCTCCAAAGATATTGGGACAGTGACACACGTTGTTTTGTCTCTGTACTCCAGCATTTTGGATTTGAAATGATACAATGACTAGTGAGGTTCAAGTGAGGACTGTCAGCTTTAATTTGAGGGTATCTTCATCCATATCGGGTGAACCGTTTAGAAATTTCACCACTTTTTGTACATAGTCCTCCCATTTTAGGGGACCAAAAGTATTAGGACAAATTCACTTATATGTGTATTAAAGTAGTAAAAAGTTCAATATTTGGTCCCATATTCATAGCACACAATCACTACATCAAGCGTATGACTCTACACATTTGTTGGGTGCATTTTCTGTTTGTTTTGGTTGTGTTTCAGATTATTTTGTGCCCAAGAAAAATGAATGGTAAATAATGTATTGTGTCATTTTGGAGTCATTTTTATTGTAAATAAGAATAGAATGTGTTTCTAAACACTTCTACATTAATGTGGATGCTAACCCGGTTACGGATCATCCTAAATGAATAATGAATAATGATGAGTGATAAAGTTACAGGCGCACAAATATCATACATTATTTACCATTAATTTCTATTGGGCACAAAATTATCTGAAACACAACCAAAGCAAACAGCAATTGCATCCAACAAAGTTGTAGAGTCACAAGCTTGATGTAGTGATTGTGTGCTATGAATATGGGACCAAATACATAACTTTTTACTACTTTATTACACATAAGTGAATTTGTCCCAATACTTTTGGTTCCTAAAATGGAGTGACTATGTACAGAAAGTTCAGTAATTTCTAAACGATTCACCCGATATGGATGAAAATACCCTCAAATTCAAAATGCTGGAGTACAGAGCCAAAAAAAGAAACAAAGCTGTCCCAATACTTTTGGAGTTCACTGTATTTCATGAAATAACTTGTAAGGTTAGAGAGCATCATTTTAAAATCATGATGGTCAGGGACAGAAGAGATTATAATCACCAATGCTCCTTTTTAGAGATAATTGTGATTACCTACATCTTTGTGTTAACTTGCTGGGACTACTCAACAAATGACAGAGCACACCTTTTATCTTAGCTGAGTACTGCTGAGTACTATTGCAGGTGGCAACTATAAAACCAATACGCTACCAGATTTTGATATCTCGGACTTGTATTATTTCCCAGTATGACCAATTTCTGTAAAAAAAAAAGTAGTTCTGCTATTTGTAACATTGTTTCAATGATGAGCCAGTCTAGGTAAATCATTCGATCTGATAGCAATTTCTTTTCTCCAAATTTTTAAGATGAGATCCACCCAATAGAATGTTCTATTGTTGTTTGATACAGTCATTTTCAATAAGCATGTGAACATCCCTACTTGGCTCAACATTCCTTTATCAGCCTGCGAACATTCATTCCATTGCATAGACTCCTATAAAACAAGATATATAAAAGTGTGGCTATCATATATCAATTTGATCAGGGTCTTGTGGGGAACAATTTAATACCATCAAACCTTTGCCACACCAAAGTGGACAAATGTTTCTGCAGGCCCATGGACTATATCTCGTCTGCCTCTACCCATCTACCTTGATGACTAATTAATTCTCTAAAAAGCCTTTCAAATGTAATGAACTGTCCAAATCAATTTAAATGTCTGACCCTTGTAACTGTTGCTTCTTATCTCTTGCCTTGAACATCTTAATTTCAATCATCCTCATCTTTGTTGTGAAAATTGTGGCAAAGGTCACATTTGAGTTGTCTTACCCTTAACAACAACACTTAGTTACCTGTCAATGCTGTCTGTATCCACATAGCCCTTATTACACACTTATTACACACTCCATAATGTATCAATGCATTGATCAGTTATAGCAGAGATGATGCATCCCTATCCAGGCACTGTGTCCCACTTCTACCTCCCAGTTACCCCTTCCTTCTCCTCACCATCCCCCACCCAGTTGCCCAAGTCCTCCCAAGCGCCTGACCCAGTCCTCCCAGCCCCCTGAACCAGTCCTCCCAGACCCCTGACCCAGTCCCCTGACCCATTTTTCCCAGTCCTCTAACCAAGTACTCTCAATCCCCTAACCAAGTCCTCCCAGCCCCCTCACCAAGTCCTTCCAGCCCACTGATCCAGTCCTCCCAGCCCCCTGACCCATTTTTCCCAGTCCCCTAACCAAGTCCTCCCACTCCCCTGACCAAGTCCGCCCAGACCCCTGATCTGGTTCTCCCAGTCCCCTGACCCACCTCTAGGGCCAGTTCCTCGATCTCAAACTGTTTCTGGGAAACGGTGTCTGTTCCGGGATGCTCATGGTAGTACAGAACCATCACATCATACTTCTTCATCACAGACTTGTAGTTCTTGGTAGTTAGCTCGATGACCCGGTCCTTGCCATCGTACTCAGGGAAGTCCAAACCCTCCTCACCCCATGACGGTCCCCCGCAAGACAGAAGGACTGCCACAACCACCCAGCTCCAATTCATGTTTCCTTACTTATTTGGGAATTAATGTAGTTTCAATTAGTTTAAAAAATAATTAAAAAATAATTTGATAAAAATGAGGAAGGACTTCCGATCCCCACCACCCAGAACAGAGCAAGACCTGCTCTTGAGCCCCCCTTATTAAAAACCCCTCACATTTAGGAGCTGGAAACAGGGTATAGAGAGCGAGAGGGGGTGGGCTCAATTCTGGATGTAGGTGTGTGTGTGTGTGTGTGTGTGTGTGTGTGTGTGTGTATGTGTGTGTGTGTGTGTGACTGAGTGTGGGAAAGAAGGTGGGAGGGGATTAGAGCGGCTGTTGCGGTGTCAGGGCTGATGAGAGTAAGGGACCGATCCTGTGTGCGTGCCTGAGTGTGTGTGCGTGTATGTGTGTCTGCCTGCATCTGCGTGTTTGTGTCGCAGGTTAAAAGAGGAGGAACAGCCCCCCCCCACCCCATCCCATCCCATCCCACCTCACCTCTTCTTCAGTAAAGAAGAGGATCGTGAAAGACAGAGACAGAGAGTTTGAAATAGAAAGAAGTGATTGAATGACAGTCCACTACCTAGAGGGAGACAAATGAAGAGAGACTAGGAATGATGGGCAGGGAGATCCTGGAGATCAGAGACACTTTTCCCATATTTAGTTTAGATGGGCTCCGATCCTGGCTAAAAATAATAGATGTAGAACATGTTGGTAGGGGTGCTGGTGTCCCGTTTGCTTCTCTTGTCACTGGCCCAGCGCTAGAATGTGGCACTAGGATACACAGGGACAGGGGTGAGAGGTAAGGGTGACGCTTCTGGTTTGGTTTCACTGGACTAAAAGTACATAGGTCAGTTAGCCTGCCCTGGGGGCTATCAGCCTTGACTCAATGATAACCAACAGATAGTTTTACCATGGTGAAAGCATTTTCATTTGTCTGCGCTCTGGGAATTTGTCGACTTGCAAGTGTCTGTGTGTGTGTGTGTGTGTGTTGCCTGTGAGATACGTTTACAAATTGAAAGGGGAGAGGTGAGTTATAAATAAAAGTCTGCTACATGATCTCATAATAATTCCCCCCTCCCTCTGTATTCAGTGGCTAGCTGTGCTAATTCCTATTTAGTCAACCCCAGCTCTTGTGGAGAGGGATATGAGGGGGAACGGAATGTAGAGATGGGGAATGTGTACTGTAAGGGGACAGGAGGAGTGTTGACTGGGCTGCCAAGCATATCTGGTTGACTGTAGAAAATGAAGGCTGTTTGCTTAACCCATGGCCTGTTACGCTTCGTTTGTCTCGGTGTTACTGTATCTGAGAGAAATAAAAGGGAGAAGGAGAGTGTTTTGGGAGGGTGGGGGGTGGTCCTTTTAAAACTCACACAATATGGCTTTTGTAAGCATTGTGTATTTCAAACAACTGTGTATCCTAATGTGTCCTCATTGGTGTTAGTTGTCGAGGAGAAAAACACAACATTTCAGAAGCTACATGGTCCTGCTGTGATATCCACTGTCGTTGATGTAAACTCATGCAACTGAAATACATTGCCCACTTCTAGGCAACAGCAGCCTCTAGAGGCATGATATGACATGGCAGCAGATATTTGCAGTCATTTGGAGCCAAGCACAGTCTCCCATAGCATGGCTGACACCAAACTCGAAGTCTTCCTGACTTCTGAGTCTAGAAAGGCTCCTTGATGTTGTAGGCAAAGCGTTGATAATGAACAGGGCTGTGCTTTTTATTACTGATTGTTTCTCCTCTGTGTCTTTCTCACTCAAACACCCACATGGACAGCCACACACAGCCCCTGAGCCCCGCCCCCTTTCAATACAACTGTTGTTTTTTCTAATCGAAACAACGATAGTTCTCAACCTCCCAGAAACTTTACGTTTGAGATAACCAATAAAAGTTAGAGTAAATTTTTGTGCGAATATTGCACAAACAACCGGACTCCTGTCCAGACAAGTGTGTCACAGCTCTCCTTCGCTGTGTACCACGTGAGTCAGGCTGTTGCTCATCTTCTTCAGCCAATGGACTGTTGTTTCTAAATGAACTTACAATTCAATCAGATACAATTTGATTGCTTTGATATCTTGACTTGATATCATGTGTGAGACCTAAGCCATTTTAATGTAACCAATAGAAACTCAAAACTTTAATTCAGTTTAAGAACTTTTTTATTTTGGTCAGCAACTAATATAGAACAGGATTGGTCAATGTAAATGGATTTTGGAACGAAAAATCCCTATTAAAACAACTACCAGAACTTACACTTGACTCACAAGGGAAGTGAGTTCAGTGATAAAGCAGTAAATAATACTGAATTGTGAAAAAAGCTGTAAAAATTTAAGTCTTGTGCATTATTCAATCACCCTCCATTTAACCCTAATCTTTAACCAGCATCTCAGTATGGGGAACAGAATTACTATTATTTGGTCATGATGATAAACCTGAAATGTAATTCCCACCATTTAATCCTGACTCTCTCATTTCCTTTCAGTCTTTCTTTCTGTTTCTCATTATCATACCATTTTCTCCTGCATAGAGCTTTCTCTCTCTACTACTTTTTCCTTTGGAAGTGTCTGAACTTGTTCTGTATGGCCAGGAAAGCTTCCTCAGTTTCAGGGGCCTCCAGATTGATGTCAATCTCCTCCTCCTGCTCCTGAGTTAAATGAAATCAAAAAATGAATTAAGCTTTATGCGACATATTTTTAAGTGCAGACCCATCATACCTTTTTGCTTATCTAAATTTACGGGTTTTACGCACCAACCAAACATCTGGCAGAGCGCGATGGTCCCCTTTTGAATAAATATTGATGTCACGTATCATTTGTACATTTCTTTATAAAAAATGTAGTGATTTGTTACATTTGACCCTGTAAAACCTAGCAGTAATACTTATTTATCTGAGCGCGAGGCGGATATTATATATATATATATATATATATATATATATATATATATATATATATATACACACACTGAACAAAAATATAAATGCAACAATTTCAAAGATTTTGCTGAGTTACAGTTCATATAAGGAAATCAGTCAATTGAAATAAATTAATTATGCCCTAATCAATGGGTTTCACATGACTGGGCAGGGGCACAGCCATGGGTGAGCCTGGGCAGGCATAGGCCCACCCACTTGGGAGCCAGGCCCACCCATTCGGGAAGCAGGCCCACCCACTCAGGAATCAGGCCCAGCCAATCAGAATTAGTTTCCCCCCTAAAAAGGGATTTATAATAGACAGAAATACTCCTCAGCAGTGTATATCCATTTTCAGAAATGCTGGTAGATTTGCTTTTATTCTTGAAAGAAATTATGAAAGAGATTAGTGTGTTTTTTCACTATCTAATCATGGCATGGGGTTGCTCAATGACACAGACATGTATTTGTTTAAAATCTATCACTTGATGGTTTAATTTCAGAGAGACAAAAAATCATGTTTTTTTTTGCAAAATGCTACAATAGTTGACAGGGTTATTTATAACTCAATGGATCAGAGCCCTGATGGGTATACTACAAAGCAGAATCAATTAGTTCGCCAGCTAACTTTGATGAAGAACCAGAAATTCAGTGCCCCTTGACTGTTTTCACATTTCGTTGTGGTACATCCTGAATTTAAAATGGATTAAATTGAGATTTTGTGTGACTGGCCTGCCTATACACAATACCCCATAATGTCAAAGTGGAATAGTATTTTAGCACATTTTTACGAATTAATAAGAACAATTAAAGCTGAAATGTCTTGAGTCAATAAGTATTCAACCACTTTGTTATAACAAGCCTAAACAAGTTCAGGAGTCAAAATTTGCTCAACAAGTTACATAATAAGTTGCATGGAATTACTCTCTGTGCAATAATAGTGTATAACATGATTTTTAAATGACTACCTCGTCTCTGTACTCCACACATACAATTATCTGTAAGGTCCCTCAGTCGAGCAGTGAATTTCAAACACAGATTCAACCACAAAGACCAGAGGGGTTTTCCAATGCCTCGCAAAGAAGGGCACCTATTGGTAGATGGGTACAAATGTCAATAGCAGACATTGAATATCCCTTTAAGCATGGTGAAGTTATTAACTACACTTTGGATGGTGTATCAATACACCCTGTCACTACAAAGATACAGGCGTCTTTCCTAACTCAGTTGCCGGAGAGGAAGGAAACCGCTCAGGGATTTCACCATGAGGCAAATGGTGACTTTAAAGCAGTTAAAGAGTTTAATGGCTGTGATAACAGAAAACAGAGGAAGAATAAACAACATTGTAGTTACTCCACAATATTAACCTAAACGACAGAGTGAAAAGAAGGAAGCTTGTACATAATAACAAATATTCCAAAACATGCATCCTGTTTGCAATAAGGCACTAAAGCAAAACTGCTAAAAATGTTCTGAATACAAAGCGTTATGTTTGGGGAAAATCCAACACACAACACATCACTGAGTACCACTCTTCATATTTTCAAGCATGGTGGTGGCTGCATCATGTTATGGGTATGCTTGTCATTGGCAAGGACTAGTTTTTCAGGATAAAAATAAATGGAATAGAGCTAAACACAGACAAAATCCTAGAGGAAAACCTTGTTCAGTCTGCTTTCCAACAGACACTGGGAAACAAATGTACCTTTCAGCAGGACAACAGCCTAAAACACAAGGACAAATATACACTGGAGTTGTTCACCAAGTCGACATTGAATGTTCCTGAGTGGCCTAGTTACAGTTTTCACTTAAAATCGGCTTGAAAATCTATGGCAAGACATGAAAATGGCTGTCTAGCAATGATCAATAACCAACTTGACAGAGCTTGAAGAATTTTAAAAAGTATTGTAGAGACTTACCCAGAAAGATTCACAGCTGTAATCGCTGCCAACGGTAATTCTAACATGTACTGACTCAAGACATGTACTGACTCAAGGGTGTGAATATGTGAATATGTCCCCTTTTTCAGGTACGTTATTGATATAAAACGAGTTAATTTGAATGTAATAACTTGCTAACATGTCAAGAGAGTTTAAGGTATGTGT